CAGTTGAATTTGTGATCCTATTTTTGTAGTTTGAAGTATTGAATTAACCATTGTTGCACTTAATAGATGCTTTTACATCTTGACAAAAAGATACAGGTGTCTGAGTAGTATTTGTGGCAGTACGTTTAATGGATATGATTCCAAAATAATGCGCCAATTGCCCGTTCAATTACAGGCTGAATTTCCGGCCTATCTTAGTCATAGAGGTGCTGTTTCGAAGCAAGTGGGTGATCTTTTAAGGCCATGCATCCAAAACTCCATGGGACCTGAAAGAATATCAAAAGTTTTGCGTGAGCTCCATACATTAAAGCACGATCGCAGTGAGCTGCAATATCTCACTGCTATGAAGGTAGCAATCCCCCCCTCTCTTTTTAATATTTTAATATTAATATCTTTCTGAAGGCTAAATATGGGGATCAAAGCATTACTCGGTTCTTTACTATGCCAACAGTTATCGAGCCGTTTTCGCCTTTTGATAACCAAAAAGGATACGCAGGTTATACGCCTACTCAGACGTATATAAGGACCATTTACACTGCAATCATTAGTAAACTTAGGCCTTACATGGACAAGCAGATGATGCTTCTAGGTGGAAAGGTTTTGAAAGGAGATCATTCTTTTAAAATCATCAAGCACATGGCGAGTATTGATGGAACAAATATGTTCAATGCACTGTACACGATCTGTAACGAGTTTGAAGAGATTAGAATGATGCTGTTAGTACCTTCTAAATCACTTGAGCATCTGAAGTGGTCCTTCCAAAAAATGATGCAAGCATATGAAGGTTATGGTCACGACAGTCCTGTAATTTTTTATACGGACAATGTGCGAGGTGACCGCAAGTTTTTGGAAAATGTCATACCTTCTCTGAAAGTTGGTGTACGTTCAAGAGGCAGTAGAGAGGACGATGGTAACACTGGAGATTCTGAAACTCTTGAATTGCCTGAAAGCATTCAAATTCAATATTTGCGAGGATATGACGAGATTGAAAATGAAATGAAAATTTTACTGGTCGAAAAGTTTCATTTTGTAGAAACCAATGGTGTATTGGAAAGCTGTTCAACATCCGTGGTCACAGGATTTGATTGTGAGTGGCCATACAACATCACCACTAATGTTAAAGGAAAGCTTTCAGTAGTCCAGATTGCCTATGCCTCATCCGTGCTGGTATTACATCTGGATCCTACTTGGAATGTTTTACCATCCTCCCTGATTCACTTTTTAAAATCCCCCGTCATTTTGAAGATTGGACGTCAGGTTGGTGGGGACTTTAAGCAAGTAAAGGATTCCTTCGGCATTGACTGTGAGGGAGCTTTCGAACTTGGAAGGTTTTGCAAGCTGAAGAAGGTTGTGAAGTCTGGTAGGCTGTCTCTTTCGGCCATCTGTAAAGAAGTGATTGGGAGGGGACTGTCTAAAGATTTAAGAATCAGTGACTGGTCGTACTCCCATGAGCTCAGCTCAAGCCAAATTCATTACGCTGCGCTTGACGCATGGGCTTCTTTGGAGATTTATAATGTTATAAACAATATCTGCGAAGAATTGATCAGCACACCAACAGTAGGTCAATATCTATCCTTGTGGTCTCCAATGGGTGTAGCAGGTTATGGAATTGTTGAAGCATCTTCTGGATTTTCAAGCAATGGTATTGTTCAAGTGTCAATTATTCACATTGTTCGTACTAGTTTTGTATTGCCTTCAATAGATGGTCATCAAACAGAAATTATACTGGAATCAATTAAAAATGACCTCCCAAAAACGGTTTCTGTTCACAAGTCACTTTTGCGCAACGATAACAAAAGACATGTTGAACTAGAAATTGTTAAGACAACTACTCCATCAAACGTTTCAAATAATGGTGACATGGATATTACTGGTGATGGGCACGAAGCCGAACATGAAGAAAATAATGTAAGAGTCTCTGCCTTAGACTTTGCTCGGACTTTGTTCGGAGATGATATCGAAGATATTGATAAGGCGAACTTTGAGTATGGATATGGCCAGTTCAAGAATCGTCTCACTGCCTCAATCACTGAATCGACTGAAACAAGGCTTTATACTAGGGTTGTTAAAGATGTCTTCCATCTAATGGATTCCATCAAAATCGGGTCAAAGCATTCTTTAAAACTGGAATTCGTAAAAAATTTCAGAAACTGTTTGTTTATACTAGATGCTGATGACCAAGAAAACGTCTCTGCTGTTTTGTCAAACAAAGGGACAAGTTACGAAGAAAAAATGGCAAAAAATTCTGCTTGGATTTGGAAAAGGGTGAAGCGAACTATACCTCCTCCCCACATTCTGTATACAGGCCTGTACAATTTATTCTTGTCATTTGGTTCCTTGAAATGCGTAAAATCTGGATTACCTCTCTTTGATAAGGTTGCCTGGAAGAGTGCAGTCAATGTCCTTGTGGCTGTGAAAGATGGGCATGTGTCCGATCCTCCGGATTTGTCATTGTACCATGTTCGTGGTAAGGATCGAGATGGGCTAACCTTGTATAGATGTGTTCGTGGTACCAATTCTTTGGAAGGCGGTGTTCATCAGAACATTATAAGAAAGTTTGGATCTTTTGGAGCTGGACCAGAATTGACTGACTGCGCTTTAACAGAATACAGGCTTAGACATAACACTGATGTAATTATTGTATCAAAACATTACTAAAAAACAGTAACTAATTTTTTAATAGGCCGGTACGCTTAACAGACTTGGCTACGAACATAAGGGTCATTATGACCCTTGGCTTAATCAAGTAATCGAAAAACTCCGGGCGAGTTTACATCTCTCAGCTACGCAACAAACTGCATGTATGCCAAACGCCTTGGATTTTTGTGGTTCTGACGAAGTGTTCGGCATTTGCCCTATTTCAAATGATCTGATGGAAACCTTGTGTGTTGAAAAGATCAATACTTTGGCTCCGGGTACAAGCGATCTGATAAATACTGGTGACACATGCTTGTCAGACGTAGCATTATTACTGCTGCCGTCTACAAAGCGTGCAAACAACAGTAGATTTGAATATATCGCATGCAAGCAACATACCAAGTATGCAATCCTTCCTGTTCATACTTCTGAAGAAAAAGCACTCTTTGAAGACATTCTGGTCGATAACTGTCAATCATCAGCAGAGCCAAATTGGAGCCAATTCGCCTCTCGTTGGAACTCATCTGCTGACGGTGTGGCTATATTTTACAAGACGCCAGAACATTTAAAGCTATATTATAACATTTGTCAAGAGAACAAAATTGTTGCTAAAGCCAAAGCAAAGCATAGCACAATTATTCAAAAAGTCAGATCTGTAATTTCAGAAACCATGATTCCGCAATCTGTACCTCCAGCAATTAATCTACCAGGACGTTCCAACAATACAACTGTACCGTTCAACAGAATTCCTGTAAAAAATCAACAAATTCAAAGTAACGTTTTAAGCCCAATTTATATTTCCCGCATACAACAGGAACGTATTCCTTTGCAGGTGGCTTACAACGTCCCTTATCAAACTGCAAGCAATCCTTTCAAGCGCAAACGTATCCGGACATGCCAGATTTGCGGAGATACTGAGACATGTCCTGGTCGCAATAACAGAAATAAATGTAGATCTCCCTCTTCTTAAAAAATGAAACAAAACCCTGAGAAATGTTCCATTTAATAAAAGTTCTAAAACCCTAGAAACACATGCATTGGATATTCTTGATAGATTTATATAATTACTTTTGTCTAAATAAACGCATTTTTTTTTTTTTTTTGGCTTCGCCAAAAAAAAAATTTAATTAAGTCCTGTCCCCCCAGACATGTCATACGGGCCCATTTTTGTAAGCTTCAATTGGCCCAAGATTCATTTGTAAATCGATGGCTTCATTTAACAAGGACCGAGAAAACCAGACCATTACTCAACCTCTGTGGGAATTATAGAGATCAAAAATAAAAGGTATTATTATCAAAATGCAATCACATCCGTTGGCAATAGACCTCTTTTTCTCTAAAATTTGATACCAAAATGTACGTTTTTTATTTCAATAAAAACACAGTTACAAGCACATACTCATCTTTACTTTATTTTATCACATTTCGACTTGATAAACCCTTACGCATTCCTTTTGTCTTTTGATAGATTGAAATGATATTTTACGGAGAAAGAGTACGATAATCAACTGATGAATTGATCTACAACAGTCACACACATGTGATATTGAGAAACGCCAACTTTTGCCGATTTCTCATGCGCATTCTTTTTTTAAAAAACGCCTTCTCTCTTCCTCATTGCAAAATAAAAAGTACTATTACAATTATACATTAAACTAACACACGCCCTAAGGTGTCAGTTTTAACCTTTGAAAGTAAGCTTTGGCGTGTTTGCTGGCTTCACAAGTATGGAGTAAGTCAAAGCAACATTTCAAAGTCCGTATCGCTATACGCGTCCACTGTTTACAATATTCTGAAAACAGTTGAGACAAACGGTAGTCCTCCGTCTAACAAGGCTCTTGGGTTACCTGAAAGTCAAAATAAAAGAGAGCCTTTGAAGGTGATATAAGAAGTAAGTCAACGGGTTATAATGATCTAAAAATAGAGTTGAATAGAGCTGACATAAACATGTGTAGAACAAGAGTAATATCTTCTTTGAAGGATATAAAATTCGGGGTCTTATTTTTCTGCCCATAAGACACGTTCAACACGAAAACACAAAGATAGAAGACTTCTTTGGGCCCGAACTCGTGTTGATTGGGCGCAGGAGCTGCGGGACAGCGTTGTTTGGTCCAATGAGTCCCGTTTCTCCGTAACAGGATTCAATAGAGGCGCCAGAACAATTAGAAAACGTTGAGGGAAGATTTCAGGAAAGAAAATTTTCCCACAACGAAGTGGGTCTTTACAAAGGAGGTTAAGAAGAAGCGGAAGTGACAAAAAATCAGCATATATTTTATAGTATGTTAGATTTATCGTTGTGCATAGCCTTTTCTGTATATTTACCATTGTTGTTTATTAGCCTCTGTAAGAATAGCATACTCGACATGACAGATCTAAGCACTTCAAGCCAGATTAGTCTGATTGGGGACCGTGCCAAGGCTGTCTTAATCCGGTATTTGGATGATTTTGGGGGGGAAGGTAACAGTGATCACAACATTGTTGAGATCACTAAACCATTATCCAAGGTATTATTGTATCTGTTTAAATTTTTATTAGCTATACTTATCCATTGCTGTTGTAGATGAAAAACCAAAGAAAAATGAAAGGCTATTATCGGAGATTTTTAATCAAGTATGAGCCAAGAAATGATATGGAGCGAAATGTCTATAATGTGTACAAACATATGTAAGCGCCATAAATTCCCATTTTTACTATTTACTTATGCTTCTTTTAGTATCGAGCAGCACTTGTTCAGATCTTTCATGCTGACACAACAATTTGTTGATTCATGTTCTGAGCAGTCTCTTAACATCAAGTTTTGGTCGTATTTGTTTGAATGCTTTTTTGGTGGGAACTCTAATTTGTTTCTTCAATGGTAAGCTATTTAAAGAATCACGATAATAAAATAATCTAATACATTTATTCTCAACAGGGGTGAAACTAAGGCTGCCAACTGTACCGCCCAATCACTTGATTTCAAATTGGATTTGAGGATTACAGTTAACATTGAGCAAGAACAGCATGAGGTTGCAACTGCAGAACTAGCCAAATCAAAATCAACTACAGAATCGAAGCTGTATAATGATAAGGTCAAGCTGGCTCTCGTAACAAAATGTCTTTACAAAGGGATATTGGGCTCTTTAATCGTAATTGATTGCACGGTTAATCAAGAGCATTCTGGCTGGTGTATTTTATGCCTGGTTCAAGGAGCTGCCAGGCAAGGAAGAAAAACACTCTTCCTTACAAAAAGATGGGGTTTCTTGCCATATTGGGGTTTACATATGGTCTTCCGCTTCTTCCTTAACCTTGTTTAGAAAAAGACTAGCCAAATCGCCAAAGGTAAGACAACATAATTAAATTTCTTGATTGAGTGCTAAATTGTACCTGTACATATTAAATCTAGATTTATCCATCGCTATTGTAGTTGAAAAATGGAGATCTACTACAATGACCATCTGGTAAAGTACAAACCCAGAAACGACATCAAAAGAAATGTTCTAAATGTGTACAGACACATGTGAGTGACACAAAAAACCTTTAAATTCTCATCTTTACTATTTACTAATGTGTCTTTTAGAATCGAGCAACACTTGTTCCGATCATTTATGCTGACACAAGCATTCATGGAATTATGCTCAGAACAGTCCCTGAGCATAAAGTATTGGTCGCATTTGTTTGAATGCTTTTTTGGCGGAAAACAAGATTTGTTTTTACAATGGTAAGCTCTTTAAAGAATTACGATAATAAAACAATCTAATACATTTATTCTTAACAGGGATGAAACAAAGGCTGCTAATTGTACCAGGCCAGCGCTCAATGGTCTGTCTCAACTACAACAAATGAGAACCCAGGGCGCCTTAAATCCCGGCGATTATGATCGAATTATTGGCGGCTACCAATAGGTACAATTTAGCACTCAATCAAGAAACTTAATTATGTTGTCTTACCTTTGGCAATTTGGCTAGTTTTTAGAAATGTGACTAGTCTTTAGAAATGTGGCTAGTCTTTAGGATGTGGCTAGTCTTTAGGAATGTGGCTAGTCTTTTCCTAGACAAGGTTAAAGAAGAAGCGGAAGACCATATGTGAACCCCAATATGGCAAGAAACCCCATCTTTTTGTAAGAAAGAGTGTTTTTCTTCCTTGCCTGGCAGCTCCTTGAACCAGGCATAAAATACACCAGCCAGAATGCTCTTGATTAACCGTGCAATCAATTACGATTAAAGAGCCCAATATCCCTTTGTAAAGACATTTTGTTACGAGAGCCAGCTTGACCTTATCATTATACAGCTTCGATTCTGTAGTTGATTTAGATTTGGCTAATTCTGCAGTCGCAACCTCATGCTGTTCTTGCTCAATGTTAATTGTAATCCTCAAATCCAATTTAAAATCAAGTGATTGAGCGGTACAGTTGGCAGCCTTGGTCTCAACCCTATTAAGAATAAATGTATTATTTGATAGACTCAGGCTTATCTTCGGCACCAAATGCCACCTCAACAGTCTGTTAAGATCAATGCCTTATATACCAAAATCAAGAATCAAAGATGTCAAGGTGCCAAACATTCAAATCATGGGATTAACGTGTCATGTAAAAGCCCTTTCCCTGATCGATAAAGGGGTATATATGTCGCAGGATGTCTATTCATTTGATTATCCGCGAGCCCACGCCCAGATTCAAGAAAATGGTATTCAGAAGATCATCGAAGCATTAAAATTGTTGACGTAAGCGTTTTATTATTATTATTATAATCCTGAAACTTATTTTATTCTTATTAAAAAAAATAGGATTTGCTTCTTGATATCAAGAAATACCACAAGGATTATAGCAAAAACAATCCAAGCAAAATGGACAGTCTACTTAAAGGAAGAAAACAGAACCATTTGGATATCGAATCTGGTAATGGTGATGGTAATAATAATGTTAAAAATCGGATTTCAGAAGTAGTTTGTGATGATAATGTGGGTCACGACCATTAGGGCCGCAGGTTCATTTTATCAGATTATGACTACCCAATAAATTATAATAGCAGTGCATTCTGTGTTAATAATAAAAATCAAGTATTTTCATATCTAAAAGGGAGGCGGGAAGTATTGTACTTCTTCGTGAAAAGGGAGACTGCTTACTTAATTTTTCAGAACAAGATATTTAGGATAATCATCTGCCATTCACAGATAGCTTTCTATAAAAGATTTAGGTTTATTAAAAGATCATAACTAGTATTTTAACCATAAGAAATATTATACCGGGAAGACCTAAAATTAAAAATAATGCCAAGAATCTGCTAAAATAAGTTAAAATAAATAAGGCTGATAAAAAAAAAGTATCTTAATAAACCTGTGGATATCAATCATGGGGGCTGACAAGAAACAATGATTGGATTTGATGTTGTCAGTTACAATTCTGGCAATCACTGACACAACACGTGCATATTTTCTTTTCTGATACAGTAACTTGCTAAAAATAAACAATACGGGTCTTTTTGATTGGAAGACAGGTTTATTATTTACAGTGCGGCTGGTGATTAAAAAAACATGGAAATGTCTACGTCTATTCCAGAACTGAAACTTTATAAAGTTGGAAACTTGAATGTTCTTAATCTATTCTTTACTAAAGTCTTGACAAATTTAAAAGCTGAACAATGGTCTTGACAAATTCAGTGCTACCAATACTTTAAGTCTGTACTTGTATTATCTTAGTATGCCAGAATACTCTTAGTAATGCACTTTGTAGTTTACTTCTTTCCCGATTCAAGCATTGCGTCAGAAACTGCACCAAACCGGATTTTGCAACGATCTCGATCTTAATCACTTGTAGTAATGGCTGTTTCATCAAGACAGTTATTTGTAAGTAGTGTAAGAAGAAACATTTCGTATCTTTCAGATTTCAACAAATCAATGATTGAGAGAAGCAGCTGCTTTTTACTTGATCGTCTATCTGATCAATCAATTATTTAATTCAAATAATGATGTCATAAAACTCGTTTGGTTAGAGGCTTTATCTAACTGTGCAAAGAAAGGCTGGGACGGTATTATGTTATTTAGGTTAAGAGATTTGAGTCTATAACACCTGGGGGAGGAGGAGAGGGAGGTATCTAAGTCAACTACAAAACAAATCCTGATGATATCCAAAGCTGATCCAATATGATTGTATGATGTACAGGAGTATTGATGCAAGTACTAAAGTACGACTTCCACTGCTTAACATCTGAATTCATTTCGGTAATTAATTTAGCCGCCATATATTAACTATTTTTTTCACCCTGTAAATATTTAGCTGCCCAGAACATATTTAACGGCCCTTACGCTTTATCCCAAACTCTCTCTCTCTCTGTGTAAATTCTAAAAAAAAAAAAAGGAATCTCTAGTATCATTCGGAATGATTTAATCAAGTCGATTTAAAAAAATTGATGAATTTATATGCACTTACATTTTATCGCAGCCATAAAATAAACATTGTACTGAGTGTGGAGAAGATCGGCATCTTTTTTTTTTGTTTTTTGTTTTGAAACATTCAGGGGGGAAAGAGAGGGGAAATCGTGATGGCCCATAAACGGCTTTTTTTTTTCAGACAAAGGGTAAGCAAAGACAGGATCAGACTGGGCAAAAGCTTTAGTGTCCCAATGAGATACTTTTTTATTTACTTGTTGCAGTAAGAGTATCTTCTTTATCTCTTGTCCCCCCCCCCACCAACTTCAATGTTACTCCAAGATGCATAAAATAAGAAGTAATTTAGAAACATGACATATATATTAATCAATTTCTAACTATTGAAACTCATATATGGGGTGCTTCTGCTTGCATGCTACATTTTTTTTTTCTAAAAAACGTGGTTTACATCCGGTCTATATATAAAAAAATAGAGTATAAAAAGTCAATGCATCTTACTTTTTAACTTTCTACATGACATCACACAGACAATAATAATAATAAAAAAAAAGATCATTCATTAATACAGGCTTAGATGGACTGAACAATGTCAATATTTATTTATTTTGCGAATAACTCGTATGACTTGATGCCCGTGATTAGAGACAGTAGTACACTTTGTATATATATTTGAAATAACAAAAAGCCACAGTTATTAAAACCTAAAACAAAACTATTTTTTTTTTTTGTAAACGGTAACCAAATTGGGTGCTTCCTGACACAAGAAGCTATTTTTAAATTTTTTTAAACACAAAAATTAACTTTGGGTTTTGGGTGTGGGTGTGCTTGGCGTTTTATATAGAAATATATAATTCAAATGTTATTTATTTATTTTATTTATAGAAATACAGACACACAAAAAAAGAAATGTTTACAGGAACGCAAAAAAGGTAGTTGCGACCAGAGATAATAAGAGAGTAGATTTGTAAAGAATAGCGGTTGTTTCAGCAGAAGATGCGCTGCTACTTCCTTGACTGTTAGCTGTATTTGTTACATAGACGTCACATTGGAGTTCATTAGGGGCAGTATAAGTGACATTGTTCAACTGTGCAGCAATCGCCAATGCTGTACCTTTGTTGTAAAAATCAATCTCTAAAAAGTTAGGTTGACGTCCAAATGTTTGTTTACAATTTGTTGCTTGCTTCAACAGTGAGGTCTCGCCGTTGGTAACATTGGCTGTGCCCTTTTGAGGGATTTCAATCACGGTGGATCCCAAAGTCAGAGTACCATATAAAAAGTGATTCATCACATACATGTATTCAGTAGGACTGTTGGGCTCAGATGGTCGATCAATCACACAACTAAATTGTGTTTCGTTATGGTTATCATAGGGTGTTTCAAAAACAAAATCCCATTCACGCATCAGCCTTAACAACGAAGATATTTAGTCAAAATTTTTGTTTTTGTTGTTACTATGGATAACGAAGCTTACCAGGGATAGGTATTAGGGTCGGCACCTTCATCCAGGAAATTCACGACTCTTTTACCACTTGAAATCATCTCTCCCAAAGTAGGCCAGGTATAATTGTTATCGGTTTGCACAAAGGTATAGTCCAAGATACCACTAGCGTTGTAAGCAGCGGCAAAAGCAGAGGGTTCAAAACTGCCCAAATTATTCCACATGATCGTAATCACTTCATTAGGGTTATTTTTAACCCAGTTTGTAATAGTGGTTAATGTGTCCACGGCTGCACCGGCATTTAATATATTACATGATGTATGACACAGAGAGATACTTTCAGCAGTGATAGTGGCACTGGCATTACTAGGCTTGATGGCAGACAGCTTTAATCCTCGCACACCATCATCCAGTTGGGTATTGGTTGGGCATAACTGATTTGATGCTGGGTTGGCAACATATCCGTAACTGTTGTGGGTCAACAAATAGGTTAAACTGTTGTAAGGTTTATTACAATATTCTGCATAGCCGTTACAGAGTTGTTGTGCCTGTACTGCACTTGATAGAATAGCAACTGCGAACAGACTAGAAATATACATTTTTATTTTTTTATATTAGGGAAAGAAGAGGAAAAAGGGAATCTTTTTTTAAAAAATTAAGTTTATAAATGGAAGACACCGAGAATCTATTTTTTATTTTCAGGCGGAACACAAAAAAACCATTGGGTGTTACTTGGCAACCATAGCGGCGTTTCAATATGTATGAGGTCAGCGCACGCTCAACTCATCACGACACAAAAAAGGTGTTGTTAATTGCCAATAAGTGCCTCCCCCCTTTTTTTTTGCTTTTTTCTCAACTTTTTGTTAACCATTCCTCATGAGTTCATCGCCTATAATTTATAAACCACAACTGATAAAGGACCATGTTTACGACTCGACAGTTTCGAAACAACATGAGTTGGCACAAAGTTGGCTCGAAAGCATGTTGGAAACTTCGTTTGGAACTGACGATCTATATACCAGTTTAAAAGACGGATTGTATCTTTGTCGGTGAGTTTGAGGAGGAGGAGTGTGTGAGAGGAGGGGGAGTGGATCAGGATTTGATTATGGACAAAGCATCATAATTAAATTTTTTTTTTTTATTCTTTTTTTAAAATAGAATTATACAACAGATTCAAAATCAAGAAATGATATACCATGAGCTCCCGGTAAGATATTTAAATAAACGTTCCTACGCAGTAGGGGTATTACAGGGAGCATATATACAAGATCAAATCTCACTCATTTAAGTATTTTTAGGAAGACAGAATCAAACTATTCTTGAAAGAATCGAGAAAAGTAAGAACAAAATAGTTTTTTTTTTTTTTTTTTGTGATTAATGCAGAATTTTTCTTTTTTAAAAAAAAAAAAAAAAAAAAAAAAAAAATCAGTTTGGTCTACAATCGTCCGACTTGTTTAGTGTCAATGATTTATTAAATGGAGACGATATGGATAGAGTAAGCTATTTTGTTTGTTACCTGTGCATTTTAACCCTTTTTTTTTTTTTTTCTTATTATTATTTTTCCTCGACTCTCCTTTTTTTTGTTTTGTTTTTCTTCTTCTTTCTTGTGTATATAAATACTGATCTCATTTTTCTTTATTTCTTCCCTTTCCTCTTTTCTTTTTTGAAGGTTGTTTCGACCCTATTAATTTTAGCTCACAGTTACTCTTTCAAAAGATTTGCTGGCAAATCAACTCCGATCACACCTAAAAGATCCCAATCCTACAATTTTGGATTGACTACCGATATTATCCCACTACAGAGATCGATGAGTGAAGTGAATAAACGACTCCAGGACAAACAGGGGTTAAAAGAGAAGGAGGAAAGGAAGGAGAGCAAATGGGAAGCACCGTTTGATATTCAAAGACCCAACTGTATACCTGGGTATGGGCCCTATTCCATCTCCCAATTTAACGACGACGACGACGACGACGACAATATTAATGACGACATGCGACCTTCATCGCCCACAGAATCCTTAAACGAAGACATCTTTGATACCAAAAAGAGTAATACGCCGTCTTCTTCGGGTGACAGTGGATATGGTACAACCAGAGCAAAATCTAATAATAGTAATCATAATAAGAAAGTACAAGATTTATTTGAAGCTCTTTTTGCTCCTGTTTCAAGCCATACAAACACTCCTCCACCTTCATTAAAAATACAGCCATCCTCAACCGTATCCAATTCCGGTAATAATGTCAATAGCAAATTATCTCTACTCTTTTCCAAAAAGAACGATCCTCATTATGTCAAATACCAGACTTGGTCCAATCATCAATTACAACACAATCAATCCACCCCTCTCTTGAAAAAGGTCTCCAGTATGCGTAGACCTCATGAAGAATCCCTGTTTAAACCATCTCATCCTTGGCCTGTCATCCATGAATCCTCTCCCAGCGATCATTTACCGTTGACCATCAAGGTTCAAAAGGAGCATCCACTACCTTCCTCTCCACCCGCCCCCTCGGCACCACCTCGCAAACAATCTCGCAGCAGAAGAAGAACAGATGCTTCTCTGCAACGTATACCACCCGAAGCCATCCAAACCACAATCACCATCAAACCAAAGCATGTACGTTGTAAATCCATTGGATCCACACTAGAAGCCAAAGCATCCGAATCCAAATCACCACAGGATTTGAAATCTCCCATGTTATTTTCTCCCACTGATACGAGTAATATCTTGGAACACTATGATGAAAAAAGCACTCTCCTTGCACGCTATGTAAGCCTTTTTGAAATTAGAAACTAGTTAAAAAAAAAAAAAATGTTTTAATTCCGCGCGCGCTCCCCCAACGCACTAACTCATACTCTATTCTGTTAAAATAGAAATTAGGCAATGTTATTGGTAAGGGACATTTCGGCACAGTGTATCGAGCCCTTGATCTCATGTCGGGAAAGACAGTGGCGATTAAACAAATTAGCCTTGTGGATTCTCGTAAAAGCGATATCGAAGACATGATGCAAGAGGCAGCTTTATTGAGCTCTTTGGGACACACCAACATTGTGAAATACGAAGGATTTATCCAGACCGATGAACACATGAATATCGTGTTGGAATATGTTGAAAACGGCTCACTTTTAAATACTTTAAAATCGTTTGGGAATGCCTTACCAGAACATTTGGTGGCTAGCTATTGTCATCATATCCTGCAAGGGTTAGCCTATTTACACGGGCAGGATGTCGTACACTGCGATCTCAAGGCAGCCAATATCTTGACCACCAAAGCCGGTCATGTCAAATTATCAGATTTCGGCGTCTCGCTTAATTTAAAATTGAAAAATCATGAAGATAACATTGTTTCTGGCACGCCTTATTGGAGTACTGTATCTAAATTATCATGCCCCCACCACCACCATCATTTCTTAATTACTGACTCTTTATTCTTTTTTGACAGTGTCACCTGAAGTGATTGAGCTAAAAGGGGCATCAGTTCAATCTGATATATGGTATGTTTTTCCATCTCACCATGTATCTTTCTTTGCACTAAACCGGAATTTCTAGGTCGTTGGGCTGTACAGTGATTGAATTATGCACAGGGAAGCCACCTTATGCAGATTTAATTACCATGACTGCCATGTTCAAGATTGTGGAAGACGAGTGTCCACCGTTACCAGAGGATATTTCAGACGTAAAGTAGACGAGTTCAATGATGTATATATTTACATATAAAGAGAGAGAATTAAATACTTTTGTGTGTGTGTGTGTATAGGATCTGCTCAACTTTTTAAAACTATGCTTCAAAAAGAATCCAGTGGAACGACCTACGGCACAACATTTACTCCATCATCCCTGGGTGCGACAACAACAGGAGCAACCACTGACGGTTGGACCGATCCGCAGTAATAGCACGATCCTTAACAGTTATTTGAAAAAAGCCACGAAAAAAGACGACAAGATCACCTTATTGGAACACCCCATGTCACCATCCCCATTAACTCCTTTTTATACTCCTATCACTTTACCTACACCCAACGGCTTTTCATCAAGTAAATTGATACCAAGGAAAATGGACGGGAAAAAGAGCTTAATCACTCGACAATCCATGCCTATCGTTTCCAATCAGTATCAGCAACAGCAAAAGCAACAGCAACAACAAGAAAGAGATCAATCATCACCTCATGTACATAATTTAATAGAATGCTCCTTTCCTAAAGGTGATTGCATCCTGCGATACGCACAAAAAAAAAGAGAAAATCTGACAACTCTTCTTTTATATTATTTAGGGGCTGGTCAGTGCAAAGTATGTAATCATACAATCAAGCACGATGCTCTTGTATGCAAAGGTAATCATTTAAAACACGACACTCAAAAAAAAAAAAGGTCAATTAAGACATTGACTTTTACTTATAATAGATTTTTGTGGTTATATTTGTCATAAAAAATGCAAAGTAATTAACGTAAGCGCGTGTATATATATATTTTTTTTATTTTTTCCCTAAAAAAAAAAAAAATGAAACTGAACGTTATTTTTGATATTTTAGAACTTTAATACGAGACGAAGAGCCAGTGACGGACGACCCCAAACCATCCTTAGTGGACCAAAACCCATGTCTTCTGTATCGACACAATTACGAGAGAAATTCTCGTTTTCGAGAATTCTTTCCACTAAACCGCACGAGTTGAGTGATATCATTGAAGATACACCTTCCACCACCCTGAAATCTAAAACAAGTAGTTCTTGGTGGAAAAAGAAATAGGTTTTTTGTTTTTATTTATTTATAAAAATAAAAAAATTATATTATAATTTGCTAAAAGGTGTGTCAGCATAGCCATAAAACATGGGACTCATGGCAGAAGCGTTAAAAGATGGCATGGTTACTTCCGGCCGTTGTTGGGTATATCTATTCGTTGTCTTTTGAAACGCAGGATGTACTTGTCGTACCCCATGTGTAAAAGCTACTCCTCCTCTTCCTCCTCCTGATACAACGGGTGCTAATGGAGCATTCTTGATGACGGAGGGATGGTCCATCTGTTGTATATATATAGTGTGTGAGAAAATAGAATAAAAAATAAAGGGTAGTTTCCCCATCGGCATAAGTGTCTGCAAGTAGAAATCAGCCGTCACCCCCACACCCAAACACAATCATCCACAATCACATTCATCCCGTTACTGCCCTGTTTCATCATTTAGGATTTACAGATGCCCTAATAGTAGAAGAGGAGAGGAGGGAAGCGTTTTTTTTTTTTTTGTATCTTGGATTCAGCTTTGCCCTAATTATTCCAGATATGGGTTTCTAATAGAGAGAGAGAGAGCCTATTATGCATTGTATGGTGTGTTCTTTTTTAATTCACTCCCTGCATTGTTTCTGTTTATCTTACAAAGATACAACTTGTCTTTTTTTTTACCTCTTTACACCGTGAACTGTAAAAAAAAGAAAATAAAAAAGGGCTCCTGAGATCTCCCTTTTATGACTGACTATTCTTTAAATACGCATTGTCTATCACTCACAGACTTTGTCCTAGTGCAGTTTTTTTCTCTTTTTTTCAAAAAAAAAAAAGGGACTTTGACAGACAGCTTTTTAGAGAGATACCCTACTTGTAAAGTCATAGAAACAAGGGGGAAAAAGAGGTGGCAGCGGCGCTTTAATGCATACTTGTACATTTTATTTATCACACTCTTTATTTCTGATTAAAAAAACGTCATTGATCCGTATACTGTCTCTCTCTCTTTATATTCTAGATTCTCTCTCCCTTTTGCTCATTATAAATTGAACCGGTAGCAACAGCAGTAATTACGAGCACTTTTCTCCTTTCCTCCCTGCAGCATCAAAAATCAATTGATTAGCGGGAACCGAAATATTCAATAGTAGTAGTAATAGGATTTTATGATTTTCCCAAGTCTGTATAATACAAATGCTTGTGCCATTATTAGATAGCTATAGGATAAAGGAACATGGTTACCAATAGTTTTTTATTTTCTTTAGCTAGTAATTTGATTGGGTATTTTTTTTTTTTTTTTTTTTTGTTCAATTTGAATGAAATATTACACATGAAGGATAATGCCTCTGGCAGTGCGATAAATACCTACTTTGCACCTTTACAAAGGTGACTTTCTTTATGCCCTGGTCCTGACAGAATAAAATCATTCGACAAAATAAATATACTATATGCAAAAAAAAAAAAAAAAAAAGACTCTCTCCCCCCATAGGCGGGGGTTAGAATCACTGCCACCAACCCACCAACCCACTCCCACCCAGGGTAAAAAAGAAAATTCAACCCTGGGATCTTTTTTTTTTTTTATATTTTTTCCCATTTCGACAAGATAATTAGACTATGCATCCTCCTTTAGAAGCTCATAAACAAGAAGGTTGTGACGACGTTATTCAAGCGTTGGACGATTGTCATCGTGCTGGTACATTTAACAAGTTCATTGGAACGTGTAATGCAGCCAAGACAGCTGTGGACAAGTGTCTCAAGGAAGAGGTAGCAAAAAGAAAATAATAATAAAAAAAGATGACGTGAAATTGACAGTTTTTTTTTTTTTTTTTTGATAGTTTCTTGTGATGCGTGCTGCCAATAAAGGTGTTGCACAACAAAAGAGAAAAAAGATGGAGGAAATCTGGAAAAAGATTGATGAACCACCTGCTTATTTAAAGGAAGAGCAATAATTAAAGAAAAAAAAAAAAAGCTACCCAAACATGTAAATAAACGTTTTTTTTTGAACTAAAAAAGTGTGTGACACAAGTGTCTGGGAACCTCCTCTCCCCCTCTCTCTCTTTCCATCTCAGCATAGAGATGGCGTTTTACAATGTCTAACGTCAAAAAAGGTCCAATGAGAAAGAACATAGTAAGCCACAATGGACATAGAAACTCCACCCCCTCTCTTTGTGTAATATTATGGACGATCTTTTTTTCTTTTCTTAAACTCTTTTCTTTCCCTTCCATTAATATTATTATAAATTAATAAAAAAATGAAACGGAAACACATTCTAGTGAAATACATGGTGATTGCATGCTTTCTCTTGACATCTATCTATTTCTATCGACAGACAGGAGAGACAAGCAAAAGAAATGCCATTGAAAGAAACGTCGATCATCATCATCGCGATACCAACATCAATTACTGGACACAACTATCAGACCTTTCCATCACTCGCTACACTGCAGGTTGGAAGGATTTTGTCGAAAAAGAAAGAAGGAAACCATTACCCGCATGGCAGGATCCCTATGGTATTGTATTTGTTGCTGGCAACGATGATACCCTTAAAAGAACCATGGGAACCATCCGTCTTTTACAACTCACCTATCTTTGTACTCTACCCATCGAAATATGGCACATGGAACATGAGGCTGATACCGCTGCTACCTTCCAAGAGGAAATAAGTTCTTTTAGGGATGTCCGTTTGCGTGACTTGTCCGATCTGGGTCTTATAAAAAGCATCAGTCGTCGTCGCAACCTCGGTAAACAGTAAGTATTTAGTGAATCTTCTTTATCCTATACCTTTCCTTCTCATACATGAAGATTAGGTTCCAAGTGAAAGCAGCGGCTATTATCAACTCTCGGTTTCAACATGTCCTATTTCTGGACTCTGATAATATTCCCACTCGTGATCCAAGCTTTTTATTCGCCACACCCGAGTACAAGCACAAGGGAGCGATCTTTTGGCCAGACTTTTGGAAGACAGCCAGTGAAAACAAGATTTTCCGCTTACTCGAGATTTCATCGGAAAATGTGTGGGAACAAGAATCCGGACAAATTTTAATTGACAAGGAACGTCATTGGATACCATTACAATTGGCTTGGTACATGCAATATTACCACGAACTCTATTTTAAGTTACTGAATGGTGATAAGGATACCTTTCAATACGCATGGAGAGCCTTAGATGCTCCCTTTCATCGCATCCAGACTTTTTTGTCTATGGCGGGGTTACTCGTGGATGACCGCTTTTGTGGTCACAGCATGGTGCAGTACATGGATGGAGAAGATGACACACCTTTATTTATCCATGCGAATCTAATGAAACAAATGCCTCGCCATGTGTTTAATCAACGTCCGTGGCATTGGATTAAACGTCATCGTGGGGATCGATCGTCTGTGATTTTACCTCAATTTTATATGGCTATGAATAACACGTTGGGTTGCATGGATTTTCCTCTGCAAAAGGACTTGGATGATTTTGATCAACTCTTGCCTCATTTTCAAAAAGCTTATTTTGAATCAGGTGGAATAGGTGGATATAATACTTATATTGAATCATGAAAAAAAAAATATATATATATAGTCTGATAAGGGATTGGATGATAAAAAAAAAAGGGGAGGGGGAGGAAAGGGGGATAGAAAAGGGTGTGTGTGTGTGTGTGTGTGTGTGTTTGCATAAGAATAGTAATAATAAAAAATGGATCATAAAAAAATCAAGGGGGGGTTAGTCAGGCAAAGTAATTTAACAATAGAGTTCAGAATAAGCGTATTGAGCTTTTCTGGTTAATTCTTTCTTGTCGTACATATTGAATGCAAGTTCGTCCAAAGGCACAGTATCTAATAAACGAATAGTGACTTTGGGAGCATGTTTAACACCCGTTGCCTAATTTATACAGATTAAAAAAAAAAAAAAAAAATCAGAATTTACACACAAAAAAAAATGTGTCTTATTTTTTTACCCTGACATACGGAAAGAAAATGTCACCAAAGACTCGTTTCTTCTTATTCATGGTCATACCTTCCAGCGAAGAAAGAATGGCAGCAGCACCTGAATGTGTACTTTGCGTATCTTCTCCATTTAGGTTCAAATGGACAAGTGAAGGTGTGGTCGTCATCGAGGTAGGTTGTCTCACTCCTCCAGCGGGAGGGTTCCCAAACAGATAGAGTGCTTCATAGGCTTCCTCGATCTTTTGTTTCAAAAAGACAGGATTAAATAAACAAAGAGATAAATCTCGTTTCTTTAATGATTGGATCAAATCAACCAAATCGTTCAAGTCCTTTTGTTGATATTCCGACAGTTGCGAATACACTGCATCACGCAACTTTTGGTATTGGATCTGGCTATTGACACTCACCTGTTGCTGCTGTATGGGCTGCTGCTGCTGCTGGTGATGGTGCTGCTGCTGGTGCTGTATGGGCTGCTGGTGATGCTGCTGGTGCTGTTGCTGCTGCTGTATGGGCTGCTGGTGATGCTGCTGGTGCTGTTGCTGTTGATAATAAGAAGGTGGTGACACTAAATTAGTATTTGTTGTTGTTGTTGTTGCAATAGGTACATGATGCATAGAAGGGTACGCATGATGTGGAACTACCACAGGGGATTTATTATTGTGCATCCAAATACAAGTATCATTCCATGGATTGTGGGGCGGTAGCACGGCCGACTAGAAATAATTATATATATATATATAAAAAGAAGGTGTTTGGTTGGCCGGAGTGATAATAATAATATAAGGGGTTAAAAAAAAAGAAAAAAGAAAAAGAGAATACCTTGGGGGGTTCGGGCATGTATCCATAGGAGGCTGACTGGGGTGAGGGATAGCTCGTATGATGATGGTGTTGTTGCTGTTGTTGTTGTTGTTGTGGAGACGAAGAAGAGAGATCCTGACTGTTTCGTTGTTGTTGTTGTTGTTGTTTGTTGACTTGTTTCTTGTGTTCATGAAAGGTGACGATAATACATTTAGATTTGATAAGAGCACCATTCATCTGTTGTAATGCCTTACTTGCTTCTTCCATATGCGTAAAACTGACGAAACCATAACCCTTTGATTTACTAGTGATGGGGTCTTTCATGACTCGCGCAGATATGATTTTGCCATACATGTTGAATCGCTGAACTAAGTCAATACTAGTCACATCTGCGTCCAGGTTCTTTATATACAAATTCGTATAGTCAATCATGGTCATGACATTGCTGTCATGAGAACCTCTCCCATCGTGAGGCTTTCTTGTATTGAAGTGAACATAAGGGGCCGTAAGCTGTCTTTATCGTCAGTCTCTTTCTCTCTCTTTCTCTCTTTGCTTCCCTTACCATAGTGTCTTGTATATAAAGAAGGTATAAATAAAGAAAAAAGGAAAAAAAAAAAGAAAAAGAAAAAAAAGGTTATTTAAATAAGGGGGCCACATGACATTTTAAGGCCCATTTTTATTCTTTCACCCGTTTTGCATTTCTGTATGCAAAAAAAAAAAAAGTGATGCCAAAGGACTCTATTGAGAGCAGTCACAGAGCGTGACCCAATATTCTCCTACTCTCAACCCAAGTGACCACAATCTTTTGTTTCCCCTCTGCCCCCCCTTTTTTTATATATCTATCTTTTCTCTCTCTCTCTCTCTCTTTTCTCTTCTTTTTCATATTATTTATTTCCCCTTTTCCCACAAAAAAGCAGCATGTCGACTCATTCGTCACACTCTCCTGTCGAACTTGTTGGAGATTATATCATTCAAGAAAAAATAGGTCAAGGTTCCTTTGCTACGGTCTATAAGGCCAAGCATAAAGTAATGAAGAGAATGAGAGAGGATTAACTAAAACACTGACTCTCTCTCTTTATAGACAACAAATGAAATAGTAGCTGTGAAATCAGTACGACGATCCAAACTGACCAAGAAGCTATTAGAGAATCTGGAGTCTGAAATTTCAATTCTCACAGCGATAAGACATGATCATATTGTGGGATTAATTGAATGTCAGGTATTCATGCTACTACTACGCGCCGTTTCTATTTTTTTTTTTTTTTTTTTTATTTCCCCTTTTTTTAATCACCTTTCATTTTAGAAAACCGAATCCAATATCTTTCTTGTCATGGAGTTTTGCTCTCTAGGTGATCTATCACATTATATTAAGAGTATCAGAACAAACAAGGCAACTAAAGGTGCCGCAGGTGGATTACCTGAAAGAGTCGTTCGTCATTTCCTCAAGCAATTAGGTAAAATAATAAATAATAATAAAAAAAAAAAAAAAATTCCCTAAATCTAACCAATCATAAAAGCCAATGCACTACAATTTCTGAGGTCTCAAAATCTAGTGCATCGAGACATCAAACCACAAAACCTTTTACTTGTTCAACCAGTAGACAACTCTGACTTACCCGTACTTAAAGTAGCAGATTTTGGCTTTGCACGTTTCTTACCCAACACGACATTGGCAGATACTTTATGTGGTTCACCACTGTACATGGGACCCGAAATTCTCTCGTACAAGAAATACGATGCCAAAGCAGATCTCTGGAGTGTTGGCGCTGTCCTTTACGAAATGATGACCGGTAGACCTCCCTTTCGTGCTCAAAATCACATTGAACTACTCAAAAAAATACAGGAAAATAATGACAAGATTCACTTTCCAGATGAACAACGTCCAGATATTAAAATTGGCGCTGATCTGAAGGATCTCGTGTGTCAATTGTTAAAAAAGAATCCAGCTGAACGCATGTCATTTGAAGACTTTTTTCAGCATTCTGCTGTTCTCACTCACACTACACCGAATGTCAAAAGAAGACTATCCAATCGTCCTTCTTCTTCTTCCAGTTATGAACCTCCTCCTTTTGCTCAGTCCAGATGGTCTACAAAGGGTGAGGAACATGCTCCTTGGACATCACCCAAAGTGGAAGATGAAGATATCCTACAAGAATACATTGTCCTTGACAGACGTATTATTGAAACCAACCAATTTGCCGATGGTAAAGCGATAAATAGGATTTTTTTTTTTTTTTTTTTTTTTTATATATATACTTTCTCCGTTTCTGTTGTGATGTAGTAACTAAGGCCGTAACTAACAGACATTTTTGCCATAGCGCTGGATGCTTCCCCACGTAACCCAATACCAATGGAATCTCCTTCCTCTGCTGTGAATATACCCATATCCCCTTCTACACCCCCCTTTGCCCGAGAGAGAAGGACAAGTACCGGATCCTCAGCAGGATCAGCACTAGCCAAAGCACTCAGTAAAGCTTCTGTCCGATTATTCGGTACTAGTATACCATCACCACCCAAAGACCATGGTCATCTTATGGGATCACCGCATGGGTTCATGTCTTCTACTACCACACAAGGCACCATGAAACATATTGAACGATTAGCCTGTATGGCACATGCTGTAGCAGAGTATGCCGATCAAAAATACAAGACAAACAAGACGGAAGAAGCCGTTGTACTTTACCTTAAATCGTTGTCTATTCTTGAATCAGGATTGAATATAGCGCAACAGTATTGGCAAGCGAATGATTTAGAAAAGGATATACAACCGTTGAATGAAGCGGTGCAGTGGATGAGAGAAAAGTTTAATGAGTGTTTAAAACGAGCGGAATCTATCAAGGAACATGGACAGACGTTAGATTCTTGTGTAGAAAAGTTATTGTATGATCGAGCGTTAGAGATGAGTCGAGCAGCGGCGGTGCATGAATTGGTAGGGGAGAACATCACCGAATGTGAACAAGATTATCAAACTGCGATATGGATGTTGGAAGCCATCTTACAAGTCCGACCTAACGACGAAATATCCATTGAACAAGATGACAGACGCATCATTACCAAGTGTACGTATACTACTACTACTACTACTACTACTACTTTTCTTTCTTTATCTCTTATCTCGATTATTCATCCTTTTTGTTCTTTTTGTTTAGTCATCGACTCGATTCGTCACAGGATAACAGTTTTACGGAAGAAAATGGAAATGACGAAACGTGTTTAAAAAAAAAAAAACTCTTGTAAAACAACACCAATGAAAAAGAAATAAATTAATTATTCCATCTCCGCCTCCTTTTTTTTTTTGTCTTTTTGTTTTTTCTTGCAGCGGGCATCCCCAACCCCTTCTCTTTCCCCAAACCCCTTGAAAATGTCTGTGTTATTGGCAAGTTGTATTAAAAGCGTAACATGAGAAATTAATAAAAAAAAGTCAATATTCAAGGTCAGACAGAGAAGAAAAAAAAACAGTAACCATGTTTTAAACCAAATTTGGATCATTTTAATGTCTGCTTAACGAGAAAATTTTTTTACTCGAGTATTTGGAGGTCCGCTTTTTTTTTTGTCTCTAAAGGCAAAAGGCAAGGGGAGTTTTTATCTGTGTAAAAAAAAATAAAAAATATTTTTTTGCGGTCTTTTCTTTTTCTTTTACAATTTTTTTTTTATTTTTATAGAACAGTAAGTTTTTTTTTTTCTTTGTATATACATATTTTTTTTGGTGCCTGTTGTGTATGTATACATGCGTGTGAAAGGAAGGACAATGACTACAGAAAGTCAGTTTCCAGCGGCGCTATTCCTTACACAAACATTTGGTGTTTCGATATTTTAACATGTCAACACAACCTTTTTGGAGAGGAGCAATTAAATTATTTTTCTTTTTTACACTTGACATACGCACACACCCAAAAGAAAAGAAAAAAAAATTTTTTTTTTGTTATCCGAAATTTTTCGAAACCCTTGTACTAAATTCTATTTTTTTTTTTTTCTCTCTCTCTCTCTCTCTTTTTTTTTATTTTCTCCCTTTGTATTTATTTAGTAACTCCTACCTGGACCAAAAAAAAAAAAAAAAAAAAAAAAAAACAAATTAATTTTTTATAATGCAATCCATGCCGTATTACCAACAAGGTGGTTACCCAACCCAGACACCCTATCAAACACCTGGTGCACCCAACTCCAATGTTCTTAACAACGGTGGTCCCATGTTAAGTCACCCTAATGGTTTACCTCCAATGCAACATCCCGGTATCATCACCTCAACAGATCAATCCGGAGCTGTCACACAACAACCTCCTAAGCGTAAACAGGTTAAGAATGCATGCAGTAAGTTTTCATTAAAGTTAATTGTTTGTGCGTTTATTTACTCTTTTTATTTATTTTTATTTTAAAAGCCAACTGTCAAAAAGCCTGTAAGAAATGTGATGATGCAAGACCTTGTCCTCGATGTATTAAATACGGTATTGCTGATACATGTGTAAACTCCGTTAGAAAGGAACGTAAAAAAGGTATTAAGCGTGGTCCTTATAAGAGAAGACAAAAGACTGGAGGTAAATTCACATTATCTTTTGGAATAAAGGGGAAGGGGGCTTTGGGGAAGGTGAAATTATAGTATACTCACATGACATATTCTTACTTTTTCCGTAGAAGAGAAACCTCGCAAGGCAATTACAGACATGAACAACAATACAAATAACGAACAGAATAACCAACCAGCTCAATACGCACCTTCCTTGCGTGGTCCTACTATTCCATTCGGCTATCCCAGTAATTTGAATCAGTATGGACAACCCTATGACCCTTACAACCAATACGCTACCTATCATAAAGAGCAAATGATGTCTCAACCCTATGTTGTTAACCCCGTTTATCCTCCCATGGGTTATCCTGTACTTGTTCCCGGTACACCCGAAAATGGTCAAGGAGGTAACAACGGACAACAACAACAACAGCAACAACAACAACAACAACAGCATCAACCCCAACAACATCCTTACCAACAGCAACATTCTCCTATGCCTCAACAACATTATACAATGATGCATCAGCAACAACAACAGCAGCAACAACAACAGAGTCCTCAAACGTCTCGTCCTCCCATGATGCATAACGAACATGTGATGCACCAACAATCACCCGCTGGTAGTCCTCAAACTCAAGTGTATTACCAACAACAACAGCCACAGCAGCCACAACAACAACAGCAGCAGCATAGTCAACCTCCTTCTCAAAGAAATAGTCCTCATTTACCTGATATTAAACATGAGGGAGGAGAGAATTTTGTTAAGCCTCAAACCATGACACCTGTGCCTTCTGCATCCACATCCACAGCCACCACAGCTTCTCCTGACTCTGGTAAAGTTTTATATATATTAAGTCTTGCTTGTCTGTTTGTTTTAACATTTTTTTTTTTAATAGGTTCTTGGGTTCCTCCTCGTTCTACTTGATTTGCCTTTGTTTTTGTCTCTTTCACTCCATCATTCCTTGTTTTTTTTTTATTATTACTTTTTATTATTGCGTCTTCCCTTGCCACTTTTTTATCTGTAAAAACATTACACGATTTTTTTTTTTATATAAACACACACCCATTGCTTTTTTTTCACACCTTTCTTTTTTTTTTAAAAAAGAAAATACACGCACCACTCCCTTTCTCTCTCTCTCTCTTTTCACTCACACTGTATACATATAAAACAACATAAAATATTTTAAAAAACCTAGAACACAACCAAAAAAAAAAAAAGTGTATGACAAGAAATAAAATATAACAAAATAACCTGTCAACTCGGAGTTTTTCTAAAACATAAAAAAAAAGGTACAATCCAACAAACAAAAAGCCTAGTGATTTTCCCCTTTACACAAAAAGTGGCTTAAATTACTTTTTCCTCCCAAAAAAAGAAAGAGAGACTTGTCTCCCCGATCATCAGCCATCTAGTCTCATACCGCTCCCACCCAAGATACACGCCTTTTTTTTTTTCAGTGCAAGATGTTTACGTCAGAAAATAGAGTTCCCACACACACACACATACACCACACACATAGAAACGTGTTGTAAAGGGGTCAAATTAAACTTTTCTATAATTTCCTTTTACGGATATTCTAGATTTTTTTTTTTTGTGCTTGGATCCCCACTGCATGTCAAATGCGAACTAACTTTTTTTTTAAGCGTAGCTATGCTTCTTTTTTGGAGTGGAACACTCGGCTTCTTTTTTTTTAATAGCTAAAATTTATCACTGCTTTTACAAAAAGGTGGCTACCAGTATTTCAAGTGATGGTAATTTGTTCTAATAAAAACCAATCCTTGTTACAAACAATGAATAAAAAAAAACTACATGTGTTTAACTGACAGTAGAACGGCTATCTGTTCTGGGAGAAACTCTCGTGTTGAATAAAGACTGATATAAAGACAAGCCATCATCCCATGTGCCTCATTGTTTGTATATCAATGCGTGTCTAAAGGGAAGGAGTCGGCTCAGAAAATGTACCAAAAAAAGACACAATGGCCATTGCTCGTACCCCCAGCAAAAAATAACAGCAACTACGGATGCAATACGGCCCTTGGGAGACGCCATATTGAGCATATTTCATGCACATAGAGAACCCATTTATTTAACCCAAACACTGAGATTCATTTTTATTTTTATTATTATGATTATGATTTATGATTATGATTTTTTTTTAAAAAAAATGATCGACAAAAGGCCTGTTTTTTTTAAGCTCTACCTAATTCTTCGGCTAATTCCTTGCTACGGTCAGTGGCAGCAAACACGGCATCATGGATCAATTGTCGAATATTAGCATTCTCCATGGACTTGACAGCTGCTTCTGTAGTACCGTTGGGAGAAGTCACCTTGCGTCGTAAAGTAGCAAGATCATCAGTGGATTCTTGTGCCATACGGGCAGCACCCAAACATGTCTGCAATGTTAATGCCTTTGAGTCTTCAGCGGTTAAACCAGCGGCAATTCCAGCTTGTTCTAAATTTTTATGGAAAAAATTAGAAAGTTTAAAATAAAAATTTCACCACTATGATTTTACATCTGAAGACTTACCCATGGCTTCCATTACTAAAAAGAAATAGGCAGGTCCACTGCCACTCATGCCAGTCACAGCATCAATCAAAGACTCTGTTTCTACCCAGGATAATTGTTTAGAGACGGTACGTAAAAGACGTTCTGTCAAGTCTCTTTGAGATTGTGTGACAGAAGCTGTGGCAAAGAGACCGACGGCACCTTCACCAATTAAGGCAGGTGTGTTGGGCATGATACGTACGAGGGGGGCTTGATAACCAACAGGGTTCAACCAGCGTAAAATGGCTTCCGATTGAATACCGGCAGCAATAGAGATAATGAGCATGTTGGGATGAAGGTGTAATGTAGGAGCTAAGTTTTGAATGACGGTGGAGAGGACTTGGGGTTTGACGGCTAGGATAAGGATATCGGCACCTGTGGCACACAAGTCATTGTTGTCGGTTGCCATGACACCTGGGTATTTTTGTGTCATGTATTGAAGACGTTCAGCATAAGGTTCTGAAAATCGTAAGGTGTGGTGGGGTACTTGTGTGTAAAGACCGCCTAAAATGGCTTCAGCCATATTACCTCCACCGATAAATGCAATCACAGGTGTTTCGTTGCTGCTTGTCATCATTTTTTTTTTTAATAAAAGGGGAAAAAAAAAAAAGGTTGTTTGGTATCCAACGAAAAACATTTTTTTTTCTTTTTAGTAAAAAAAAAAAAAAAAACCATTGGCTAGTCACGATGAGTCTTACAATCACTAAAATTTCCTTTTTCAGAACAGAAGGGGGAGAGGGAGAGGGGGGGGGTTTATCAAAAAAAGGGGGGGAAAATAAGGGGTGGAGTTTTAAATTGTTTTTTGTGTGGTAAGTGTTATCACCCCCAAAACTGTAAATTGGAGCAGTAATTGTTCTTTGTCCTAATCCCCCCACACACGCCCACACTCCTTGTTTAGCTCATGTTGCACTAAATATAACTGCTTATTCGGACTTGTTAAATTTTTTCTTGTTAGCAAGCTCTCTCTCTTTTTTTTTTTTTTTTTTTACAAACAATTTTTTTTTTTTTATTATTATTAAAAAATTACAACACCCTTTCCTTTCCTTTTTATTTCATTACGTATACGACTATATAAATATATAAACTATGGGAGCCAATTTATCAAAAGCTTTATCAAAAATGTTTGGTAGCAAAGAGATGCGTATTCTAATGTTGGGCTTAGATGCTGCTGGCAAAACAAGTAATAAAAAAAAAAAAAAAAACTAGGAGCAATATATATAGCATCATCTCATGCCCTTCCAATTATTATAGCCATTCTTTACAAGTTGAAATTAAACCAATCTGTTACTACCATTCCCACTGTGGGCTTTAACGTGGAGTCAGTCACCTATAAAAACGTCAAGTTTAACGTCTGGGTAGAGTGTGGTGTTATATTTGAGTAGAAAAAAAAAAAAAAAAAAAAGACTAAAAAAAGAAACACACACATATATATAGGATGTAGGAGGACAGGACAAGATTCGTAACTTATGGAGACATTATTACACTGGAACACAAGGCTTAATCTTTGTTATTGATTCTCAAGATCGAGATCGTATTGATGAAGCTCGTCAGGAATTACATCGTATTCTGTCCGATCGAGAAATGAAGGACTGTCTCTTGTTGGTGTTTGCCAATAAGCAGGATTTACCTGGTGCCATGTTACCTCAAGAAGTCACGGAGAAATTAGGTTTAGACAAGATGAAGGAAAGACCGTGGTATGTCTATCCTTCCTGTGCAACCACAGGTGATGGTTTATTTCAAGGCTTGAATTGGTTGAGTCAAAATGTAAAGTCCAAGTAAAAAAAAAAAAAAATTCATACAGCAGAAGAAGCAACACACATAAAAAAAAAAAAAAAAAAAAAAAGAGAAACATATAACAAACAACCAATTTTAATATTATTATACTTTATTCCCTCCTTACTATTATTTACTATACTTTTTTTTTTCTTTCTTTTTTATTATACTCAATAAAAATGATGTCGATGATTATCAAAGGACTCGTAACAGACAGGGATCGATTCGATCCAAGGGGAAGTCATGACCTGATCAATGGTCCAACGTGTCTTTTCATCCGGATCAAACATACCATAGAGTCCCTCCCTTTCATGAGCGTTGCACTTGGAAAGTGGGATCCAACTCCTATCCTTTCGAGCCTTTAGGAAATCAATGTAATTAGGGTCTTCATTGCATGCCTTGAAGAACGGTATACGACGGTACAACATGCAATGCCAGGTGACAGCACAGCTCCAAATGTCAAATGCTCGACCGTTATATTCATCAGAATAAAATAATTGCGGTGACCAATATGGTTCTGACCCACATTTACCTCGCGACAACCTCGAGTCTTGATCAAAACAGGATTGGACTACATCGGCCACACCAAAATCTGCAATCTTTAATAGTCCCGTGGTTGTCATCACGAGATTCTCGGGCTTGATATCACGGTGTGCCACTCCACTTTGATGGATATGTTGTACTCCCAGTAACAGTTGCTTAAACAGACAATCAATCTCCCCGTCACTCAGATCAAACTGCTGCAAGATGGAAAAAACGTCACCACCTGCACACTACATGAGTAACAACATCATTATTTTAGTCCTTTTCTTTAATATACATCTATTGTAACATTAAGAGTTCACTCACGTATTCCATCACAGTGCACCATCGGCCTTTTTTATCTTTAAGCAAATCAAACACTTGCACCACATGCTGGTGACTCAGTGTTTTAGAAATACAGAATTCACTTGTCATTCGTTTATCATAGCCTTTTCGGGACTCATCCTTATGGTCTCGTTTACGGAATGTCTTGATAGCCACAATGGATTTTGTCGTGTTGGATTCGAGTAGTCTTAATTTAGCTGTAGCACCTGTACCGATAGTTTTACCCTTTTTATGATCCCTATATTTATCTTGTAATATCACCGATGGTTGTGCGCGTTCACTCGTGGGTGTGGTACATGCCGAAAATGTCGGCGAGGGAGGCAAATACGGTGTATTGTGACCATCACTGACAACAATCGAGGTTGTCTTGAGGTGACTGTAATCATCGTTGGGTAGCAACAGAAAACTCGAACCTGAGAGGTTGGTAGGTGTGCATGCGTCGTCTCCCGGTCGTGGTGAGGGAGGACTAGATCTTAGTGATAGACTGGATAGTTTTCTACTGAGTGTGGAAAATGTAGTGGAAATCGTGGGTGTAGGTATCTTGTTTTCAAATGAAAATCGGGCTGGTGGTGGTGATAATAGTATAACAGGTCTTTGTTCACTTGTTGTCATTTGTAGTTTAAGTGGAGTAAAAAAAAAAAAAGGAAAGAGTGGGAAATAAAAGAGATAAAATAAAAAAAAAAGAAGACTTTTTGTAATGCTAACCCCTCTTCTATATATATATATATATATTTATATTTATATAGTACCCTGTTTTACATAACCCCCCTTTCAGCCCTTAATAACATGCATAATGCAAGCCGATAAGGCATATCTTTATTTTCTTCACTTTCCATAAAGATAGTTAGAGTCTCGTTTTTTTTTTATTTCAGTTTAAACCATATTCGGCCTCTCTCTCACACACACACTTTCTCATTTTTTCAATCCTTTTCTAAATTTGGCATACGAAGCACTTTCTTGTCTTCATTTTTGGCATGTTGTTTAATCATCTCCAAGACCTTTGAGTTTTGCCATCTGGGGGGTACGGGTTTTTTATCTGTAGCCCAATAAAAGATATCCCAGTCCGGTTCATCCAATAGAGCATCATATTCCTGTAAATCCTTCAATTCAAAGCGGGGTAACCATACCTTGGCAAATGTAGATAATAACAGGTCGGTTTCAAGAATACCACGCTTTCGACTTTGATATCCTAATCGACGACGTTTGTTCTCCGTGCTTTCGTTGGGGCGAGGAATGGGGGGTAAGTTGGGATAAGAACTGTCCAGTGCGGCTTCTGCTGAATGACGAATCGCAAGGTTGGGATAAGGATCCTCTGACTTTTTCTCAAAAGGAACTCGGCTCACGCTCAAATAACGACACCTGTTCAATGTACGACCAACAACCAAACGACTAGTACTACGCAACATGATGTTCATTGTAATAAAAATGAGGGATTATACAATAAAAAAAAAAAAAAAAAAGTAAAGTCGAATTATGCTTTTGGGGCAGGGGGTGGAGCTTTCATTTTCGGTATCTCAAATATTGTCAGAGACATTTCCACTCAATGCGTCATGTTAATGTGTGTGGGAAACGCCTATCTTTTTCTGTGTGTAAAAGAAAGAAAAAAACGGAGATGCCATTGTGCAATTCTAAATGACAACAGAAATTACAGATTTAATTCTAGTCTATCATAGATTACACAATAATGATGATGTGATTTTCTACAAGAGCTGCAAAACATTGCAAACCCCCCACCCTCACCCCTGAATCAGCTGGGAGGAATCTTTCTCTCTTTTTGTTGTGACATAATATACGCCATGGTTGAGTAATTAATTTATGAACAATTCAATGCATAACATAACGTAATTTTAAAAAGACGTGATCCATAAATCACTATCAAAATGTCACTCAATTTTTTTTTTTTTTTATCGGGTGTGGTTAATTACACAGTTGACATTTTTCTTTTTCTTTATTGCTCACTGTGCATCCTTGACTAGGATGCATCCATCAAACGACTACTAAACAAATGATTTAGATGCATAGTTTTCTATCCGATTCCATCTTGTCATCATTGTTTATTGGGTAATCATGTCGTTCTATAATAGAGTGACATACGCTTTCAGAGCATATTTTTATTTATGCACATGACAGATTTTTACACATTATGCAGACTGGGACGTTGGATCACTTGTTCAAGACGGAAGTCCGGTAGCAGAAGAAAAAAAAGAAAGTATGCATTATACAATTTAACGCCTCCTAGTAGAGAAGGATCATGATAAGGTTTTCCCCCAATCAGTTGTATATGAGAATCACTCCGTATAATAATAAAACAAAGCTTAAGACTAAAAAAGATACATGGTTCTCTCTGAATCATGTCATTTAGTGTTTTCTATTCCATTCATACATACAACATTTTGCAAAGGATTTTAAATGACCCTTTTTTTTTATATATATATAAATATGCATTTTATACCATTTGTGTTAAAAAGAAAAGGAATGCTGCGCATACTTAAAAAAAATTTAAAGTCCTCCTCATTCATGAAGTATACAGTGAGTAAACACACAAGCTTATACAAATACTACGATTGATTTTATTCATGACTGTGAATTTATAATGGATGCTGGGGGAAAGGGACAACTTTTTTTTTTAAAAAAAAGACAGACACTTAATTATAAATACCTTTGAGGATAGCGGCTGTTCTTGCTCTTCTTTGCTTAACTTGTTCGAGTACATCCGATACAGATTGAAGAGCAGTCTTTGTGGCAGACTTTTTTGTTGTTGTGGTAGGATGACGATATGGCCCATTCTCTGACAAGTAGGAGTGACGAGAAGGTGGAGTGGCGGGTCCGTTATCGTAATCCTCTGAATAAGATGAGCTGGAACTAGAACCGCCGTCTGTCATACTACTATGAGAGGTGTGTTGATAAACACTACATGCATAATTTTCATTGGCTTTCTGATCCTCGAAACCGACTGTCACAGCTGTTGTTTCGTTTTTAGCTTGGTTGGAGTTTCTTGTACGTCTGGACGGGACGGGTAAAGACGAATGTTGATGCACGTCAGATGGTATGGCTGAGAAAGATCTAGATCGACGTGGTTGATTGGCTCGGACCGGGGCCTTACCATTGTAAGAAGATCGCTTGTCCATAGGTGGCTCCCTGTTATCATCAGCAAAAGATACCCTTCGAGGAGGTTTTTGTTCATCAAGGAAAGAGACTCTTCGAGAAAGATGGGCACTGCCTTTGTCTTGAGTGCTGACCTTTTGTTTGAGTATAGATCCAGAGATACGATGATGTTTTGTATCAGGAGGTGGTGGATCTTTTTCGGTTTCCATCTTGGCTGTTCTTTGATTAAGACTGGTGGTACGACGCATGCGGGAGCTTGAATTTACATCATGCGTGGTGTTGTCAAGTACCAAAGAAGTACGGCTGGATTTGGTAGAGTGTTGTCGTGGAGCAGTTGAATCCATACGACCAGAAGCAGTGCGAGTGACCTTTCTTGGATTGGTGTGCTCCATGAGAGAACCTGATGGTCGTTGAGTGTACTGGCTAGTAATGGCTGAGATTTTTTGGGCTGATGGTACTGGTTTAGATGCATCATTGGCGTGACCGGATTCATGACGCTTGTGTTCCTTATTGGGTTTATCTTTGGTACAAAGACGTCGACTGGTATTATCTCGAGCTTGTGAGGTAGTCTTGGTAGCCTCTTTCATTGTGGTGGTGGCGGTGGTGGTGGCGGAATGACGTGGCTCAAACTTCTTTTGTTCCTCCTTTTTATCCCGATGATGATCATGGGCATAAAGAAGATGATTTGGTGAATACCGACTGGTTGTAATTTTGGTGGTATTCTCAGTAGATGGATGTTGTTGAGACATTCGGGGAGCTACATGAATACCTTGCGTTGAGACGAGATTATCTTTGCCACTGAAAAGTGAATCACGTGGTTGCTTTTGATATCTGGAAGTGTTATTAGTTGATGTCATTTTGATGACATTGGGCGGAAGCCATTCCTGGGAGTATTTACTGGTGGACTTTGACTGCGATACGCGTCGTGGGATATGGCTGACATAATTAGTGGGTTGTTTGGTAAGACAATGTGACGATGATGCATCTGTGTTTTGTTTGGTTCCACTAGAAGAAGTATGTTCTGTATTATTAATAATAGTAGTGGGATTCTCCTTTTGTTTGGATGGAGCGGTTTGTTTCGAAGCCAATTCAAATAATAATGTACCTCGATAACGAGGGTGTTCTTCCATTGGGCTTGAAGTGATGATCTGCTGTCTGTTTGTATTGCCATTGGATGACGATGCTGTATTCCTAAAGAAAGAAATAAATCAATAAAGGCGTTAAAATATTATAAATGTATATTAAAAGGAATTTATTTTATTGTACGCGATTTTATTCTTACCTTGACACGAAAGACTCTTGATTGATTTGGGGTGAAGGAGTCGCGAAGTCGCGAATCGACATGGTTTCATTATCGTAAGAGCCCATCAATTCTTTAAGATCACTTTTAACCAAGTCTACCACTGAATTATTATCTAATAATTTTTTTAATTAATACAGGCAGTTTAGTAACGGAGTTGTTGTTTTTTTTATTTTGTTTATGCTTACCTGAGACAATTTTATTGAAGTGGGCGAGACTATCGGCTGCGGAGGGAGTAGGTGACAAGGCAATCCTCGGTCTTATGGGAGATTCATTACCAATACGGGGAGAGTATAAGGGTGGTAGTCTCCATGTGTTGTTCTCCATGGCCTTGTACATGGGATCAATGGGACTCGAAGAAGTTGACATGGGCGTTATAAGTGAGTTTCGAAGTTTCTGAATGGCAGTGTCATCGTAGTTTTTGAAACTTAACCGAAACATTCCATCGATGTCATTGTTTTGAGAGTTGTTACCAAGGGAGGTTGTTTCTTCTTCAACTAATGCTGTATCCAAATCAATAAAATCGTTTTGGTTAAACGCGAAGTAGGAGTTATCTGCGACAGACATAATTTTTATTTTGAAGTGGAGAAAGAAATATAAAAAAATAAGAGGCGGAATTTTCTTTTCTTTTATATGCCAAAAAAAAAAAAAAAAAAAAAAAATTACGTGGGAACACCCTTTTTTGTTTGATACTGAGAAAAAAGATCAGGCAGTAAAATACACACATAAATTAGGAACCATCAAAATCTATTTGGAAAACATGCACATTTGACAGATTTCTTTGTGCTGTTATTGTTTATAGAATTTCAGGTTTTAAGTTATCTCTTGTGACCCAGGGCCTAATTTCTATTGTTCATGTTTATTATTAGAATCGACATTTGAATTGTGCACTGGCCGCCTCTTTTCCTTTGTTTTCATTGGCTTAACCAAATTCATCAAATTGCTGTATACTCGTAGTAACAGCTGATGTACCCGAAATAATTCAGGTTTTTATTTTCTCACTCATTCTTTACGAGTAAAATTAAACACTTTTTTATTTTATTTTCACAGATCCCGGACTATGTAATACATGTAGTTTAAAAAAGAAGACTTTACGGGGATCCACTCCAAAGATGATTAAAATAATGCCGCTTTAATTCGTACTACTTGGCCATGGTGCGCCTTTATATTTTCATCTTAAACGTGTTACAGCAAAAATAAAGTTTTTCCAGATCGAGCATGATGTTGTTTTCAACTGTTCTCAAAATAGCAAAAACACAAGTAGCCCTCATCCATTTACATACAAAACTTTAAATTATGTCCGTGTTTATCCGTGGTAATCGAACTTTTTTTTTTTTTTTTGTTTACCCACATTGTTATAGAAAGATGTATTGTAGCAACGCTTTTGCTTAGAGGCATTGTCATGTCCTTTTTTAAGGGCCCCACTCAGTACAAACTTTTTATTTATTTGGATGGATCATTATCAGTAAAAGGCTTACACAAGAAATTATGCCAGACATAATCAATTAGGTTGAGTCAATCGTAATTTTGTGCATTACCCGAATTTCGAAACCACTCAGTGTATCTTTATCCTTGTAATTTATTTGTGTGTGGTTCCTATTTTCAATCATTATGGAGATGTAGTAGATAAATTAATACCTTATTCTTTTTTCGTTAACTCCAAATACTCGATATCTCTTTCGCATCTAAATTAATTGATTGCAGCGTGCATTATGATGCTCAAGAAGTATTATTTGATCCTTTTTCTCTAAATGGGAAGTATTTCGGCCAATTAAAACTAACAACGCGTGAACCTTCAAAACTCATGTAGACTTGCATTTCAGTGTAAATCAAGGGGTCATGTCAACTAATAAAAGTTGTATATCGATTGCCCCCTCTATCTCCCCTAAATCTTTATTATTGAAGTACGATAATTTTCAACGGACAATAAATGGTTGTCCTCCATATCACTTTCAAGATTCTTAACTAAAAATGTACACTGATGAACAAGAGTGGTACCTTATTTTGAGATACAAATGAATGACAACATAAAATAGAGTGTATTTTTTATGTAATGTATTATCTTTGTTAATGTCTGCAACCTTCATATAAATATAATAACTTAAAGTCTTTGACCAGAGTTAAGGATTAAAGTAACGGATCAAAGTATATGTTTTATAAGATGGAAATTTAATGTGGCAAGAGTACTGAGCTTGCTTGGGCAATTGTGACAATTAAAATTTGCTTACTTCTACGTTGACCTAAAAGATATACCAAATCTGGATTTAGTTTTGGCAACCTTCGATGTTATTGTCGGGGTGAACTCCACGTAGTTTTGGTCAGACAAGTGGTCATATAGCGGACTTGTATATATATAATATGATCCAGAAGGCTGTCAGTGCTTGATAATGAAGACTTATTTATGGATGTTATATCAGCTGCAGGAAGAAGTATCTAAGGACCAGAAGGTTGATCGGTTAGGACGTCGCTTATGCTGTCTGATGATTTTAGAAAATGATACGTTTTACCATCTCCACCCACCAAGGATATCGGTTCCAAATTTCCAATTTTTTCAAACATTATCGAGCTCTCTTTTTCACGCGTTGACCCAAAAGATGTACCAAATGCCAAAAATAATCGATCATATTCCCTTAATAAAATCATTAGTATTTGTATAAGCTTGTGTGTGTGTGTGTGTGCTCTTACTCTGTAGAGTTCATTTTTTTAATTGAGGAGCGGAGCATAAATGGGGATGGCCTTAATAGCTTTAACTATACATCATCCCTTTTTTAAATACACATGACTGGTATAAATACATATATAAAATGTCATAAAATTCTTTGTAGCATTAATACTGGAAGTGAATTATGAATCGTAAGATGTTGTATGTATGAATTGAATAGAGAAAAATAAAAGATGATCCATTATTATTAAATACGACCTTTCTCTTTTATTAATGATGTGATGGAGTATAGGTAAATGGAACACAAATTCTTAGATAACGTGTCTGGAGATTAAGGTTCAAGGCAGTAAATGCATGTAGCAGTCACTATATATTAAAGATTTTTTTTTTTTCTTGGAATGACACTTTTTTTATTTTTTTTTTACATATAACCTTTGCTATCTTCTATCATGTCCTCACTTACTAGCCTTGGCATCAGTAAAGTATTTCCAAAACTAGTTTCAACAGTCTACATGTTCAAAAAGAGGCTAACCTTTTGATAATAGATAAAAATAAAAAAGCGTTTGCACCTAAAGTCGGCAAACGTAATGTCCGTAAGCCTGGCTCCAGTAAAGAAAAAGCTGCCGAAAAGAAGACAACAGACCGTGTAAAGAAAGAAACTGTCGCAGAAGCAGCGCCAGTGATTGAAGACAATGTGCGAATGGAAGAACAAATTCAAACGGTGGAGGAACCCACTTTTACCACACCCGATCGCGTCCCCGCAGAACCCATGAATACCGACCTTGAACTGAACGAATTTGGTTTGACACAAGAAGAAATGCAAATGAATGCACTAGCCACTGCAGCCGAAAGACAATCCTTTTCTCCATTTTCAGCTCCTTCTCCAGTCGCCAATGTAGACGACGAAGGTTCTGATTGTGCATTGAGAGGCACTCGATCAAGCGTCAAATCAGAACGTATCACACCTGGTGCTCATTCTTTGCGGAAAAGTATGTCTAGAGCTTTAAAAGAAGACGAGGGAGAAAGAATTGATGCCAAAGATATTTTGGCTGCGGCGCCAATGTCTTCTACACCCGCTTCCCCCGCTAATTTCGAAACATGGACACCAACACCCAGTCGAACACCTTCACCACCGCCCTCTACTAAAAAAACCAGATCTAAAAAAGCAAAAGGTAAAGGAAAAGCAGTTGAAGGCAATATATCCACATCAAAAGCATCTTCAGCGACAAAGAGATCTGCGAGAACAACAAAAGCAAGTACCAGTGGTGGTAGTTCAATAGGAATTGGTATACCTTCCTCATCGGGTGCTACACCTATTTCTATTGGCGCACCAACTGCTACTGATACAACCGTTAAAGAAGAAGAATCAGGCAAAAAAACGGGTGTGAGACGTAAAGGAGTCAAGAAATTTGCTTACCGTTTACCAGAGAATTTAAAGACGTTAGATGATATCACAAATGATCCTGCAAAACCAGATAATTTGGAAAAACCCATGTGTGCATTTACAAAAGATATTGATGGTATTGTTTCAAAAAACTTTAAGGAAATGGAAACAGTTCGTTATACAGAAAAGAGAAAATTGGAAGAAGCTGCTAGTTTATCACCAGAAGAGTTGGAAGCAGCAAAGAAAAAGGAAGAGGAAGAAGAAGAATTGAATGCCAAGAGAAGAAAGATCGCTCAAGAAAAGGAAGCTGAAAGACGTAAAAAAGAAATGGATGGAACTATATTAGCTGAATCGTAAAGTTAATCAACCATATCAATTACAATCAGAGTATTTATAATTTTATTATTAGGGCAAACTCTCTTCAAGTACGTCTTGTCAACGGTCAAATTGTGTTGGATACAGATTCGCTTACAGTGGAAAGAACCCAAAATGAGATTGATTACGGTGATGGAGCAATGGAAGTGGTAGAAGAAAATTCAATGACAAAAAAGGTCAACAGTCAAACCTATGGTAAACGTCAACGCTCTGTTCGATGGGATGCTGTGGAAACAGAGTTATTTTATGATGTAATTATTATTATTATTATTTAGACATCTATGTTCATGCCTTTACTAACTCTTTATATATAGTGTATATCACAATTTGGTACGGATTTCGAAATGATTTCAATGGTGATGCCAGGAAGAACCAGAGCTCAAGTTCGTTCAAAGTTTAATCGGGAAGAGAAAGTAGCACCCGAAAAGATCACAGAGTATCTGATCAAGAAGAAGAAGCCATTAGGTAAAGTTGTCTTACTCTCAAGAGTTTTTGTTCCTATTGTGACTAACGATTGATTATAGATTTAACAAAATATGAAGAATTGGCTGGTATTGCACTTGATGATGTACCAGAAGATTTCCATGAGATGCAACTTGCTTAATTTTTTTTTTTTGAGTTTTAAAAAATAAAGAATTGTCCTAAAGAAGGCAATTGTTTTTTTAATTTCAAAAAAAGGGTGATTTTATTTTTTATTTCTCTCCTTTTTTTTTCTTCTTTTCCCAACAAAAAAAAAAATGCAGACAGATGACAATCAAAATCGAACTTTGAGAGGGCCTAGGCAACAACGATTTCCCAGAAGAGAACCTCGTATGGCTATTAAGGTGATTGTTCCCACCAGAAAATTCGTGCCACCTTCCTCTCCACCCATTCCGTACGTTTATCCACAACCAAAACCATCTATCGAAAGAAGAGAATCCAAAACAGAATTACTACTCAATCAAATTATTCCTTCTCCTTCATCTTCAACAAAGATTATCGATGAAGTACGAAAACCTTCTGTGCAAAAAAAGAAATTACCACCTAGGCCTCCTCCAAAGAAACCTGTGCCTGTCATTTATTCTTCCTCAGAGGATGAAGCAGAAGAGGAAAATGATGATTTTATTTACAAGGATCTATCTCGTAAAATGAGTGTCCATGATATCACTCTTTCTGATGACGATGACGATGATGATGATGATGAAGAAGAGGAAGAAGAAGAAGAAGAAGAGGTAATTCCGCCCGTGAAGCCTTTAGCACGTCAAGTTAGCCTACCACCCATCCCCAAAATATCAGCACCTAGCAACAATAGCTTACCTCCTATACCCACTATTTCAGCACCTGGTTACTCATCGGACGAAGACAACAACGTTATTCCCACCATTTGTGTCCCCGGAGGCTTTTCAGACGATGAAGATGTCGTACCAAAAAAGAAAAAATTAGATGCCATCTATAACGCTCTTTATTGCGGTGTACGATGTGATGGATGTGATGGTCCTGTCAGTGGACAAACCTTCAAAACAAACGGAAAGCACTGGCACCCAGATTGTTTTAAATGTCAGTCGTGTCGACAAAACCTGGTACATATTGCCTATTACGAAAACAAAGGTCTGCCGTATTGTGCCTTGGATTACCACGAACTCTTTAGCCCACGTTGTGACTTCTGCAAGACACCAATCGAAGAACACTCAATATCAGCATTGGGTAAAACCTATCATGCTGGACATTTCTTTTGTCGTGAATGCGGAACTCCATTTAAAGAGGAATCAAATATTTTTGAACATGATGGGCACGCTTATTGTGAAAAAGATTACTATAAACAGTTTGGAAAAACCTGTAAAGGATGTGAAGAATTGATTACAGATACTTTTCTGGTGGCCCTCGGGAGTGATTGGCATAAGGAATGCTTCGTCTGTGCTGATTGTGGTGGTGCATTCTCCTCCTCCACCTTTCTGGTGAAAGGTGGAAAACCTTACTGTGAAGACCATTACGATGCCAAAAAACCCAAACAGCTACCCTTAAAGAACACTCCTGTCACAACCAAAAAAAGCTTACCTTCAATACAACCCGATGAAAAGATGTGTCATAAATGTGTTAAGCCTATCCAGGGTAGACTTGTAAGTGCTTTTGGCTATGATTATCATCCATTGCACTTTCAATGCTCAACTTGTAATAAATTGTTGTCGGCAAGAATTGCAGGTAAAAACATCATGCGCTATTATTTACTATTATGATGTACTAAACCAGATACAATAGAATCATACCAAGAAGGTGATAACGGCGAGTTAAAATGTAGAAAGCCTTGTGTTCGTAAAAATAGATTAGTGGACATGTAACAATTAAAAAAAAAAAAAAAAAAAAGTAATGGCCTGTTGATAGCTTTTTGTGATACCCCATTATTTCTATATTAATCCTTATTTTCCTGCTATTTGTGTTCTTTAATTCAAAGACAACTCTTTTTTTTTTTCTTATTTATACAACATGCATTTGGTCAATGCTAATGAGAGGACGCCTCTCATACAATCTCCTCAGAAACCTAATATAAAAAAAACAATTCACGTTTATGGCACCACGATCGGATTCCTCTTTCTCTTTTCTTTAGTGATTCATTGGTACAGAACATGCTTACCGACACCTTTATCCGATGTACAAGCTAAAGTGGTTGACGACTTTTCTGGTATTCACGCTTACAATGAATACCTCAGTCATTTCGTTGCTCCTCATTCAGCTAATACACGTGAAAATGGTGTTATGAGAGACTGGATCGCTTCTGTTGCCACCAGTCTTCAAGAGGATGCTATCAGTCGAGGTTTAAAAATCGATGTGATTGGAAATGACCCATCTAAAGACGTTTTCGCTCAAGACTGGTTTACACCTAGTAAGATGGATATCCTTAACAAAAAATAGCCCTTTCTAAACACTTTTTTTTTTGGCGGTATAGATGAACATTGGTTTATCGAGTCACGTAATGTCATGATTCGTTTACACGGTCAATCAGGTAGAGACGAGGCATTATTAATCAATGCCCATTATGGTAAGTTTGCATTCGCTTTTTTATTTCATTGTGAGAAAATTCATGTATTATGTGGTCATGTATATTAGACAGTGTTCCCACAAGTAATGGTGTCACGGACAATGGAATGGGAGTTGTCACCACAATTGAGTTATTACGTTACTTTATTCAAAACCCTCCTCGTCATACCATCATCTTTTTGTTAAATAACTTTGAAGAAGGTGGTTTGATCGGTGCCAAATCATTTATCAAACATCCTTGGTATTCATCTGTCAAGCTCTTTATTAATCTTGGTAACTAAAAAAAAAGAACTATTTTAATCACCATTTCTAACATTCGGGACAAAAGAGGGTGCGGGTGCGGGTGGAAGAGCCTTGATGTTTAGATGTTCCAATTTGAACGCTGTCAAGAAACTTGCCAATTCAAATGCTGCTTTTAAACATGCATCTCCACTTGGCAATGATATGTTTAAAGCGCAACTATTAAAAAGGTAAATTTATTTTCGTGGGATGGATTACCTATGTGGGTTGCTAAATCATTTTTTTTTATCAAGCGACACGGATTATTCAATTTTCACTGAAACTGGTGTTCCTGGTTTGGACATTGCTTTCTATGCCCCACGATCCCATTACCATACACCACTTGATAATCTGGCAAACACAACACCTGAAGCTCTTCAACATATGGGTCAGTTAGCCTTAGCTGCTGTAAAAGGTATCGCTAATAGTGATGATATGTTGGAAACACCCAAGGAGCAAGAATCCTTCATCTATTTCGACATTTTAGGTCGTTTTATGTTTGCTTATAGTCTCACTACATTTCAAATTATCAACATGCTGGCTCTCTTAGCCGTTCCTGGAACATCCGTCTACATGTCCATGCGCCAGAATCAAGGAAAGACGACTTCAGAAGTGTTGCTCGAAAAACTTGAACTTACTGCTCAAGGACTTTTAGCCGTGTTTTCTGCATTGATCCTGATGATCTTACTTACTGTTATTGCCGTATATAGTATGAGCTTGATCAACCCTTCCATGACTTACGGCGATGTCTATGGCGCAGCTATTTATTGTTTTGTCACAGCTTTCTTGGGTCTTCAACTATCTCAACTAATCCTTCCGAAGAAACTTAAGCAAACTCTTGTCTCGACAGATGCTGCATGGTATGGTTTAATGGCGTTTTGGTGGATCTTTGTGGCGTTTTCCTCTTTTGCTGGTTCAAAGGGTGTGGCTGGTTTATGCTTTGCAGTATATGTTTTAGCATTCAATTCCTCATCTGTATTGTTGCATAATCTTTTACCTTCTACGCAAAAGTTTCGATCGCCCTTTATTTTCTTTTTACAAACCTTGGTTCCCTTTGTCTTTTTACTAGAAATTGACTTGTTAGTTATGGATGCTATGCGTCACGCAACAGCGGATGGCACTCCCGAAATTGCCGGTATATATTAGGCTTTAAATTTCTCTCTTGCTGCTACTGATTTTTTTTTTTTTTTTTTTTTTTTTTTTTTTTGGATAAGTGTATATTCTGATTGCACTGCCACTCATCTTGATCGCAATACATTTCTTGCCTTGGATTTACGTAGCTGGTAACCAACGCCAGTCAACATTAGGAGCTTTGGTTGCATTTGTATTTATTTTTACGATTTGTTCTGCGCTTCAACCATTTAACGGTACATGGTCACCCAACAAACTTGTTTTCAGCCAAGTATATAATGCCGGGGAAGCTTTGGCCACCGTAACGGTGTTTACAGCCACGGGAGTTCAATCGACTTTAAAGGCCGCCTTACCAGCCCACGAATACAGCACGATGCAATGCGAGCCTTTTAAGAAATTCTTGACACGTTGTACCTACCAGACTGATTTGTTGCCAAAATACGGTAGCAACGCCACACTAGGAGAAGTGGAATTATCAGAAGTATTAAAAATATGCGATGATTTCAAATGCAAGTCGACGGCAACGTATAAATCTAAGAATAGTTTGATGTGTCGCCTTTATTTCGATCCGATTGAAAACCAGCCAATTCAACAAGCTTGGGTGAACGATGAGGAGATCAAGAGTCAGAATATATCCGCTATATTGAGTTATGTGGACCGATATGAGCAAGAGGTGACATTTAGTGTGGAGTATCCTGTCACAGCACCTGAACCAAAAGCCACACTTGGCTGTTTTTATGATGAATGGATCCATCATGAGATTCCTGCGTTTACTACATTGCGTGATAATCTTCCAGGACATGCAGTCTTATTGATTCGTGGGCAGGGTTTAGCGTTGGTCAACTACATGAATGTCACTTTATAAAATAAACATTCTTTTTTTTTAAGGGACCGACTTCCAACCAGTTCAAAAAGAAAATCTTTTTCTTTAATTCTTTCCATTCAGTTCTTTTGTTTTCTAGATCCTAATCTAAAAAAAAAAGATCAGATTTCATAAATGGTTTTGTCTACTGTGGATAATGAACGACAAAAGCGACTTTCGGATCTCTTGACGATGGTCCAAATGAAGAAGGATCAAAACCAAGAAGGCTGTGCCGAAAATAAAGCAACGTATATTGCCACCCCCTTGACCAAACCCGCCGCTCCTAAACGTGCTCCTTCTAAAGCCGTCTTACCCAACTATCATTTCAATACCGATCAAATTTGCAACCAACTCGATTTACCCATGAATCCCAGCATCGAAGTTCGTCCTTACCAACAAGAAGCCGTCGATGCCATCATTGATAAATCCGATCCAATCTCTACCAACCACTTTGCTAGATCTGGTATTATTGTCTTACCTTGTGGTGCTGGTAAAACACTCACATCGATCCTCGTTGCCAGTGCCATCCAAAAACCCATTTTGGTCGTCTGCTCCACCATTATTGCTGCGGAACAGTTCTCCAGCGAATTTCTTCGATTCACTACCCTCATGGCATCCAAGACCGGCATGTTTGCTGGTGCCAAAAAATGGCCATTCAACGGTCCTTCCGGTGTACTCTTCACTACTTATACCATGCTTGTCGACAGTAAAAATAGAACAAACGACTCCAAAAAGATGACTTCATTTATTGACAAGACCGAATGGGGTTTACTCATTCTCGATGAGGTGCATTGTGTGCCTGCCAATAATTTCGCCAAGGCCATCACCCGAATTAAAGCCAAAGTCAGATTAGGTTTGACAGCCACCATGTTGCGTGAGGACGAACGTATTGGTGATTTAGAGACTCTTGTCGGTCCTACATTATACCATGCCAAATGGAAGGAGTTGGCGGATAAAGGTTATATTGCCAAAGTCATTTGTACACAAGTCGAAACGGATATGACAGCACTTGTTAAATCTACACACGAAAGAGTTCAGACACAAGGAGGCGGACTATTAGGTCATGCGCATCATTTAAAGACACTATTGGCTATTTTAAACCCTAAAAAGATGCAAATCTGTCAACGTCTGATTCAATATCATGAAGCCAAAGGAGATAAAGTTCTTGTTTATTGTGATCATATCGATGCGCTTAAATTATATGCTGAAAAAGTGAACCGTCCTTACATTTACGGTGGTACCCCAATAGATGAGGCGAGACAATTATTATCCAGATTCCAAATCGATGTTTCATCTACAAATGAAGAAGATTTAAGCTGGAATGAAATCGCTAAAAGAAGATCATTGAAATCAAAGCAAGTGAACACCTTGTTTTTATCTCGTATTGGTGATACTTCTCTTGATTTACCCGCTGCCACTGTGTTAATTCAAGTCTCTTCTCATTTCGGTTCTAGACGTCAAGAAGCTCAGAGATTGGGTCGTGTTCTTCGTGCAAAGAAAAGAAATGAAAAGGGTTTCTACTCCAGATTCTATACGTTGGTCACGAATGATACACATGAAGTGCAATTCTCTGAAAAACGTCGTCAGTTCTTGGAAGAAGATTGTGGCTATGGTTACCAAATCTGGAAAGTCGGTGCAGAGGAAGAAGGTGGTTGGACTGTTGATGCCAATCGTGATAGCTCTAGCCCCGATGATGACGAGGTGAAAACAGACCCTCTTACCTGTACAATTCAAGGCGCGGATGAACGTCCTTATGCTACAGAAGAAGACGAATCTCAATTGGTTGATTTCTTGACTGGTCTCAAAAATGTGCTCGTTGAAAATGAGGAGGATGAACTTATGCCTGCTACCACTACCGCTACAAAGAGAAAAGCAACTTCTGCCGCTGGTGCCGCTGATAAGAAGAGAAAGTAAAGACATCCCTTTTTTTTTTTTTTTGATCGTGTATTGAAGCTCCCTGTTTATTTAAATAAAGAATACTATTTATAACCACGAATTTATGAGAGCAATGAAAGGAATTAACGCTTCATACGTGTCCATCACTTTATCCAGAAATCCAGCACTCACTACCTCTTCATCAGTAAAGTTCTTCCTAACAGCAAAACTCCTGTACCGTAAGAGTTCAATTTCAGGATGATCCCTTTCGATGCCTTTGGGTGCAACCTTCAGCATATCACTTTTTTCCAGAATATCTACACCAGATTCTCCATCAAATTCCTCAATGATTGCATCGGTTGAAAGTGCCTCACGTAATAAATCACCATGTCGAATGATATTATCACGCATTCTTTGGAGTTTATATTTGTCAGGCTGCCACACACCTGCAGCTACCATACTCTTATTACCTGGTTCGAGCGAGATGAAATAGCCGGCACGTTCAAATTTACGACCTTCAGCAGAAAATGAGCCAGAGAGATAGGTCTTATAAGGCCTCTTGTCGTTACTGAACCGAAGATCACGGTGCTGTCTGTACATAGCATTTTTGGCATCTTCTACCAACACACTCGGATCTGCTTGGTTCAATTCTGTCATAATCAATCCACAAAAATCAATAAAGTCCTTTTTGACATCAATCCATTCTTTAGCATGCAATCGCATATAATCTCGATCATTGTTCACTGCCAATCCTGCCATAAATTCCAACGTCGAGGGTGAAATAGCATCAGGAAAGGGACTTCCCTTTGGATGGGGAATCACCAAGCTAGATTTCAAAGTAGCAGATGCACCATACACCTCATCTTCTTCGCTTTCTGGTGTCGTCTCTCTACTTTCTGGTGTCGTTTCTTTACTTTCTGGTGTCTTTTCTTTGGTTTCAGGTGTCTCTTCTCGCTTTGCTTTCTTGCCCCTTTTGACAGCCGGAGCTTTGTCGCTACTTTTATCTTTGCTCACCTTTTCGAAATCATCATCGTCTGACTCTGGTAAAGGTTCTTTGGCTGTCATTTTCTTCTTTTTGGCAGGAGTCTTTTTGGCAGGAGTCTTTTTGGCAGGAGTCTTTTTGGGAGGAGTTTTTTTGGAAGGAGTCTCTTTGGTGCTAGCGGTTGGTTTACTACGCATTCCTTGATCGCTTTCGAAATCAGTGTCGCTGTCATTATAAGACACTGACAATGTTTACTTTAGCACCTTTTTTTTTTCTTTTTACTTTTCTAAAAAAAAAAAGACTATCGCCTACCTGGTTTTCTTTTGCGTGTGGCTACCATGTCTTACAATGTTGAAAAAGGAAAAGGAGAATAAAAAGTGTGTCTCGCGTTCCGTATTTTTTTGGACAATATTGCTGTCAATTTTAAATAAACGATAGCCAATCAAATTGATTGTTTTTTGACAAAAAATGTAAAAACCCAAGCGGGTGGGGTGTCATAAAAGCTAAACATAATTCCTTATTTTATCCTGTCATGCTACCAAACTATAAAGACAACAGTGCTCTCTTCAAAACTATACACATCACTGTAGATATATTCAAGATTACATACCCTAGAAAACAGCTACAGTAGCGCCAAGTTGATGACAACGTAACCAAAGGGGTTATATCATTCAACGTCACTTTAGCACAACGGTCAATTGATTGGTCTTTACAAATATGTATTGTTCTGATCTATTCCAGCAAAACTAGTGCTATTTTTATGTTTGATTCAGTTGTTTCCGTATAGCGGGCTCTAAGCTTGTTTGTTGTAGGTTGGCCTCAGTATCTGAGGTTAGAAGCAAGTACAGTCATGATGACAGTAGCCGGTTTCTTACTAAGAATCATCAGGAAGTGAACGTATATCATTTGATACCTCACCTAAATCGAACAAGCTCTTCTAATCGTTTCAAACCAATTATTTCGCAGCATTGAGCAATCTGCTTCCTTCATATATAACTTCAAACGGCAACATTCTACTTTGACAGAAGCTCAAATCAAGCAAGCAGCTACTTTAAACAATTCGTCTGAAACTAAAATCAGTCTTCCAATATTCCTCTTATTTCCAATATCCCATTCCAAAGTTGACAGACAATAAATCGCGTGTCCAAAGTTCAGCCCTCTGCTTTTAGATACCACTCATCAACACATAAAAGTTTTGGTAAGGGCTTTGAGGCTAAATGCTCCGGTATTCTTAAATACGAGTGTCGTTCCACATGCACTCTTGTCTTCTTTTTTTAACAAAATCAATAAAGCTTTATTTTAACAAATGCTTAGATTAAACAAGTCGGCAGTAAAGTTTCACTTCACTGTGAACACGAAAATCTTTGTAGGGTTGAGTGAGTTGCGCTGTCGAGCTACTGTCTTTTTGCATATGAGTTTACGTTGGTTCTTTTTTTTTCTGTTATTTATAAAAAATGTGACCGGTGTTCAAGAGCCGGATGCTCTTTGGTTTTCTTTGGTTTTTGCTTTTTGCTTTTTACTCATTTTTAGTATTTAAAATTGCCCTCTCCCATGGCTCGTTCTCGCTCACCCGAAAGACGTAGTAGACACCGATCTTCAGACAGAAGCCATAGACATCGCTCTCGTAGTGAAGACAGAAGTGATAGAAAGAAAAGGTGCGCAAAGATTCTAAAGAAATAAAAAGAGAGAAACATTAACGTTAGTTTGTATAGACATCGTGATCGCTCCGCCTCACCCGAAGATAGATCTAGCCGTCATAAGCACAAGAAAGAAAAGAAGCATAAGAAGGAAAAGAAATACAAAAGTAGATATAGCGAAGGAGAAGACGATGAAGCTGAAGAAAAGAAACGAGCAGCCTCTGCTGTCGAAGCCTTGGGTTATTCCAACGTAAACAACCCTTTCAACGATGTCAATCTGGAATCCAAGTTTGTCTGGGGTAAAAAGAAGCAAAGAGATAAAAAGACACTTGGTTACTCCGAATCAGACTTGAATAGACGTGAACGCGACCGAAAGAAGGAAGCCGATGAAGAATTAGCAAAGTTAAATAAAAGAAGAGCTGAGCGCGAGCGTGAAATTGAAGAACGTGAGGAAGAACAGGCTCGTGTACAAAGAGATGCTGAATTAGCTCAAATGGGTGATTGGGAGGCAAAAGAAGAGGAATTTCATTTGGAACAAGCAAAAACAAGAGCTGCTATTCGTATCCGTGACGGTCGTGCAAAGCCAATCGATATTTTAGCAATGAATTTACGTCTCGCAAATGAGCCAGATAAAGTGGAAGAGGATGTTGATTTGGAAATAGATTTAGACGAACCTTATACCATTTTTGACGTAAGTTCACTTATAATGGAGTGTGTACTTGGGGCAAATAAAAAACTAACGGATGCGCATTCAAAAATTATTAGAATTTGTCATTGGCTGACACCGACGAGCTACACAAAGATATTCAAATGCATCTCGCGCTCGAAAAGAATCCCAAGACACTCGAATTTTGGCGTGCCATGATTGTTGTCGCTGAAGATGCGCTTGCCAAAATGAAGGAAAATGATGAACGTATACAAGCTGGTAAATTTGCCATCACTGTCAATCAAGACATTCACCGTATTTTATCCGGAAAAACAGTGTCACAATTATCAGTGCTTCAGGATCAAATCATGCGTAAATTACACTCAAACGAGCCAGTGGATGTGGAATATTGGGAGAATCTTTTAAAAGAATTGGTCGTCTACAAAGCAAAAGCTAAATTAAATGATATGCACCAAGAAATTTTAGCCACAAGATTACAACAATTAAGAGATAGACAACGCGAAGAAGCACTTAAAGTACAGGAAGAGCTTGAACGTGTATTATCTATGCAGGAGACAGAGGTTCATGGTCAAGGTGTTGGAGCTGGGGAAGGTATGGAGTCCGAGCCTGTGGATGAGGAATTGACAGAAGCACAAGATCAATCATTTATCAAGGATAAGAATGTTGTAAAGAAGAAGGCAGGTGGTTTACTACTGGAAGAATATAGCCGTGCTATGAGTCCTGAGCCTATGACTAGTTTGAACAGAGATGATCGTGAACTGGAGATTGTTGACCCTGTCGCAGATTTAAAGGAATTGGTAAGTGATAACATAATTCAAAACTAGTGAGTGCATACTGACATTATACATTAACGTAGATGGAACAACGTCGTCGTGTGTTGAACAGTATCATTATTCCCAAAAAAGCTCAACCAGAAGCCGAAGTTGTTGTTGAAAAGGTTCGTGTTAAGGATGAATCGATTGCCTCTTCCGTCTTATTCGAACAAGAAGCTGCCAAGGGTGTTGACGAAGATGAAGATTTATTCAATATTGAAGCAGAACTTGCAACACAAACCTATAACTGGCAAGATAAATACCGTCCACGTAAACCCAGATATTTCAACCGTGTTCATACGGGTTATGAATGGAACAAATATAACCAGACCCATTATGATCTCGATAATCCTCCACCAAAGGTCGTTCAAGGCTATAAATTTAACATCTTTTATCCAGATCTCATTGACAAATCTGTTGCACCTACATACTATATCGACAAAGATCCTGATTCCCCCGACACTGTTCTCATTCGATTCCACGCAGGTCCACCTTACGAAGATATTGCTTTCCGTATTGTTAATCGTGAGTGGGAATACTCTCATAAAAAGGGCTTCAAATGTAGTTTTGACAGAGGTGTTCTGAGTCTCTGGTTCCACTTTAAGAGACAATTTTACAGAAAGTAATCACACAATAAACAAAGCAAAAACTTTTTCTTTTTCAAATCATATATTGGATACGCTTGACTGAGTACCACATCATGTAATATTAAACAGTGTATTAAAAAGGGAGTGGCCTCCGCAATAATTTTACTTGATAACACCAACATTTATTGATAATTATCTCCTACAGTTCTTGAAAACACCAACCGTAGTTGGTGTCTTCTTTTATAATTAGTACTGTGTTTAAATATGAATGGATGGTTAATAATATTAAAAAAAACCTGTGAATTACTAACAGAAAAATGGAAAAGAGAGAAACAAAAAAAGCATCCCCAATCCTAATTTTTAAAAGATAGATGAGGACCATCAGGTATTTTGCAAAAAAATTAAGTTTAAGCCCTGAGTCACAGCATTGGGTGGAGATTTGCCATCGGACCTCGTCCATTTTATAAAAAACTGGATTAAAAAAAGGTGTTCTCCAACCTTTCCACTCAGTGTGATAGCAGCAGGTATCAGAGAAAGTAGATGATATCATATTTTACACTCTGATATTTTGGTGAGCGGCAGCATTTAAGTTTTTTGGATGTATATGTTTTTTACAGTTATCTAATCGCTTGTAAACGTAACAGCTTTATTATTTTGGTTTTCACAGTACCAGCACCTTGTGTGTTATGAGCTAATGCACTCAAACTCAGTCTCTACAACATTCCTCAATTTGGCAAACGCTTATTATTTTCATGACTGGAGAACCATTTGATTAACAATTTAATCAGAGGATTTTGAGCAACCATTTATTTTTTCGATTTAAGTTGGACAGGAAAATTTATTAGGGCTCGCAGGTGCAAATGCTTTACAATGCCACTCTGATATCTAACTAGATTAAGATCCACTTAACTTACTGTCATTGTATAAAAAGAGCCGAATTTCTGAATACGTATCTTAAGAATTAGACCAGTTTTTTTTTTTTTTTTATTTGAGTATCTATGAAAAAAGTTCACATCTATCACAATACACCAACTAACAATTATATATCAATTTGGGAATAAAATTATATTTTTAATAAATACAAAAAGGGAACTTTACAATGTTAATATTTTTTTTTCTCTCTTCTTCTTTAGAGTTTGGCCTTAGCAGGGTCAACCTGGCTATTTACAGAGTCATAAAGTTGAGCAATGACAGCTTCATAATGCTTTTTAGCTTGAGGACGCTTCACCTTGAAAGTAGGAGTCAAAAGATCATTCTCGACAGCAAAAGGCTCGGATTCCAAATAGATGGCCTTGGCTTGTTCGAAACCGTTCAATCCAGATTGCTTACCAACCTTGGTAATAGCGGCAAGAACAAGAGCAGTAACTTCAGGTTCTTTACAGAGCTCAGCGAAACTCAACTTCTTGGCATGGATATGAGGTAACTTGGCAGCGACAGCAGCTTCCAAAGTTTCTTGATCAGGAACAACAATAGCGACAAGACAACTTTGAAGAGAGTCACCATGCAAGTAGATTTGACCAATAACAGACTCCTTGGCGTAAACATTCTCAATCTTCTCGGGAGCAATGTATTCACCTTGGGATAACTTGAAAATATTCTTCTTACGATCGATAATGACAATAGCACCACGCTCGTTGATCATACCAACATCACCGGTATGGAACCACTTATCCTCATCAATAGCTTCTCTGGTCTTTTCCTCATCCTTATAATAACCTTGGAAGACGTTAGGACCACGGATACAGATCTCACCACGAGGGTAAGGATCAGTAGAGAGGTAGTTCATCTCGGGGATATCAACTAACTTGATTTCGTTACAGGTGAAGGGACCACCAATATGACCAGCCTTGTACTCGTTAGGATAATGAATAGTAGAGGCAGCACAAGTTTCGGTAGCACCATAACCTTCACGAATATCACAACAGAGAGCAACACGGAGGAATTGCATAATATCCTTACCGATGGGAGCAGAACCAGTGACCATAACACGAACGTTACCACCAAGGGCTTGCTTCACCTTATTGAAAATCAAACGATCCCAGAAAGCATGGGTGACACCATTACCGGCCTCAAGGTTAGCCAACTTAGTGGCAATACCACGACGAGCCAAAGCACCAGTGGCACCAGGGGCATTGATGGTAGAGGCAACAATCTTACCATAAACACGGTTCAACAAACGAGGAACGGTAGCAAAGATGGAGGGCTTCATCTCTTGGATATCTTCAACCAAAGTATTCATATCACCAGCGAAATAACCTAAACGGGCACCAAGACCAAGACATAACATATCACAAACACGACCAAAGATATGAGCAAGAGGTAAATAAGAGATGGCAGAATCATTGTGGTTACCACCCAAGTTTCTGAAACTAGCAGAGACTGCAGACACAAAGTTACCGTGGGTTAAAATAGCACCCTAAAAAAAAAGTTAATTTTCACATGCCAAAATGCGTATGATGCGCCCTCTCTCTCTTGTTTTTCAACACTTTACCTTGGGCATACCAGTGGTACCACTTGTGTACATGATACAGGCCAAATCGGAAGGTTGAGGGTAGTTAACAGTACGTCTGTTCTTCTTACCCAATTCTTCAATTGTGTTGAAATCAATCAAGATAATATCCTTCTCAGCAGCCCAAGCCTTAATGATATCACTCTTGGAAGCAACACCAGGACGAGAAACTTCTTCAATGGAGTCCATGGAGATGATTGTCTTGAGATTGGGTAACTTGTGTCTCAATTTCAAGAGATCGGCAATATGATCGCCAGAACAAACAACAGTTTCAAGCTCGGCGTGATTAATGACGAATTCGACGGTATCAGGGCCCAAAGTATCATAAAGAGCAACAGTGTAGTTGTTGTAGGCAGCACAAGCTAAATCAGCAATAGCCCATTCAGGACGATTAATGGACCAAATACCAATAGGAATTTTTTGAGTACGAGTGTCGTTCATGGTGTGGTTGATATGGTTCAAAAGACCGGAACCAAAGTTGGTAATACGATGATGAACTTGACGGTAGGTTTGCCAAACATAAGGACCGCGTTCGCCAGTTTCAGCATTTTTAACTGAACGGACACCCATACAAGGGCGATCCTTAGAGATGTTCATACCATAGTTGAAGAGATCAATCATGGATTTAACCTTGGGGGAGAAAGAGGTCTCGATAGTTGTATGTTGGGCATTACGCAAAATACCTAGTATGCTATGTTAAATATATGCTGTAACACTTCTTTTTTTTTTTGACGTAGATATAAGCTGACAAAGAGAAAATCCCCCATGTTTTTTATGCTCTGCAAGCGAATTACTTTACCTGTTTGACCAGGAGTTCTGGTACCAGGAACTTCATAAGTTTGCTTCTCTAAGGTGAATTTGGCCATTTTTATCTTTTATCTCTGAAAATGTGGGGAAGAATCAATAAAAAAAGAATTAGGAGAAAAAAAGAAAAAAGAAAATTTACTCAAACGGAAAAGAATAAATAAGGTGTAACTGAAAAAAAAATGATAAGTCAGCAGAATAAACATTTATAGGCCGCCGTTTGAATGCGTGCGAATGAAAAGCCTTTGTCACATGGAATCTACCCAAAGGTCAACCCTTCTCCAATTCCCCCCCTTGATGTTCTCACCGTCTTCTTTTGAATACAAGACATGATAGCATTTTTCTAAATCATTTTTTTTTTCTTTTTTTTTTTTTTACTTTTCAAACCCCAGGGTCTACTTTTTGGTTTTATTGGTGTTCATTTACATTATTCACTCATGTGTGTGCCAGTTACACATAAAAAAAAGGCACATATCGACGTCAATCTATAAGAAAAACAAAGAAATTAACGCTCTAAGCAACAATGGAAAAACCAATTATCATTCGGAGAAACCTTTGGCATATTTACAGCGCCGCCCTTTCTACCTGGTCTAATTATTAATGTTAAACACAAATTTGGGTTGCTATAATAATTTACATGGCACAAATCCCATAGTTCTGTATGCTTAAAGTAGCTTCGTGTTGTAGTATGTCTGCAAGGAGAAAGGGCCTTCTGGTTAGGACACCTCAGATAAAACATTAGAAAATACAAATACATGCCTTAAATCGGAAAAGACGTGAACAAATACTTTACATGCAACTCTGTTCGATAGTTTTATGCGAATCGAGTCTTCACCATAATGGTAATAAACAGGCGCTATGCAACAAAGTACTTGTCGTTCCGCCGTCAATTGGTCACTTTTTTTTTTTTTTTGGGAAACTTGGTCGCTTTTTAAAAATCAATTGGACAGGTCAATATTTTTGATAAAATTTTATAAACTGAATTTCGGTTAGTATCAATACTATGCAGCTTTATGACGACTAATATAAAGAAATTTCGTAAAGGGAGCAAGTCAAGAAAAGCAAAGAAGCTCTCGTAGTTTGACTTAATTATAGTCATTTCGCCATCCTTTTGTCTGAATACAAAATTACGGTTTTTCGTAGCGTAACCCTACTGGCAAGTAAGCAACGGTAAAAGGACTCCAAAGCGGTAGCGCTCTAGTGGCCCCCGCGGTGGTAACCCTGTGTTAAAGCTTGGTGTCATAAGTGAAAGTTGCTTCAAATGCGTGCTTCCGCAAAGTATCTGGAACGTCGCCGTACTTGCTTTGTATCTATTTTCAACAATACAAGACATAGAGCCGAGTTCTTTGACTATTGCTTCTTTTAAGAAGTATGCGCACTACCCAACCTTTGTATTTGTTACGTTATTTATAAGCCTCATCTTTTTTCTAACGGTCATGTCATTACAGCTAAAGGCAATGGATTATTGTGTAGCTATCGATGTGTTCCAACTACTAAGTGGTTATAGCGCTGTTTTACTTGGGTTTTTCATGAATCGTGCCACCGTTCATAATCTTACTCTCTAAGCTCAAAAAAAGATTCCACTCCCTGCGTAAAATAGTCTCACCCAAGCGTCCTTTCCTAATTATTTTCCATCACAAAATCTTGAATAATTTTTATATTTTATTTTACAGAACGACACGCTGTTATTTAGGCCAGCCTCATGAAACAAAAACAAGTGAAAAATATATAAATGAGAGTTTAGAAAAGGAAGGATATTTATTAGATTATTCATAGGTTCGAATAAAAAAACTTTTTCAATTCCAATGATTTTTTTAAATTTGGATTAAACAAATTTACTATAAAGAAAAAACGTTTAGTATGTTTGATAGCAAACAGAAACATTATAACAGAAAACTTACTTGCTTCATGGCATCCTTCTTACCAGCACCCTTACGTTCGAGAATAGCAACACGGCTCTTGTCTAACTTGAGGTTGGTGATAACGACCTTGGAGGGAGAGATACCAATGGGGGCAGTGGCACCGTTAACCTTCTCGCGAGAGACACGGTCAATGTGGATAACCCACTTCTTACGGTAGACTTGGACGATCTTACCTTCGCGACCCTTGTAGGTACCACGGACAACCATAACTTCGTCATCCTTGCGAACAGGGATAGAACGAACGCTGTGCTTCTCACGGAGTTCCTTGGACAAAGGAGCACTCATGATCTTACGACGAACATCGGAGGTGGCGGAGAAATGAGCCTTTCTGCTCTTACGGCGAGAAGAACTAACGTCTATTTAACAGAATATATTGGTAAGTACATGCATATTCAGAACACACAGAAATGCCGCAAGTCAAGAGAAATGAATAAATGATCGTCGTTGCCCGTAGAATTGGCAAATTGGTTGGCTTTTCTTTTTAAAAAACTGGAGCTGGCGTATGTTGGCACTACCCTTCTCCTCCCAACCCCTTACAGAAAAAATAGTTGCCGTTCAGTTGAATAGGTGGCATTAGAAATCAATGTTGTCCTTCAGAAAGTAATTGCATGTTTCTCGGTCTCTTTTTTTTGAAAAGGCTGTTGAAAAGAAACATCCATAATAGTCGTTCATCCATCCAATTCATTGTATTCATTTCTCCATTCTATCTGCTATTTTTTTATAAAATATTTACCAGCAGAGAACTTCATCCTGTCTATATGATGAAAAAGAGGAAGTTTCAACGTGTTGCCTGCTTCATCTGTTCTTTTGATAGAATTTGGACCCGCCCATTCAGAAAAAAAAAATTAGGCAGCTCCAATGTCCGGCCCGAACATGATCATTTTGCTGCTAAAATCTTTTTTTCAAGTCAATTATTTCACCCGACAACATGCCTTTCAGGTTTCAAATCAGCTGCAGATATACATTTATTTTTACAACAAGATATAATGACTAGTCAAAGCGGGTAATTGTAATTTTGTAAGAATAGCAAAATAATTGCAGTCAGGGTTGGAGTCACAGGGAAACTTGGTAGAAGTTTCTATTACTGGAATGTCAATGGGGTATGATCGCCCTATCGGAGTTCTCATTGCCCTTCACCACCTCATTATATACTTTTGTTGACTAGGGCTATTGTTTACAACTATTCTATTAATGAACAAAATTTCTCCGGCATCTAATTTTCTTGATATCGTCGAAAAATATTTGGGTGAAGGTTTATTAAAATCGAAGAAGTCTACCATCTTTCAAAAATGAGGGATTGTACTGTAAATATACTTTTTTAATGATTATGAGGCAAGTCGATTCTCTGAACCAACAAAAGATATATAAAGTCTTTTTTTAAAAAAAAATCACAAATAGAAACACAGAATTTGTGTAGTCTCTGCGGAAACAATAAGCGATGGCAACGAACATCAAGCCATAGATAAACTCGACTTCATAATTGTGAAAGCATGTCGTGTATGGGATACATCTTACTGATTGTGGCACGATATTATAAATGACTATTTGTGTGCTGCGTTGATAAACTCTAAAACGCCCACTGTATAATTTGATTATACGTGCATAAAATATAAATGATCATGTCTTACATATGAGTTGTACCTACGTTGTTAAAATTTAGTTATTTGAAAAGAGCAGCAAAAGAAACGTTTTTATCGCACAATTTTATTAGAGAAGGACGAATATATATTGCTTTTTCAATTATGATGATGAAAGACTCAAGATATATGACCACAACTCCTTTAATGTTCATGACAGTATGTTTCTTAAATTCTATCGAACTTTAGTTAGAAGCATCTATTAAATGTACGTATCTTTCTGACAGAAGAAACTGATAAGCATTAAAGAAGAAGAGAAAAGGTAAAAAGAATCACAAAACTACTTTAATAAAACCGATCAATGATCTATATCTACGAATGTTACAAAAGTATACATGGCATATTCGCACCCAAATTCATTATATTTACTGCAGCAAACTTCTAAAAATGGGATGTAAATTCTATTTATGCTATAAATGACTACTATTCAAGGTGATGATAACACGCTTTGTCCATGTACTAACGCGAACTTAGTCTTGTTGAAGGTGTACATTTATGATTTATGAGCCTGTCAGTTAAAATCGGAGTGTAACTGTGACAGGTTTTCCTCCTTCCATGCAGCCCAGTCGCGTAGTCAAAAAAAAAGGCACCCTCCTTACATTTTTTCTTTTGTCTCGAGTAATAACAATAAATGCAAGCATTTGGAGGTTTGAAAAGAATTGCGACGGTTCCACAGTGGGTAAGTACCAAAGCAATTGCAAAGAGAAGCTTATGCAAAGGAGTGAAATTAATCGACCTGTCAATGAAACTAGACTCGTGCAGTGTCCACTACTCGATTTGTAAAGATCGCTAAAAAAGAAACGGTGACACCTTACAGCAACAACATATCCAAAGTAAAAGTGACTAAAGAAGCAGAAAAACCTGTATTAAGGGATGTCGAACCTGTTGTCAGAGAGGCTATTGCAGAAAAACCAGTCATGAAAGAAATTGTCAGTGCAGCTCAACAGCATTTTCCTACCACCAAAGAATTTGACACACCTTCTGAAGAACCACAAGAAGTAGGACACAATTGGTCGTCTTCTTTCTTTGGTCTTTCAACTGAGAAATTTCCTCGAGAAGTGGCAGATATCTTGCTTGAACCTATTAATGCTGATGATATTGAGATTAAGCCTGGTATAATATTATCATAAAAGGAGATAAACAGGGATATAGAATAACTGACACAGAAAAATAGATGGGTTGATATATTTACCAGAGATCAAATACAGACGTATATTAAATCGAGCTTTTGGACCGGGTGGATGGGGACTAGCACCGCGTGGAGAGCACACAATTTCACCCAAGAACATTTCACGTGAGTATGCATTAATCTGCAGCGGAAGATTTGTATCACAGGCGAGAGGCGAGCAAGATTTCTTTGATATCTCTGGTTTACCCACAGCATCTGAAGGTTGTAAAAGTAATGCGTTGATGCGTTGTTGTAAGGATTTGGGTATTGCATCAGAGTTATGGTAAGATTACATTACTTATTTTGGTTTTTTAATCTTATTAATGCATTTTTATGATAAAAAAGGGATCCTGTATTTATACGTAAATTCAAAAAGAAGTATGGTGTGGAGGTGTGGGCTGAACATGTTACAACCAAAAAGAAGAAGAGATTATGGAGAAAGAAGGATGATGTCTTGGGTAAGTCAAAATAACAATGCCTATAAATAAATAGCAAAGAATAATGACCCCCTCTTTGTAAATATAGAGTATCCTTATAAAGAAAATTAAATAGCCTTTTTTTGCGTAAAGTCAATAAAGTGTTTTGGTCCAATCAGTCCAATTGTAGTATAAATAAGGATCTATTTTTTTTTTCTTCCACTTTCTCTTTCTCACATTATCTTTTTTTTTATATTCTAATAAATGGTGCTTCATTCAATTCTCTTGTTCCTCGTATTTCTAAAGTTTGTTAAAACCATTATTCAGGAAGAAGAAGACCGACAGGAAAAACAACAGGCCATCTATTATGCACCTCATCCATCGGTTTTAACATGAAAAGATCACCTGTAATCCCTGTATATATACCACCTCTACATATCCTCTCTCACACCATTGAATATATATATATATATATATACCTATATATGAAAATAAAATTCGTTCTTTTTTTTTCTTCATCACATGTCAATTTATAGCTAGATCACACACCCTTTTTTTTTTTTGCGCAAATCACGTTACTCTTAAGCATAAACAACCCTTTTTTAATGAATTATTTTGATGACACTTGACCTCATGAAATATGCATGCGGCGTATTATTATTTTCCCTTAGGAGCGCGTGTTATTTGCTATCCGTAATAAGCTTTGGTCAAATGTTTCCGATGGTCTCGAGTGTATTACCTTCTATTTTTTATTACCCTTAATTCAATTGTCTATTCTCCTTAATCCTGTTTTTTTAGTAGCTATTAGAAAACAAGTTTGGAACAAGAAAGTTGAGCTATCAGGTCCCGTTGTTTTATTGGTAAATGTGATCTGCATATCCTTTCATACTTTCTGTGTTACCATGGAATCCACGTCACGGTTGTCTATAAATTAAGGTTAAAAGTTTATTGTTTTTTTTCCATTAACAAAAAGGAATGTCGACATCATGATTAACGAATTTGAAAAACAATAAAAAAGAGAAGAGCACGTAATTGTAAATTTTATCTCTATTATTTTTTAAACCACTGCTCAGTTTCGCCTAAATCTCAAAGCAAACTGAGGCTTACAGTTATAACCATTCCCATGGTGGTTCCGAGACTTACAGGTATACATAAGTAACGATACCATTGAGGACTGCATTAAATTATAAAAACATTCTACGCAATATCAACAAACGACAATCCAATTCTCAGAATTTCAGTCGGGCGTATTCTTATGCAAGGCATTTAAATTGTAGATCATCCATAGGAAAATCGAATATTGATGAAAAAACCAGCATTGAAACGTAGAAGAGAAAAGGAATAAATCCCGATAATAACTGCAGATAAATTCGGGCTGCATTTGTATTTGGGTGGGGCTTACTTTGTATATGGATGGTCGCGTAAAATAAAATTAGGCTTGATGTAGTAGATCTTCTTGTAGCACCCATGACGGAAGGTGTAGTATGACCAGATTGTACTAAATAGAGTGGTATAATTAAGAAAAATGATCGTACAATCCATTAGACTACATTTCTCTTCAAGCTTACTTCTGTCTGTCCGTATGGTATATACTATAAGCTGCATTACATTCATGAACCACTGCTATTTTAACAAAAACAGTATAGAGAATTCAACTATCAGAGAATCAGCTGGTACTTGCACTTTAAAGAAAACTCGGTAAAACTGTTCAACCCAATTTAAAGGGAAAGGCCAGTGCACGACCAAAACCTGATCTAATAAGTGTGAATAATTTAAAATTATCTGGGGGAAAGGGGATCATAAGGGAAAAAAAATACTGATATAATAAAAACATTAATTGTATAAAGAGAGCTATCAAATGTACATGGCCATTATCTCATGTGCAAAAAAAAGTCTGTCGCAGATAACTCTGACATTGCATATAAAACCAAAACGATTATATTGACTTGGAGACAGCTTTAATTTAAAAAGAAAAAGCTTCCATTAACTACAGTTTATACAGTAAACACGACAGAACTGTTTGTGTAATTTATAGAAAATATGACAATAAGTAGTCTAAAGTCTCAAATGATCGCCTGCAATGCCATTGTCAGTCACTAGTCAAGAAGACCCCATGTGCAGAGCAATAAATAACAAAATACTGCAATCAAAAATCATTCAACTCACTATGTGTAAACAATGAAATTTTATTCAGCTCAAGAATTGCCTTGTCATCTTTTCCTTCACTATAATGAATTTACTAATAGCAAAAAGGAAAAATGACTTTTTCAATAGATATTGTCAGGAATGAGGAGGAACAAGACATACAGGACATGACAGCGAATGAGTAGCTTCTTGGAAGTATGTAGGTTATTTATTTAAGAAAAGTAAGCTAAAGAAAACTGAGCGAAGTGAAATTTATCCGCTCTATTTATAGAAAAAGAAAACAAGAAATTGAATAAGAGAATAAGCAACGACAAAGATTAGTCATGGTTTATGTGAATTATGACTAGGAATTTAAAGAGCTGACAGATTAAGGATAGAGATTAAGTTGGAAGGCTGTTCACTCTCGTAAAGCATAAATTTGGCATAAGGTGTAACATTATTATGACATGTATTCAAGAAACCTGAAATATTTTATGATCACGTCTTGGAAAGTACATTTGAGTTTGCTACTAGCAAAACCAAAAGATGGATTAAAAAATCTGTCATTGAAGTTGAAAACGCCGAAAGAATTCGGTTGGACGACTTTTCTGAAGGCGATCTTTCAACAAAATTTGGCAGTTCGTATTTTAAGTGCTTTAATGCTATTCATAGTCGAAGTCAGGGATCTAAGGGTACCAGGCTTGTTTTACGCTGAAGACAGTCCTAATAACGCCAAATTAGTCGAAAGAATCGGCACAGCGTCTTCATTAGGAAAAATTGAGAGTAGAGGCTTAGAGGGATTAAGTAGACGGGAAAGATAAGTCACCGGAGTGAAAGTTGACATCTGGTTCAAGGTTGGCTACCACGAAGTTAAATGTCGCGAAGTTGGGAAGGAATACGTGCTCCCTAACGACAACCAGGATTTTGGAATTATAAACAATTTATTATGCACCACGAATTTCACGCAAAAAAGGTAAAGAACTCAACCATGGAAAATTTACAGCGACAACATGACAGCTTTAAAATATGTAACAAAAGCAGGAGGGATAGAATCCTTTGCATTACAAGACCTAGCAGTGAAGATACAGGATTTATGCAATCAACATCAACTGACAGTTCTTTATCAACACATTTCGGGGATTCAGAATGTAAAAGCAGATCAATAGAGTCGAACATACAAGACAATATACGAGTCATCAATTCCTCGACAAATGTTCAAATACATTCAACAGACATGGGAGAGAATAATGACAATAGATAGATTTGCAGCTCATCACAATCACCAGTTACCGGATCATTGGAGTTATAGGGAGGATCTTTTTGCGTCGGGAATAGATGCGTTCAATCAGAATTAGAAAAGGAAAGACCTATATTTGTTTCCACCATAGAAATTGATTCCAAAGGTATTGAGAAAGATGAAGACAGATCGGACCAAGGAAGTAGTTCCGATCACGCCGCTTTGGCCAAATAAATTTTGGTTTCCAACAATTCTACAAATGAAACATTTATCAAAACCAATAGTATGGAAAATGAACAACTGATGGATTTTGATTGCTTGTAGATTATCCACAACTTCAGGAAAAGCAATGGTATGAAGGAAGATTTAAAAGTTTATCTGGATCATACAACAAGATCAACAACAAACAAGTTGTATAATACATCATGGAGCAAGTATGTCGTTTAGTGTTTACAAAACGGTGGGAAACCTATCTACTACATACGGCCCTTAACAAAATTTACCATTTTTTAATGTCATGTAATGATTTCAAAGTATCTACGTTGAATGACTATAGATCTGCGATACAACAAATACTAAATATTATTCATCCAAGGAAACGACGCATTGCAGAAGTAGAAAAAATATGTGAATTTTTCAATGTAAAACGAAGGTTAGCGGTTGTTGTATACACAAATATCCCGTAGTGTATACAAGCACTATTTTGTGAGTTACTTTAGCGAAGATTGTCGAAATAGCTATTTTGTGTCACCTCACGTACACGCGGTTTACACGCAACATCTACATTAACAAAACTTTTTTATTATTATGTAACTGAAAATAAAGAGCTTGTACCACTTCTTCATCCTTCGCTTCGAAAAATATTTGTTTTTGTTGGACAAAGTATTTTTTTTTACCCTTTTTCCTTAGGCTTTCTAACTACGTGAACTACGTGAAGAATGCCAAAAAGACCATGTGAGTTTAAAAAAGATGAAAAAAACTGAAGTCTAGACTTTTCCAGAGAAACGGCGTTTTACATAAAAAAAAGGAATGACTTTTCGGGATAACTTATTCTGAAGACATACTGTCTTTCCACCGTCAATTGGTCATTGTGTCCAATTGAAATTTGAAAAGCGACCAGGTTTTTCAAAAAAGTGACCAATTGACGGTGGAAAGACAGTAAGTGAGCAGTTTCCTTTTTCAAGAAGCACAATGCTTACCCCCTCCTTTTTATAAAACTACTTGGTTTTATCATTAACACAGAATGTACTACTATAATAATTTATTCGATATTCATAATTTATAATTTAAAAGAAAAAAAAAATCTCAGCCCTAGTGGTCGTGACCCACATTTTCATCAGAAACTACTTCCGAAATCCAATCCTCGACATCGCAATGGCTCTTCTTTGTTCCTTTGAGCAAACAGTCCATTTTGCTTGAGTTATCCTGACTATAATCCTTGTGAAATTCCTTGATATCAACAAACAAATCCTATTTTTTTTAATAAGAATAAAATAAGTTTCAGGATTATTATATATAAAAAGAAACGCTTACGTCGACAATCGAGAATGCATGGATAATTTTCTGTATTCCTTTATCTTGAATTTGGGCGCGTGTTCGAGGATAATCAAACGAAAATACGTCCTGGGACAGATATACCCCTTTATCGATCAGGCAAAGGGCTTTTACATGACACGTTAATAGGGCATGGTCTTCAGCACACCGTTGAGGTGGAATTTGGTGCCGAAGACAAGCCTGAGTTTATCAAATAAGATATTTGACTCAGTGGCAGATTTGGGTTTGCCGAGCTCAACAGTGCCGAGCTCAGCAATGCCAACTTCATGTTTTCGCGTCCATTGCTGACCGCTTTTCCCAGATCCAATACAAAATCCTAGGGCTGATCTTGTAAAATTAACTTGATCCTGTTAAGAATAAATATATTAGATTATTTTCTTATCGTACTGTTCTAAAAAGCTTACCATTCAAGCAACCAGTACGAGAGACTTGTTCAGATGTTACCTGCGCTCATACCAAAAGATTCAAAATAAAGTCACTTAATATTTTATATTGAGTGACTGTTCAGAGAAACAGCCGATACACTATTGTATGGACACAACAGAAGGAATTTACGCTGAAGTTTAGGTTTTCAGCACGTAAATAGTGGGTCCGAGCTAGGGAAAAGGGATTCAAAGGACCAGAATACTTGTTATTCCATTCTAAAAGATGCATGAGTATATCGTGAAAATGAGAATTTTAAGTCTTTTTTATGACACTCACATCTGTACTTGTGAATGTTAACGATATCGTTCTATGGTTCATATCAAACCAGAGGCCCAGATTAACCATGTGAGCATAGCTTGTCTTATGCGCGCGCTTTTTAATTTTAATCAAAGAAGTAAAAGCTTTGCAATCACTGGTCCGATTTTATATAAAAACGAGGTTTTATAAACACGACACCGTTAGAAAGGGCTCGTTTGCTTGTAATGGGACTCCGCCGTTTTTTTTTATCTTCAAATACAATTTAGCAATGGTTAAGTATTTAGCTGATAAAACTTTAAATAGACGTAAATACCTTAGCTAACGGTATCGTAATTTTAGCAATGTTGTTATTGCTCGGGTTGTCACCACCGAAAGCATCCATATAATTTGTTATAGCAGCTTTCACACAGCTCCCAATCATACCAATCTGGTTTGATCCGCACAAGTACGTCATGTCTACTATTAGTCTTTTACTAAGACTAATAAATAACAATGGTAAATATACAGAAAAGGCTATAAACAATGACAAAATCTAACATACCAAGCAATATCAGTTGATTGTACCGCAGGAAGCACTTGATTTTAAGTTGGATTTAAGGATTACAGTGGGTATTGAGCAAGAACAGAATGAAGTTGCCACTGCTGAGTTAGCCAAGTCAAAATCAACTACGGAATCAAAGTTGTATAATCATAAGCTCAAGATGGCTCTCGTAACAAAATTTCTTTACAAAGGGGTATTCGGCTCTTTAATTGTAATTGATTGCACAGTTAATCAAGAGCATTCTGGCTGGTGTACTTCATGCCTGGTTCAAGAAACTTCCAGGCAAGGGAGAAAACACTCTTCCTTACAAAAAGATGGGGCTTCTTGCTATATTGGGGTTTACATACGGTCTTCCGCTTCTTTTTTAGCCTTTTCTAGGAAAAGACTGGCCACATTCCTAAAGACTAGCCACATTCCTAAAGACTAGTCACATTCCTAAAGACTAGCCACATTTCGAAAGACTAGACACATTCCTAAAGACTAGCCAAATTCCTAAAAACTAGCCAATTTACCGAAGGTAAGATAACATAATTAAGTTTCTTGATTGAGTGCTAAATTGTACCTGTAGGTAGCCGCCAAGAATTCGATCATAACCGCCGGGATTCAAGACGCCCTGGTTTCAGCCTTGGCACGGTCCCCAATCAGACTAATCTGGCTTGAGGTGCTTAGATCTGTCATGTCAAGTATGCTATTCTTACAAAGGCTAATAAACAACAATGGTAAATATACAGAAAAGGCTATGCACAACGATAAATCTAACATACTATGCAATGTAAGAGGATTTTTTATCCGATATTTCGAGTAGGTGTCCTAGCTCCAGCAACCGAGAGCCAAGAGTACCATGGACTCCGGCGATTACAGTCGAATCCTTACATAACCGACATTACCGACATTGCCAACATTTGCCAACATTTGCCGGCATTTGCCAACATTTGCCAACAATTGCCAACAATTGCCAACATTTGCAAATTCCCTTGGGTTTTATTCCTGCAAACGCTGCTACCTACATGTACAATTAGGCACACAGTCAAAAAAATTAATCATGTTGTCTTACCTTCGGAAAATTGGTTAGCTTTTAGGAATTTGGCTAGTCTTTAGGAATGTGGCCAGTCTTTTCCTAGAAAAGGCTAAAAAAGAAGCGGAAGACCGTATGTAAACCCCAATATAGCAAGAAGCCCCATCTTTTTGTAAGGAAGAGCGTTTTCTCCCTTGCCTGGCAGTTTCTTGAACCAGGCATGAAGTACACCAGCCAGAATGCTCTTGATTAACCGTGCAATCAATTACGATTAAAGAGCCCAATATCCCTTTGTAAAGACATTCTGTTCCGAGAGCCAGCTTGAGCTTATGATTATACAACTTGGATTCCGTAGTTGATTTTAATTTAGCTAGCTCAGCAGTGGCAACTTCATGATTTTCCTTTTCAGTATTGACAGTAATCCTCAAATCCAACTTGAAGTCAAGTGCTGCAGCGGTACAGTCGGCAGCCCTGGTCTTATCCCTGTTACAAATAAATGTATTAGATTATTTTATTATCGTAATTCTCTAAATAGCTTACCATTGGAGAAACAAATCTGGGTTTCTACCAAAAAAGCATTCGAATAAATGAGACCAGACTTTGATATTTAGTGACTGCTCTGAACATGATCCAATAAATGCTTGTGTTAGCATAAAGGATCTAAACAAGTGCTGCTCGATTCTAATAGAAGCATAAGTAAATAGTAAAAATAGGAATTTATGGCACTTACATATGCTTATAAATATTGGAGACATTTCTCTCCATGTTGTTGTGGGGCTCGTACTTGACGAGATAGTTGTGGTAGTATGCCTCAGTTCTTCTTATGTTCTTAACCTACGACAGCAATGAATAAGTATAGCTGATAAAAATTTAAACAGATACAAATACCTTGGACAACGGCTTGGTGCTTGTGTCAGCATAAATGGCTGCGATTACACTGTAAATGGCTGGGATCAGACTATAAACGGCTGATTACTCGGTTCTAAAAGAAGCATAAGTAAATAGTCAAGATGGGAATTTAAAGGTTTTTTATGGCACTTACATATAATTGTACGCATTTATTACGTTTCTTTCCATGTCATCGTTTGTTTATATTTGGACAGATGCGTCCTGTGAGAATTTGCGTTGATCCTTAAATTGCTTTCCATGTGATTGTTTGTTTATGTTTGGTCAGATGATTCCCGTGAGAGCTTACAATAACTCTTCTGAAATTTTCTATTTTTTTCTTGAAAATTGAAGAAACACATCTTGAATGACCGTTTTTTATAAACTAATCATACCAAAACGGACTTTCTGGATGATTTGTATTTCAGCTACAACGGCAATAGATAAGTATTGTTGATAACAACTTAAACAGATATAAATACCTTCGACAAGGACTTTACAAGCAAAAATTGAAATACGCCCTTTTCATTTGGTAGAAAAATAGGTCATACTTTAATATTATCTTGAAAATCATAAAATTATGGCACACAAACCTTTATACTAGACTTAATATTTTTGTGAAATAAAAAAGTGTTTTAAAAGAAGTGAGGACAAAAGGAGGAAAAAAGAGGAAAAACAAGGGGGGTATTTATATCTTTTGGAAAAACATGGGTCTGTATTTAAAAATGTCTTGGCATGATTAACAATTGCTTGGCATCGGAGATACGTGAAAGTGAGTCATGATTAACATTTGCTTAGCATCGGAGATACGTGAATGTCAGGAACGTAGCAAGGAATATATTATAGCCATAATATCAGAAGATACCTACTAGTTAAACAAAGACAAAGGAAGAGTGGTTTATAAAGTATTTAATAATAATAATAGATTATACAAGGAAGGGGGAAGGAAATCTAGACTAATAATTAAGCACTATGATTTCGAATAAGAGTTACAATGATTGCACCTGTGCTAAAATCGCACTTATAAATAATAAAATAAAATAAATAAATCGTCGATCCCACATGGTCGACTCATATACCAAATACAATATCACAAAAGAAAAGAACATCAGGTATAAAAACTGAGTTACTACTTTAGAACTCAGTTTGACTTAAGATTTCTTAGAACCATCGTCCTCTCAATTCTGACAGAACAATAAGACTAGCTCATTGTTTACGAATCAATCCAATCATAAAGGCAATGACTGCTTAAATTTAAGGCACCATCGGACATGTATTATACCACCCAATGGTACCTTCACTAACTATTAGATAACCGTTTAAACTACAGATCCCAGTAACTATAAATACCCTGCCTTCTACTATAATGTACAAGGTCATTCAGTTTTAAAACTAATAATAAGAATAAAAGCCTACAAGCACTATTAATCTTATTTACCTGTTTTTTTATTCTATTTTTTTCTGTGTTAAACAAAGTTTCTCCACATTTTTTAAGATTACCCTTGTAAACTTTTACTTCAAACCTACCTACTACTACTACTATGGCTGCTCCTTCTTCTTCTGCTGGTTCCCCTTCTGCTGGTTCCCCCTTCAACACCTCTCCTGCTGCTTTCATTGGTCCTATGACTCAAGCTGCTACTGAAGAATGGGAAGATGCTCGTATTGAACGTGAACTCCATGAAGGTCCCACTGAGCAAGCTCAAGTTGCTCCCTCTCATTCTCAAGAAATGTCCCAAGACATTGAGATGACCCAGGCCCCTCCTCTTGAGTCCGAGGCTATCAAGACCCCTCAAGAAATTATTGCTGAATTAATCAGCCGTCGTGAAGCTATACAATTAGCCATGATCCAGGCCCTTTCTACGACGAACGGCTCGACCAATGAGCAAAACCGTTGTTATGATTTGTCTGTGGAGATCGAAAAATTGAATTCGATAATCCAATCCCTTGCCGTCAAGGCTGAGCCGGTACCAACTGTCATGTTCAGAGGTACTGAAGCTTCGAAATACGCTACCACTTCCGCTGCCAACGAAGGTTTAACCTTGTCAAGAGAGGACCTTCCCCGTCTCCAATTAGTTGGAAAGACCTATCAGCAGTTTAAAGGTAGACAAGTATTCAAGAACATCGATGAATACATCAAGACGTTCGAAGAAGTCATTACGTCGGCCCGTCAAGAGGTCAAGACTAACTGGCGCCGCTACCTTCCCATCGCTCTCGCCGACGAACTCAAGGCTTGGATGAGAAAAGATTTGTTGGATTGTGGTTCTTGGGATGCCGCCAAGAAGGTTTTGGAAAAGAAATTTGGAAACCGCCAAATGCGGGTCCTTGCCACCAAGGAACTAATCTCACTCACCATGTACCATGATGAGAACATCTCTGACTTCGATAACAGGTTCATCCGAATGGTTGAGGATTCTGAATACCAGGTGTCTGACAGGATCATGGCGGATCTCTACTTCCTTGCTTTGCCCAACAACTGGCAAACTAATGTCATGACGGTGGTGAACTCCAAGAAACTTAAGGATGTACCTTGGACTGCTGAGGATGTTTACCAGGCTGCTCTTGGTATTTTCAGTGACAAGACTCCTGGACATGATGGCCACTCCCACTCGAAGCGTAAGTCTAACGACACGCAGGACCGCTCCCCCAAGAAACGATCAAATCCTGATGCCAAGTATCATTGCAAGATCCATGGTGACAACTACTCCCATGACGATGCCAATTGCAAGTACGCTGGTAAGTCAGCCACTGACACCGCTCGCTCCAATGAAGGCTCCTCTTCTTCGTCTTCTTCTGCTTCTTCTTCTCGCCGGTTCCTTGGAAGTCATAATAGACCCAAGCCTGCTACTTCCTCTTCTTCGTCTTTCGTACCATGCGATCATTGTGGACGTAGATGGAGCCACGGCCATCGTTGCCAGGAATATAAGGACAAGTTCGCCGATAAGAACGTCCTGTCAATCAACAAGGATCGTAAGGGAAAGAAGTCCGATCGTGGCGGACCTTCCCACGATAACGAAAACGACAGCTATGAATGTAAGTCTACTGAAAACAATTTTAACCCTTACAAATCATTAATTACTCCTCTCATTCTCAATGATAGAAAACTGAAAGGCAAAGTCGATACTGGATCTGATACAACATGTATTAATAAATACATATTAAATAATCTTTTTCCATCAATAAAAATCAATAATATAAAAGGCAATTTAAATTTTCTCTCAAATTCTGCTAAAAGAATAGGTCAAACTGAACCAATGAAAGTCAGATACCTTAATGATATAAGTTTCAGTTTTTGTTTCGAAGTGGTAGAATTCTTGGATCCACTTGATAGCGAATTCGACATATTGTTAGGAACAGATATCTTGTCTAAATTGAATATCGGTTTAACTAACGTAGCACATAAATATCCAGATGATGAAGACTCTGAAGATATCCAATTTGAAAATGCTAACTATGATCCATCGGATAAATATGATCCTGAAAATGCTGATTATGGTACTTTAAGTGAAAGAGAACAATTAATGAGCTTTATTGAACCGTCTATTAAACGAAATGCTGAAATTAAACCGGGTCAGTTTTGTAACATTCCTGAAAGTATCGTCAGAATACCAATTAAGAAGAATGCATCAAACTGTTATATCCGACAGTATCCGTTACCTTACCATGCTCGACCTGAAATAAAGAAACAATTAGCCGAATGGTTAAGTTCAGGGGTCGTAGTAGAAAGTAAGCCAAGTAATAGATTTAATTCACCGTTATTAGCAATTGGAAAAAAGGATGAAAATAATAATCTTACCAATACCAGAGTCTGTCTTGATCTGAGAAGACAAAACATGAATATTGATGATTCTTTGGTAGAAGATTTTGCCGTCCCTAATATCCAAGATATTTTTGACAAGGTATCCACAGGAACTGTATTTAGTCGGCTTGATTTAAAGTCTGCATACAATAGCTTCAAAGTGGATGAAGCCAGTCAAGAAGTACTATCCTTTATGTTTGATGACAAAACATATAAATGGGTAGGAACTTGCTTTGGTCTCAAATTTGTAACTAGTCAATTTTGCCGGGTCATGAATATCATATTTAATGGTGAAGCCCAAATAGCAACATACGTTGATGATTGTTGTATTTTCTCTGATGCTAAGAATCATGCCAGTATCGTAAAGAGAGCAATCGATAAATTAACAGCTGCTAATTTGAAAATAAATTACGCTAAATGCACATTCTTTAAAACAAGTATCTACATGCTGGGATTCGTAGTCGGACCAGGTATCACAAAGATTGATCAACGTAGACTATCGAATGTTCATGAATGGCCTATTCCTAAATCAGCGCAACAAGTCAGAAAAATCATGGGTGTTGTTTCATATTTGAGAAATTACGTACCAAAGATATCAGACATTGCAGCTCCTTTAGATAAGTTAAGAAATGATAAAGATGTGAAAAATAAATGGACACAATTACACACGGATCGTTTGGAAAGCATAAAACAAATATTGTTATCTAAAGCAGTGTTACACACACCTAACATGGAAAAGAAAATGTATCTTGAAACTGATGCTTCACAATATGCTGCATCTGCCATTTTAACTCAGCGTGATGATAAGAATAGAACCATCATCATTGCTATGGCTAGTACGTCTTTACCCACTTCTGCTCAAAACTGGTCAGTAAACCGCCGTGAATTATTTGCCATATATTATGGATTCCAAAGATTTCGATCATTATTACTGGGGCATCCTCAAATCGAAGTCTGGACCGATCATCGTGCTATTACATTTTACTATACTACGCACGTTCCTAATAGAACAATTCAATCCTACATGGACATTTTGAATCAATTTTCCTTCACAGTCACCTACATCAAAGGAATAGATAACGTCTTGCCTGATTTACTCAGCAGATTATATCCTCCTTTAGATGATCAACATGAACTTGATGAAGAAGATAAAAAGATCAAACAATTGAATAAAATCATATTAGAACGTAGAAAACGAAACCCCGTTGAAAGCTTTAAGTCTACCGATCACACCACATCGACAGATAATTTATTTATAAACGAAGCATTAAGAGCACAGACGCTAACCTTAATGTCTTAGCCGTAAAAATAGACTCTCCACAGTACAAGAATAACAAAACCGACTACATCGCACCACCGATTGAAAACAGACATAAAATATTACGTGAAGCACATAATCTGGGACATTTCGGTACTGAAAGTATCGTCCAAAGATTGCACGAAGAAGGATTACATTGGACTGGAATATTTACTGAAGCGAAGCAAGTTGTCAGCAGTTGTATTGACTGCGCAAGACACAATGTAGCTAAAAAGGGATATCATCCGTTAAAGTCAATTGTGGCAGCTGAACCTTTTGCACACATCGCATCAGACATGGCTGGACCCTTTAGTGTGACTGCTAATCAAAATGTCTACATCCTCATCGTCGTTGATATTTGTACTCGCTATATCATAGCAAAGGCTCTCCCGAACAAACAAAGTGACACTGTTGCGAACACCCTCTGTCAGATCTTCGGCTGACTACGGTTTACCTAGTACCGCAATTTTAACAGACAATGGCTGTGAGTATCGGAATGGGTTGATGGCGTCGATTACAAAGACCCTCGGCATACCTCATCGCTTCTCCACACCTTATTACCCTCAATCCAACGGTTGCGCAGAAAATGCTGTGAAAAACATCGTAAATACGGTTAGGAAAATGTGTGGCAATGATACAAGCAAATGGGACACGATCTTACCAGCAGCACAATTATGTTGTAACTTGAAAATACGTAACAGAACAGGCAGCAGTCCTTTCTCACTTATGTTTGCTCGACAGTTCCCTACTATACAGGATCGCACCGATTCTTCAACCAAATCTTCTCTTCCTAAAAAGGTAACCACAGTGGATGAACTGATAAAAAAGGCTGAATATATGGCTGATATCGTCTTTCCCGCTATACACCAACGAACCAATGAGTTAATGGAATTACAGAGAAAACGATTTGACAATAAACACTACCTTATTGATATCGAAGTTGGATCAACGGTCATGGTACGATTACCGTCTAGAACAAGTAAACTATCTCCGCTCTATGAAGGACCATTCACAGTCGTAACTAAAACCAAAGCTGGTACATACGTGTTAAAAGACGAAATGAATGAAATGTTACATCGAGACTACGTACCATCTGAATTAAAAGTTGTAACCATTGACGAAAGCGCCATCGAAGATAAGCTGTATGAAGTGAAAGAAATTCGTACGCATCGCGGTCCCGTCAACGATCGACAATACTTGGTAGCTTGGGTTGGATACGGCGAACGAGAAAACTCATGGCTAGACGCAGCTGCATTCTCGGATCCCGAAACCATAAGAAAATATTGGGTCAAAGTAAACGAACAAAATAAATTGGACCAAACGCGTAAAGCTAAATTGGTAAACGATTCTAACAAGAAAACCAGGACAACGAAGGTTAGCAATGCATCGTCATCAGACAATGAAGTTGTGAACAAACCATCTAATAATAAAAGAAAGCAAAACAAGCATAGTTCTGGCCAACTACGTGAACGTGTGTTGAGAAGTAAAACAAGAAAGAACTGATAAGAGGAAACCCCTTGTATAAAAAAAGGCGTACAAAAAAAAAAAAAAAGTATAAGCCCCATTTTTGTATCTCAGTCACCTTTCTGAAATTTGACATTCATGCATAAACCATTATGTCTACGACGAAGTATAAAAAAAAAAAAAAAGTACTTAAAAAGTTGTAGTTATAGTTGCTTACGTATAAATTAATAATTTCTTATTTCGCGCGCTACGCTAACGCTGGTGGGGGAGCATGTGCTAAAATCGCACTTATAAATAATAAAATAAAATAAATAAATCGTCGATCCCACATGGTCGACTCATATACCAAATACAATATCACAAAAGAAAAGAACATCAGGTATAAAAACTGAGTTACTACTTTAGAACTCAGTTTGACTTAAGATTTCTTAGAACCATCGTCCTCTCAATTCTGACAGAACAATAAGACTAGCTCATTGTTTACGAATCAATCCAATCATAAAGGCAATGACTGCTTAAATTTAAGGCACCATCGGACATGTATTATACCACCCAATGGTACCTTCACTAACTATTAGATAACCGTTTAAACTACAGATCCCAGTAACTATAAATACCCTGCCTTCTACTATAATGTACAAGGTCATTCAGTTTTAAAACTAATAATAAGAATAAAAGCCTACAAGCACTATTAATCTTATTTACCTGTTTTTTTATTCTATTTTTTTCTGTGTTAAACAAAGTTTCTCCACAGCACCAAAAGGACGTACTCTGTCACTTGTTCCTCCTGGTTTAATGCTGGTGTATCACAAGACTATCTGACCATAATAACAACTACTCTAATGTAAATACGGAACATATAAGAATCACCGATATAACAAATACGAATCACAGACTTAACAAACATGAACATATAATATATATACAAGAGCAAATTAAGCATTTAATAAAGGATTATCTTATATTTGATTGAAATTATTGTCTCTTAGACATCGGATATTACAAATGCAATTGTGGCGACCTAGCAAGACTATAGCCATATTAGAGCTTGTGCTAAATCACACATATAGATTATACATATAATAAATTCATATCTCATCATCACTGATAAATGATAGCTAAATCATGATCAGGCATAAAAAAGGAATTCGCTAAAGCCGGTCACTATTTTAAAGTGTCACGGTATCGTAACACCAATGTCCAAACTTAAGACATGTTATTGTTATTATTTCTCATTGACTATGCGTAGCACTAATTGTCCAATATAGATATTGTTATTGATAGCATACTCATATTATTAAGAGTAGTATCCTCAGCCTCGCCCATTCCATTTATTATAAATACTCTTTATTTTTCCTCTTCTTAAATCTTTAGTTAACTTTAACATCAATAAACTCTGACAAGAATTTTAATTGATCCTATTGTTTTTTTCTACCTTTTTTTCTGCAAAACTATCCTCTTTAAGCCTACTTTTGCTACAGAGCTAACAAAGGTTTATCCATGCTAATACCATTTGTGATAAATAAGCTTAACAATAAATGTCATAATAAGAACTATAAGGATATTACATTACAAGTCTAATTTTAGCTGTAAGAATAAATATCCAATCCAATTAAGAATCAAACATTAAAAGCCTTTACGGTTACTGTTGAGGATCACCCTGAAACTTTTTACCGGTCTAAACATATTTTGGACCGATACCGCCGGTATCGGTGCAATTTTTAGAAATTACAGATACCGGCGGTCTTTTTTAAAGATTGCACCGATACCGATTTTTAAAAAAAATGAAAATCACTGCAAAATCGAGTTTTGTAGTTTAATAAACATATATTACGATACCTATATAACTTATATGATTAAAAGAAAATTTATTAAGTTAATACGGTGACCGCAACAGGGGGTCAAAAAGTGTATCTTGTTCATTACGCGTTTGGTGTTACACGATTAGGCTTTTTTTGTATCGTGCTTTCAATTGACTTACGCTTTTTTTTTTTTTTTTTTTTTTTTTTTTCACTTCTTCGCTAGTTTTAACGGACGAATAACTATCAAAACATATTCACTTTTTAAATGTCTCTATGACAAAGTATTGACATTTTTTTTGTCACATATATATTACAAATAAAATGTTTATAGTATCAAAAGCCATGGGCTTTATGTCCAAATTTTTGCCACTCAATAAATAGCCGCAACACTTTTTATTGAAATCACCCTCCTTCTTAGATTTTTCTTTCTAGTTTCCCCATTTTTTCCATCTTGTAAAGAGACAAGTTATAGGAAACAAAAGAGTGGTCAAAGGGTCATTGAAAATACCTATCAAACGCACTGGAAGAGTACTCTATGTTTGTGTGTACCGTTCCTGTACGTAATATCTATTGAGTTTAAAAAATCATTATTTATAAATCTAATATTTTTTTTCTTTCTTTTTTTCCTTTTTTCTGTTTTCTTTTTGACAAATGACCATGAAATAGTATGTATAATAATCGATACCATAATTTAACATAAAATTAATCTTTTACAGTTATGTAACTCTGTTTGATGTAGTTTATGAATAATAAATATTGTGTTTGCGTTCATGGTAGATGAACTACATTCTTTTCGAGGTAAGATTTATCGCTATAGTCACCTTCATTCCTGTTATTAATATCAATATATGTCTATAGATTTACTGTACGTTTACTGCTTGTAAATTTAGACCCGGACGACCTGTTTCTTTATTAAGGTATGATGTGTTTTTTTATCTTTTTTATACTCGTTATTAACGTTAGTTCTTATTATAGGTAAGTACCGCCCAGACGCGTTTGTCTATAACAGTTGTAACTACTAGCTCAATAAGTTGGTATGGGCGGGTTAGTTTCGTCTTTCATCTGTAAAACCAATCTGTGCGTTTATTTATTCAAACATTTGTGGCTCTTTTTTTCTTTTTCTTTTTTTTTTCAATAAAATGTCTTTTTTTTATTCAATATATGATGTCTAAATTTTTGGGTTTACAAGGGTAGCAACTCGTGAACTGAATACGTAAACTGTATTATTATCCAATAGAATTATTTGCCAAAACCATCGTTTGTAATCATCAGTATCGGTCCAAAAATGCGACCGATTTTTTATAAAATCGGTCCAATTTTTGGACCGTTACCGCCGGTCTAACTTTTTCATTTTTTTTTAAAAAATTGGACCGATAAAAAGTTTCACAGTGGATGTCATAGATTATAATAAAAGAATCATCACATTTACATAATAATGGATGATCATGTATAAATATTCATGGCTCACACTTCGCCCCATTTGTTATCATCAGAACCGTTGGTGTCTGTGCACAAGGTGATTCGCCTTGTGACGAGTAAATATTATAATACCATAAAAGTATAGTACAATCCCATAGGCGGAATATTCGGTTACTGAATATTACACGCGCTAAACTTTCTCTTTGGCATTTACGTAATGTCACCTGCGGAGATGAATTTAGATCCTCACGTACTTTTGTCTTTACTTTGTAAGGCAGGAATTACTTGATAACATATTTATTTAAACAGACATTACGTATAACATTATATCATATTCCTCTAACGCGTCACATATATTATCCGAAAGCCATCTAATCATTTAGTATAAATACCTGTAGTTTTTGCTAGTAGAATTCCCTTGTGATGTTTGAGATATTAAAAAATAGATAAAACAGAATAAAAAGAAGTAATAAGAAATGAGTCTCTATTAATCCTTTATTAAAGTTATGGAGAGAAAGTCATCGCAAAAGGGAGGACGCTTTTTATATCAAACATCTGGGAGATTGAATCCGGTAAGGAATAGGCAGTGGCTTGTTTCTATCTTCTGAAACATGGCAATTAGAATTACATGGTCTTAAGTCAATCAATACTTTCTTATATTGATTGGCACAAATTATTAAGTGAAAAATTCTCATTAGCTGACACTTCAGTAACAGATTAATGAGAATCAAAAACAACCAATAATAATTTAATTCCCAATATATAATCTGTAACAAGATTATACTGGTAATATGAGAGTACCACTCGAATATTATAATTTAACTACATTGAAGGTCATTCTATACGATATTTATTGGAGGAAATACGACATCCCTAATCTAAATTTTCTCGAAATAAAAGATATACACAGTTCTAACAGTATTTTCTTTTGTTACCTTAATTTAAATTTTTATCTCCATCCCAAACAGTTACAAGCAGTAGAACAATCTGATAAGGTTAACCGAGAACACTTGCACGGCCATTTCTTGTCTACGGAAAGTATGAAGGAAAATACGTTACTAGACAGAGCACTGTTAATCCTGTAAAGAAATGGTGGTAGGAGGGCTCTGCCTATTTAACACCTGCCAGACTTCAAATAACAGACAGTTGGTAATTGACTTTATGAACCTAAAAAATGCCGTTTTATTAATCCATATCTACACGTATAATGGGCTATCTACCACCTACCGGGCATCGATTGTCCGGGTACAATCCGGCAGGTGGTATATAAGAGAAATTACTATATAGTATAGCTCAGGTGGTATATACATATTTTCCTTTTAAACTCCCTAACTCTCTCTCTTGTTCTCTTGCGCCCGTTTCGTTGATTTCTTATTGGCTTACTGATAGACTAACAATTTATCTCTCTCATTTTCTCATAACATTTTCTCATATCAAAGCTGTTAACGTCACTCTTTTGCTGTATTTTGATTGAATGGCGTACCCCCATCTACAAGCATACGGCCCGAACTAAATTTGTTTTTGCAAAGGCCACTAAATCGTTCTTCTTTACGTTTGTTATTGAAAGGTTGACAAGATTCTGTGTTTGGTAAGTCCTGCTCTTTCTACAGCATATAATATTTACTAAAAGAACACGCAATTAGCCTTCAGAGATGGCATCAACTTTATCATTGCTGTAGCACTGTTTCAATTCCGTTTGGGGTTGCGTAAACTTCTTCGAGTTTACAGTAAAAAGACACCGTTTGATGACGCTGAAAGGCTGTCTTGAGTTGCTGTTTGGCTTCTCTTGCTTTCAACACCTTTTTCGGACAGAGTCTTTTGTATTGATACAGCAGCAGTGTCATGCAGAAGATGAAAAGCTACGGCTGGATGGTATATTGTAAAGGATGGCAGTAATCTTACACCTGGTGGTATGATTTAGATATGTATGTTAGCATAATGTAATAAAGATGTACTTGTAGTCTTTTGTGCTTGGATCAACTTTATTGTTAAGATTTGTTTATTAGCTCATATTTGTTCAATATCAATAAGACCTCGGTTAAGTCACCATATGGAATAGTTACCTTTTATAGGGCTTCAAATGCGAAATCTAATTGCAAGAAGGTGGAAGCGTTCCCAAATCTATTGAAGCTGAAGTGTTTTTTGAAACACAAAAAAACAAGCATAGCATCATACAACTCCACACAGAAAGTATTCGACACTATTCGCTCCTTTAACCATGCATTATTTCAAAACGAATAAAAGGTACCTGAAACTCTACCAAACTTAATAAAAACAGCAATAGATATATATATATATATATATTGTAAATTTTTTAATTACGTTAATAAGTGGTATTTGAGCTACGAGCTTTTTTTTACATATATCGGGCATACTTTCTACAAGCTTATGTCACACTTCATCCCCCAACAACTTCCATTCCTGATGAAGTGCATCCTCCAAATCATTCAGATTTTGAAACTGGGCTCTTTTTATATCAATTCTCTGTCCCAGGAGGCGCCACAGGTTCTCAATGGGGTTCAAATGAGGACTTTGAACGGCCCATCACTCAAAGTCTGCAATCCCAGCGTTCTCTTTCCACCGCCTTGTATATCCTCCTGTATGGCATAGGGCACCGTCTTCTTGAAAAATAAAATCATGGCCATGTTCCTCTGTCAATTGTTCAAGCCAAGGGAGAAAGTTTTGACTTAAACAATTGACATATTTCTCTTAATCGACAGGCCCTTTAAGTGTCACCAAAGGGCCCAATCCACCTGCCCAAAAACATCCTCACACCATCACCCTTCTTTCTAATAACTTTTACACTACCGTCGTTGTGCCTGAGTGCAGATCGCGACTCGTCGGACCAGATTACCTTCTTCCAGTCATCTAATATCCAATTCATCTTGTCATCGACCCATTCCCTTCGCGTTTTTTTTTTCTTTTTTTCTGACAGTCGTGATCCCTTCAGTTCGATACTTCTTTACGATCGTAGCAACGGTTGTTCTAGGAATGCCCTATTCTTTGCTGATTTGGGTACCTGTCCATTTGGCATGCTCTGCTAAGCCGCAAATGACTCCACGGTCGAAATATGAAAGTTCGTTGCTCTTTCTAAAGGCTTTATTAGTAATGTTAGTAAGTGGCATGGTGAATTGCTTAATAAAATTTGAGTAAAGAAAGAGTAGGTTTATTCATTCTTCTGGCTCAAAATGGAAGTGTCGAATACTTTGCGGAGTTGCATGAACAACGACAATAGCTGGTACAATTTATTCTCTATACAAAGCAATTCTATGAGGATACGGATATCCATATGACTATCAGTTGTTCAGCCATGCTTCATGATACTAAAAATTTATGAATGTCAAGCGAGATAGAAATGTGAAGGTGTTGTCCTGAAGTATATTTGGCCGCTTTCGGCGGCATAATATGCTTCTATAACATGTCATATAGTAATCGTTTAATTGTTCAAATGTGATCGATCTTGCCTAGTTATGCATCGTGTATGAAGCTTGTGTTGCCAACATGAAAGAATCCTCACTCGCAGTGTCCATTAAATAATTGTTCTCCACTCCGCAATCGAGGAGGAATTTGATCATTGCAAATAGAATCGAGGTGGGTTATGCTTAAAGGAGAGACCTAATGTGTGTAAAAAAAAAAAGACACATGCTACTTGAAAAATACAAGTTTGTTTAGTGCAATATAAAGGGTACGATAAGTACTAAAAAAGAAAGGGCGAAAAAAAAAAAGTCCCGGCCAATGAGGAAAAACAAAAAACGTCATATTTTTTTATATAAAAAGCAATCAACACAGAAGATTTTGATTTCTTCTTTTTTTTGCACCTGTATTTATATTATCAAATGGTTTTTCAAAAATTCAAGTTCAAGGATTCCCATCGGAAGCGCTTATTTATCAGTTATGGAAAAGATTGGTTGCTTGTGTTGATCATGGCTATTATTTTCTTTGCTATTGATTCCATTCAACCATTTCACCGAGAATTCTCTATCAATGATACATCCATCATGCATACCTATACAGTAAATGAATCTGTACCCGTTTGGTTATTGATGGTAACTCATTTTATGTGGACCTTTCTTTCTTGCTTTGTTTATCTATTAACAATATTTATCCCTACCCTGTAGTTTGTTGCAATTATTATTCCTATTATTATCATTATAATCTATGCTGGGTTCTTTCGTAGAAACTGGCTTGATTTTCATAGTGGTTTATTAGGTAAATCACTAAATTATTCAATCGGGATAAACAAACCTTTTTTTGTTAATTTTTTTTTAATTTTTTTTTTAGGCCTCGCTTTAGCTTTAACGATGACGATCATGATGACAGACGTAATTAAGGTAAGCACAATTAAGGGGTTTTAATTTCGGGGTGTACTAATACCTTTTTTTTTTTTTTTTTCATTAGATCACAGTTGGACGACCTCGACCGGATATGTTAGAAAGGTGTAAACCACCTCCGGGAATAGAAAACCCACCTTTACATTTATTAAATTACACTATATGTACAGCAGATCCTCGCTCCTATGATATGATTGATGGTTTCAAAAGTTTTCCCAGTGGTCATTCATCATGTAAGCTTAAATATACACATCTTTTCTTTGCTGATCTTACAATGAAACTGATGATCTTTTCTAGTTTCTTTTGCTGGATTAGGCTATTTGGCTTTCTACCTTGCTGGAAAAATGCATGTTTTCGATAGAGGAGGTGTAAGTGCATATATATATATATAAAGGGATTTGTGTTTGTTATACTTACATAATCTATCCACCATTATAGCACACATATAAGAGTTTTGTCTGTTGTGTTCCGTTTCTAGGAGCATTGTTGATTGCAATTTCCCGTGTGCGTGATTACCGTCACCATTGGTCCGATGTATTTGTGGGAGCGATCTTTGGCACAGTATTTGCTTATTTCTCATACCGACAGTATTTTCCTGATCTAGCCTTTGAGCATTCACATTTACCTTATCCTCCTCGTATTAAGCGACCTCAAGATATATTCCCTGAAGACGGTGATCAACCACCTGATGAAGAACAGACGGTTGGTTCAGGTGATCTACATCAATACGGCGAATGTAAGTCATAACGAATCGAAATACAATGAAAAATTTTGATCTAACTGAGTTTCTAATAGATACAAATCGGTCCACGGCAAGTCAACGTTCGATGCATTCCCATGAACAATTAAGCAGCAAACCTAGTAATGATCATCTCAATAGCCATTATCCCAAAACCAATGGACATATTAATCATGAACATGTGAACGGCAAACAGCCGAATAGAACAGATTACGCCATCAATCATATTGAAAATCAATCTACGTCTACTACTACCAATTCCTCATAATATTTGTAATATTTTAAATTTAAACAAAAAAAACTGTATATATTAAAAAAAAAAAACCTCCCGAAAGGAAACATCCTCTCTCTCTCTTTCACCCTCTTGTATATTCCCTTGTAATAAAATAAACTAAGTTATAGTGTTTGTCTGTCTCGTTGTTGATCTGTTGATGTTAATGTATCTTGTCCTACATAATCATGTTTAGAAATTCTTCTAAAGCGATCCCTACAATTTTTTTTTTTTAGAAATGTCATGATGACTTCATTTTTAAATTACATTGCTTGTGTTAAATCGTCCAGCTGGTGTTCAATTATAAAAAAAAGATGGTGTAACTCAATTTAGAAATGGGGAGATATATTTTATTCGTTGATTTCTAACCTTTTCCATCATGCTTTTTAGTACAGCCTCTTTTTTCTCGAAATTCTTGTTGGCTGAATGGGGTTGTTTCACTAAATGTGGAGGCCTATAAAAATAAGATTCAGTAACCATGCCAATATGAAACTATTATTATTATTATTTTTACTGTATATCATTGATGGCTTCTAATGATACATGATCGCTTGCTAAATCGATCTGTTTCCTTCTAATCACATCAAGTTCCCTAAATATCTGACCTGTATTTTTACCTGAATCCAAAAAGAAATTACTAGATGAGTTGGGTGTGGGTGTTGCTTTTATAGATTTGTAACTCACCGAATACTCGCATTTCACTGGTCTGATAGGCTCTATCGACATTTTTAAAGTCATTGTTTAAGCTCTTTACGATATTATCATGTTCTTCCATTTTTGTTTGACGAAATAAAAAAGAAAAAAAAAAGAAAAAGAAGGGGTGGGGGCTGGTGATCGCAAGATAAATTCTTCAAGTGCATATGATCACACAAATAAAAGAGTACACCTTTTATAAGTCACACAGAAAGACCATTTTATCTCATTATCGTGTTCATTTTCTGTCAGTTTGATAATACTGACCAGTAGCATTGATCACTGATAAACGCACATTGGTTTTTTTTTTCAAGGTCAGGCAGGCTCCTTATTCAAGAACGAACACAAATTCGCGGGATGGAAAGAAACGCGTCCCCTTAAAAAGATTCAATCAAAAAACCTCTTGAAAGCCAGTTTTTTATTTATTTATTTTTCTTCTTCTTCTTGATCATGGTGACTAATTTAGACATGGATTTAATCAAGATCTCTGAGGATGGTCATGTCACAAAGAGGATCTTGAGAGAAGGGTCAGGAACCACTCCCGAAAAGAATAATTCAGTTTGTGGTACTTTTGACTGAAATGACATATTTGATAGATGGACATTAATTTCTTTCTTTTTAGTGCACTATGAATCCTTTTTACAAGATACCAATGTCAAATTCGATTCCACTCGTGAAAGAAAAGCTGAATTCACATTCACTTTAAATTCTGGTAACGTTGTCTTGTCCTTTTTTATTATATTTCCTAACAAACAATCACAGGCAAGGTTGTTAAAGCTTGGGAACTCGCTATCCCAACAATGAAAGTGGGCGAAAAGGCCGAAATTTTCTGTACCAGCGACTATGGTAAATACTTGTGAAAAGATATCACACACGCACAGAAAGACTGATATATGTTTATACGCACACCTAGGATATGGAGATGAAGGAAGAACATATATTGTTCCACCAAAAGCCAGCTTACGATTTGAAGTAGAGTTGCTTGGTTTCTGGGAAGTAAAGTGAAGATGAGCTGAAAAAAAAAGATATATGGACGGGGTTGTGAACTGACTTAATTTTTGTGTTGAGTAGGTTGCTGGTTCAGCGGCAGAACGTATCAACTCTGCAGAAAAGAAAAAGGGAGAAGGCAATGATTTGTTCAAGAAGGGAGCTATTGAAGAAGCACTCTTTGCATATCGAAAGGCCAGAGATTATATCAAAGATTTGTGGAATTGTGAACCAGAAGAATTGGAAAAGTGTCGTTTATTGATTGTCACCATTCAACTGAATATTGCCGCTTGTCATTTAAAATTAAAAAACTATGAGTTTGCTGTCGAGGTCTGTAAAAGAGCACTGGATCGTGATTGTACCAACATCAAGGGTTATTATCGTTTGGGTCAAGCCTATCTTGAAATGGGTGATTTTGACCAAAGCATAGAATTTATCAAGTTGGGCTTAGAGGTAAAATATTCATCTTCATATACACACTCATATTCATTATTCACTAAATTCCATTTTATAGTATAAGCCAAACAGCGTAGAACTCTTGGCTCTATTATCAGTGGCCGAGAAAAAGAAACAACGTTGGTTAAATGAAAGTAAAAGGATCTATAGAAAGATGTGTGATAATTAAAAACAAAGGAAAAAAAGATAATGATGGAATCTTTACAATTTTTTTTTTATTTATTTATTTATCTACCATGCTTGGTGCATATATTTTTGAACAGCTAAAAGAGCTTGGTATCTGACTTCTTGATCTTCATGAGTCATAAGTTCCATAATACGTTGTTTAGCACCAATTTCTTGCAAGACACTATAAAAAAGAAAAATTATCGTAAATAAATATAAATCCCTTAGCCCTCATCTATTCACGACTTACTTTTTGCCTGCCTTGCTTGCAAACTTGACATAATATCCAATATCACTAGCACCAATAGCCAACACCAAGGGGTTGTTGGAAGAACTCAAAAGACGAGCAAGCATCTTGAGCAATTGGTAATTATGTTCCTCAAGCTTGTGTGCATTCTCCTTCCAAAATACATCAGATCGATGAGGAGGAGACCATTCTAACTTGCCAGTCTCTACTTCAGAAGCATATTGTTCAAAAGTACTACACAAAAAAAAAAAAGGTCATTAGAACATGTTCGGATTATGTATCTAACAATAGGGGGATGTATTTACGTAAGACTTTGGAAATCTTCTTGTAATCTTTCCTTAACAAAATTAATGTCTTCCAAAATATCGGAATCAGACCACTTTCGAGAACTCAAGTTCTCGGTGAATGGCAATAATCGAGAAACCAACATGGCTGCCAAATTCTGAGCAGGTGCCTTTGCAACAAGATTCTACGCTAGAATAGTCAATACACATATTGTCAGTTAAATACAATATGTCCCTTACTCTCAAAGTAGCAATAGATACACGGATCACCTTTTCTTTGACAGCAGACTTGGCAACTTCAACTAACAATGGAATAACATCATACTTCCTATACGACGGGAGAAAGTAAGAAAAAAAAATAAGTTAAACTTTGATCATGACGTATTCCTCCAAAAAAAAAAAACTTACTCATTGATACCGGCAGCGATATCCTTTTCAAAAGTAAGAAGCCATAAGCAAAAAATAATTTGGTATTGAATTTGAGGTGTGGAGGCTGATTTGTTGACATAAAGACGATGAACCAACCTAATAAAAACAAATAAACAAAACAAAAAGTCATGAGTATGAACACATATATATAAAGTCATTTCCTTCTCCCCTCCCCCCTTACTCTTTGATGGCATTTTGAGTATTCCAAACAGGTAAACGATATGCTTGTACACGTAACAAGGATTCTAATTCTTGAATAACCAAGTTTACAATATCGGGAGAAGAACTGTTTAACTTTTTAGTGATCCAAGTATACAAAGCATCGAGAGAAACGTGAGTAGGTGATGGAGCGGAACTGTAAATAATAATAAAAAAAAAAGGGTTAAGCTTTTTGTTTATGTGTATATAAAAAGGGATAATGTTTTTACCAAGCAAGCATGGTCAAGACTTTAGATGCTTGAAGTGCCATAAACTCATCTTCGGACTCGAGCACTTTGAAAAAGGGACCGAAAGGGTAGTTTTGATCTCCCTTTGATGTAGCATGGAAATAACTAGCGTTGGCATCATTGGCTGTTGTTGAAAAATTTAAGATTGAGTTTCATTCAGACATACAATGGACATGTGTCCTCTTACCAGAAAGGATATCGTCTGTCATTAAACAGACATATTGAATGGTATCAGGTCTCGACAAGTTTTCTAACAAGTACAAGATGAGGGAAGCATAAGTATGTCCCTTTTCATTCATGGCAGCTTGAATGACATTGGCGGGTTGTTTGTCAATGGCCTTGATAAGCTCCACTTGCTCATGAGATAATAAGCTTGCGCGTTCATAACCCTACATTGTATTGTATTTTTTTAGTTTTTAGCTTTTTCTGCTTCGCGCGTTTAATGTTTATTTCCACCATCTCACCTCCCAAAGAATAGGCTTTTGTCTGATAAGAGACGCCTTCTTTTCCAAATAGGCGTTGGATACGAGAACAAGAGGTACTTCGGGTACTTGGTCTTCCATGGCCTGTATTATTATAAAAAAATTTGTAGTAAGGGAAAATAAGAGATTTAAAGGCGGGCCTTTTTACTTTTTTTTTTATGAAACTGGATAGATCCGAAACTGTTCGTTCTTGCTATGCACACTACAACTCACCTTCGTGACGTAATTTTTCACTGTTGTGCAAATACAGTGCTTTTTGTTGCTAAGGGAACTCTTACTTACGGGTGGGACTTTGATCATTTGGTCTAAGATTTGCGGAATATGCCCCTCCTAACCATATTGCCTTGGGGAATATCATTATATTATTTTTCCACGCTATGGTTAAGCTGCTATATCATATGGTGTCGTATTAATTTGGGTAGAGCCCTCAAGACCTAGTATTTATATCATGTTTCTGAGATTTCCGATTTGTTGATTGTAGTAATAAAAAATTGAGTAGATACATTTAGAAAACTGGCAGTAAGGATGAAATAAGTCCTCATATTGATATTTAACAACAATTGAATTTGGATAGATTAAAATCGCATCTGAACAACCCCGTCTATCTAAATAGACTGGCAAAAATAGTCATTTGCCAATAAATCTAAGTGTAATCATATTATGTTTTGCTAGCAATAATTTAAATAGCCTCAAAAACTCATTGTTTAAAAAACTGAATCTGAGTGCATTTCAGATCCATAATCAGCGTTTTCCTACTTTCGGGTGTTTGGCTCAAGATCAAGCACAACATCGAGACTGCTTGCCAAACGATATACCACCGCAGATGATTTGATTTAAAGAAGACGTTTTAGAACATATTGAGATGTATGTGATAGAGAGTTGGGTCACCGTTTTAGTACCTTTACAAGTTTTGTATCCGAACATCATTTATTATAGTGTCTGATTTTTTTTACAGTGTTTTTTGTTTCTTTGTTACTGCCGTCCCTTTTTTTAATGCTTTGTTTGAAATTTTAAATGCATATACTCTATTTTGCTTGCGACATGCTAATCAAAGCAGCTTGTGATCTTAAAATCTATATAAAAAAAAGAGGATATTGTTTTAGTTGATAAAGCCGAATAATTTTTCATCTTAATTATTACCTCTAAAGCTTGCTTAACTTCCAAATGACGACGAGCTTCATCTAACCAATCAAGGGATAAACGCTTGGGCCAGCCGGACAATTGGTTGATTTCTCTAGCAGCACTTTCCAAATCTTTATCAGTGTTGAGATAGTGTTCAGCACGAGCCAATCTGGATTCAATATCATCACCGGCAACAAGACCCTTCTTTGTGAACATAACACTACTTAATACAATGGAGAGAAGATGAGAGATCATGTTGGCATCTTGCTCAGGTATCAGGGAAGCGCGACGAACTTCACGAGCGACTGTTTCAAAACGTTCAGCGAGCTTAGCGATGGAAGTAACACCATGTTGAGCAACGTGTTGTTGAATACTGGAAGCAACTAATTGGATTAATTCATCGGTTTGACGTTCACCAAGCTTGGCAAAGGGAGTCTTTGCTGAGAGGCGCTTCAAAGTAGCTAACTCTAATTCGAATTGACCTTGTTCACCACAGAGAGCTGCTCTCTTCAATGCATCAATAGCGGCGATCAATTGATGTGCTTTACGTGTGTCATCTAAAAGTTCGGCATCTGCAAAAGCTAATTTTTCAAAATCGGATTGTTTGGAAGCGACAGCCTCAATTTGAGACAAACGACCTCCACGCTCTCCCTCTACTTGATCTTGTACTTGTTTGACATAGTCGGCTTGGATCTCAATGGCCTTGTTCTTCAATTCCTTTTCAAGTTGACCCAAGAAATGTTGACGTTGAGAGGTCAATTCCTTGTTACGGATGGCTTCGAATTGTTTCTTTAACTCAGCAGCATCAGAAGCAATATCAGATTCCACTTGTTGGACATGAGAGGCGATATTGGCATCAGCTGTTTCATTGGCCTTTTGGACCTTGACAGCTACATCTTGACGATGAGATTCAACACGCTTTTCGGCACCCTCAAGCTCCTTTTGAAGCGCCTTGACTTCTTCTTGAGCCTTGGAAGATTCTTGCTTAATTAAAGCAAATGCCTTATCCAGACTTTGAATATCACGTGTAGCAAAATCGACAAGACGCTTGGCATGGCCGGACATACCAGCTTCATTCAACATTTGAACAAGACCAGACACGGTCTTTGCGAAATCATTCAAAGCATCTTCTTCAGATTTTTCAAAGGTAGGTAAAGGTGTAGTTTCGGTGCTGTGAATGATGTTGGAAAAGAGAGCTTCAGGCTTTCTGTTCTTGAGACGGAAACGGTTGTTGGCAGAGGGAGAAGGACCTTTACCAACAACAACAGGCTCGGTTTCAGAGCCTCGTAATTGAGTAATGGTGTCGGATACATATTCATACCAATCTTGGGCTGTTTCTGTGGCCCCAGAGGCCAATTGACTGATGGTCTCGGTTTGACTGGCGGTCTTTTCCTTGAGTGCCTTGGCTTGATTCAAGTAATGTTGAATGGTGTCATCGGCAGCCCAATCTTCCAACACATCCAAAAACTTTTCGCCACCGGGGACGTACGTGGTGTAAGTATCGTAAAAGGCTTCGTTCTTTAAAGCAAGATAGGTAGCGCTGGAATAAGCGGTACCTGTAAGTAAAGTGAACCAAAAAAGTTTCTTTCCAATACTGCTGCCTTTGTTGGTTTGAACACTTTGTTCGGTGCTGTAGGATCGTTTCACCTGTTAAGAAAAAGAAAACATTAATTTCCTTTTTGGAAAAGAGTTATTTGCCAAAGTAAAATGATCTTACTGCAGAAAGACAGTTGGTTTTACCAACTGTGAAACGAGCTGTAGATCGAATGGCAGATGCTCCTCTCAACATTTTCTTTTATAAATGAACAATAAAATGTATTTCACCAGGGCAGATATTTTAAAAAGAAATGAACCTGGAAACTAAACCCCGCTCAAAGCATGATTAAACTATCGTTTTCATGACGTCAGCAAAGTGCTCTTGCTGATTTATATTGTCAACATTGTGTATAAAACGATAGATAGTTGGATGAGATTATCAAACAAGAAAAAAGAGGCAGAAACGTTTATTTGAGTCATTGATGTTCAGAGAAATTTTCTCGGTATTCTGTGCCAGAAAACTGATTTGATCCTTTTGTATAATCGGTGTTCATTTGCGGCAGGTGCTACTCACAGTGTTTGGTAAATATTTTGCATACACATGTCTTATCACATATCAGATATTTGGTAGGCTTTACTAGGTTTGTCTGGAAAACGATCCTGTATAGATTTTTTGAAAAGTAGTAAAACGTGTATATTGTGTTATTATATATTATCGTATGAATACAGAACTAGTACAAAGGGACTTGTCTCTCCAGCAGTAGGTAAATTGTTATCTACCACAAAGGTTTAAAAAAAAATCAGAAAAAAAATGTGTCTATGGATAAAAATCGTTAACCGAAAAGTGTAAAACTTTGGATATAAAATTCTAAAACCTGAACCGTAGTAATAAAACTAACCCTAATTCGCACGATTATTTAATATGGTGGGGAGTTGACTACATTATAGTCAAGGAAGGAATATAAAAGAACGATTTATTAAGCCTTCGGTTAAATAAAATCTCTATACAACAACTTCGAGCTTTTGGATGCGTGGCTGTTTAAGATACTATCCGAATCAAATTGGCTTCGTTTTTTTCAGATCTCTTCATACAGCGTTCATGATAAAAGTAACTGAGCTCCTTCAGCTCATCCAGCTTCATTATAGATCCTGGCAATTTCTTGTAGAGATAAGGAATTTAAAAGCCCATGATCCCAAAGATGATTTTTAGACCCTTATTATGCTCGGCGCAACCATACTATTGAAGAGATCCTATGTCACATTATATGGTTGCATAGCAAGTTTAGACCAAATGCAAAATGAACTTAATTTTTTTTTTTTTTGATTAGTGAACTAATAATCTCTGAAAACAGTGTATAGTGTACATTTAATTATAAACAAGTATGATATAAATATATCTTTAATCTGATCTACACATATTGCGGTGTTTCTCTTTTCTCAGAAGGATAAATTTTCTAGACGTCATTAGGAACAATCATTTTTTTGGCTTTACGCCCATTCATCTTTATAATAAATGAGTGTTTCTTTTATAACAAGTGTTTAGCTTTCTCAAAGTCTCGCTATAATATGCTTTGCGACAGGGGGATGAAATATTCTCGAATTTCCTTAAAATTAAACAATGACCGGTTTAAATCAGGACATGCTAAATTAAGCGTTCCTTTCACCCCGCTTTTTTTAAAAAGGTCATTGATTGTTATGTAAAGCTACTAGAAGACACATATACATATCCATCATGGTTCCTATTACCTGTTTGCATAATAGATAAAACCGATGATAAAGAGGCACCTTCTAGCTAATTTTGTGCGAGAAGTGTAACACGTTGTTTTTTTTTCTCTGCTAAAAAGTCGATCTGGGCGGCGCCCGTGTATTTGTCCCTGTCATTTTTTGTTTTTTTCTTTTTTTATATACAGGTATGAAGTTTCAGGAACCGCTCTATTATATTCTTTCTCCCTTTTTAGCTTTGTTCCGAGTGATTGACATCATTTTTTTTTTATCTTTTGTGCAACATTAGACATCTAGGCCTCATTTTTATCAACCTCTGCATTACCACGCACTTTATGTGCATTACATCTCCTAATCATCATCTTTTGCCCCCCTTATTAAGCAGGAGCAAGTTCATTTTTGGTTTTTACACTGATAATGCAAATGGATTATGAAATGAGAAATCAATTTTGTCAGCTCACTCCTCAATCAAGCCAATCAGCAAAGGTTTTGTTCTGTTCCCGGCAACGAAAAAAAAAAAAAAAAGAATCTTAAACTGATTTCTATTTATAACGTACGTTCATATAGTGAAGCTGGGAAATATTGGTCGTTTTTTGCTTAACTGACTGATTTCGGCATTTTTCAATTTGACATGTGCTTGCTTTTTTTTTATATGTCAGGATGTCTCTTTATTAACGCGTTGTCGAGTTCTAGAAGGGTCCATAACTCATAATCCGTCTCTTGCAAGTATTCACAGATGAATATAGGTCATATCATTGCTAAGTTTATATCTTGAAGAAAGAAAACACTCACCTATCAAAGAGAAATATTTTATGTTATCGTTAATAAGACAACTTCACAGGCTAAATAGAATCCTGTGCAGGAGGAAAATACACAATCGCCTTTCAAATGTACCGTACTGTCGACTTTGAGGTCGGTTGATAACTTCATTTGAAGAAATGCGTTTATACAATGGAGGAAAAACACAGACTATGCCCATTCGAACAATTGATAAAGCATCGTGCGTTTAAAAGACACAAGCACCTTTGTTGCAGAACCGTCACAGTGGGGCTTTCAATGTCAAAAGAGGAAATTTGATACATAAGTCGAGACCTATGTTTACATTGCATATATAGACCATAAAAAAAGATGGTGATATATATATATATATATATATATATAAATAAGTATATGTATATGTATATGTAAACAGATAGTAAACTATATCTGACATCACCTTATTGTAATTGCTTGTGTGACAAGCGGGTGAGCGTGCGTGCGAGTGGGATCTAGTGTGGTATATTTATAGCAACACAACAATAATGCAAGAAAGGAGCGAATGAATAAAACACGTGTGATATTTATTGGGAGAGGGGAATATAGTAGAAAGAAGATCGACAAGGTAAGGGGAAAAGAACATTTTACTTTGACCAGCCAATGCCACCTTTCACCCAGGTACCATCCATCAAGACAAATTGAGCCAATGTGTTCGCAATGGAAAGATACGGGGTGGGGTTATAATGAGAAGCTTTGACAATGGAAGCTAGTGCCAAAATAGATTTAGGTTCAGCCGATTGAACGATAGTGGAGATACAGTCTTCCCACTTCATGAAACCGGTTGTCTGTTTGTGTACAACAAGTGCAGGTCTTCCTTGTACAACAAATGTACAGAGCATTGATAAAAATAGTAAATCCACCAAATCTTGATCGTTTTCCGAACGGATCAATCGTTTGACTGCAAATACGGCATCCATCATCTGTCCACCCGCCATGAACCAATCTAAATCAATGACATTTTCTTGCGGTTGACGTGATGCATGCTGTGTTAATCTGGTAGCTGTTTCTAATAGAGATTCAAGTTGTTCTGTCATATCACCCGGAGAAGAAGTAGACCATGTATGCATGTATGTCTTTATCAGGTCGGACTTACTCTTGATCAAGAGCTTTACTGCTGAATGAAAAGTATTGTTTCCTTCCATTTTGCCATCGAAGCGTTGATCGGAACTAATATAATCAAATAGGATAGTGTTTGCTGTACATGTGCTTTTGGATGTGTTTGTCTGATGCTGACAATAGTCTAGAATGCTACCGACGTCTAAATAAGAGGTAGCATAATACGCTAATGCTTGTGTGATAATTAATGGTAAATCATGCTCGATGCCAAAGGCTAGTTGAACCAGTGGTTGTAATTGTGAACCGAGAGATTTCGGAATAGAATAAAAATATCTGTTCAACGTTTCCTCTAATCCCAAAATAGACAATTGATTATCAAAGAATACCAAGTAATCGCCATACAGACTAAATAATAATAAAAGGTCAGCTGAGTTTTTAATACTCTTTGTTACTATTTTTACCTCCAATTTCCGAGAAACTCTTCCCAATTAGTTTGATCGATTCTATTGGAAATTCGAATGGGTTGTGCATCTTGCCTAGCCTTTCCATAAGCGAGCGTGAGCTGTTCCTGGGAAGCTAATATAATTTTTAGATGAATAAACAAAAAGCATTCTTTTTTATATATAAAAAAACAATCAAACTTACCACCTAATTGATGTAATTCCACTAAAATTCGAATCATGTTGTTTGGGCGATCTCTTTTCTCCATGTGATAGAGCAAATGATTTTCTTGTACAATATCAAGTAAAAGAGACCGATTTAATTGGAGATCTTCGTGACTATCTGAAGATGACTCAAATGCCTGTTGATGAGGTGGAATAGACTGGCGTAACATTTTTTTCTTCTGAAAAATAAATAGTAGATAATAAAAAGGCACACCAATTTAAAAAAAAATAAGGCTGTATTTATATTAAAAAAAAAAAAAAGTCACTTGGCGTAACCTGCTATTCTTATCTCTTTCTAATGCAAGGGATGAAAAAAGATAAAAAAAAACGCAACTTTTTTTTTTTGACCCTGCTTGCATAATAAATGATAAAAAATGTGTGGTATTTATTTTAGTTTTAAACAATTAATGCTTGGGTGCTTCAACAACCAAGTGTTCACCATTGGTATACATTTGACTGATGGCGGCTTGACGTTTGACAATGGCTAAATCTTGCTCGGCTTTGGCAATGAAACTAGCGATTTTATCTTTGGAGGTTTCCGTCATGTTGCTACGGAAAGCATCTCTTGAACGACGCACAGTGTAATCTCTGAAATTGTAGGAAGAAAACTTGTGACCGTGACGAATGAAATTACGGTAAAGTGAAAGGACTTTAGTTGATGTAGCAGTTGACATTCTTCTTTTTGTTTAAAAATTAAAGGGATGGATTACAAATACAAAATATTTTTCTTTCTTTTCAACTGTATACAATATTTTGGCCAATCACATATCGATAAATAAAACATGGTCACTTACTGATGGAGTTTTTTTTTTTTTTTTTTTTTCTTTTTCAATCTTTCAGCTAAACAGGTATAAGGAGATAACACCTTTGAGTTACCACGTTTCTCTTCCCATTAATCTTATGAAAAAAAAAAAAATCTATGTAACAAATGTTCCGAAAACAAAGAAATTGGGCCGCCTTCCTTGTAATATTTTATTGCAAAACAGACATACTCAAAAACAAAGAGGAAAGAGAGCCAATGATTTCTACAGCATGAATAAACACCTAAATAAGAAAAATGCTTTTCATCTCTCTGTGATCATAGGAAATAAATCGGATAAAAGATAACACAAAAGTGACTCAAAAAAAAAAAAAAAAAAAAAAAAAATTGGTAAAACCCAACGAATAAAAGTTTTTTTCGGTTTATTTCATTGAAAATGTATATTCCCTCTTCTTTGGATTTCTCTTTACTTTCCATATAATTTTTTTTTTTTTTTTTTTTTTTTTGTACATAGCTCCCTTTTTTATGAAAAAAGAAGAAAGAAAAAAATTACATGGAAAGCACAAGCTTAAATAATAAAGCAAGGGAAAATACGCTCCTTTTAACAAAACCCTCGCCTCATTCAAATGCCATCAAAGTAGCGATAATGAAACAATGTCTAGCCAAGAAGAGACGCCAACAGCAACTACATAATGCCCATGTAGGGGGCTTACCTTCACCGCCGGTCGAACGAGAAGAACCTGAAGAGGAAACCAAGGTAACGCCGGAACCCCCAGTGGTTGCCGTGCCCACCAGTTTTGAAATACGAGCCAAGATCCAGCGATTAACAGATGAGAAACACCGGTTGTTTCAAATGCTTCGACAATTAATGTTGCAAGAAGAATTGCAAAAAAAGAAACAACAACAACAACAACAACAACAACAACAACAGCAACAACAACAGCAACAACAACAACAGCAGAAACAGAAACAGCAGCAGAAACAACAGCAACAAAAAAAGAAGAGTAGGTGGGCTCCTCCTTCTTCTTCAGACAACAATCAATCCTCATATTTTTATCCTCGACCACGATATCAACCCTATGTAAGTCTTTTCCTTAATTCATGTGTGACAAAAAAAAACCGAGACTAATTAAAATTTAGCAACAGCAACGACCCCACTATTCCGTATCACGAACTCCTTTCTCTGGATGAAACGCTCCTTTTTAATTATTAATACAGTGCGGCTGGTAAATATTGTCACTTTGTGAAAAATAAATATCGCTAAGCCGAAAACAAATGTCAGTTATGGATTTCTAGTTGCCAGTTTGAGCAAAAGTAATTATCGCTTTCAAAAACCATATTTCCCATTTCCAAAAACCATAATGTCCACTTAGGTAGATATGGTTGTCAATTTCAAAAAAAAAAAAAATCGCGCATTTGCAGCTCTCATTAAAAGTAATCAGCGGTTTTTTATAGCAGTATGTTAGTTACAATACGGAGTAAATATACGAAGATGTGAGTTATATGATAGCAACTGATTGTTTGCCACTAGGAGGAACTACAAAAGCCATACATATCACTAACTTATGACATGAATTAACGATACACCTTTACCTTTGACACTAGTCCTTTACAATGACTTGACCATCTCTGAAAAAAGCAATGCCATAGTTTTTTAAAGAAAACATTTTTTTTTTTTTACCTGCAAATCTGATATGCATGACGTACTAGCTCCAAACAAGTAGTACGATCCAAAGATGATCAAGTTGTATCCTTATAAAATATTCCTCTTCGGAGTCAGCAAAAATCAGTGCGTCCGTATGAAGCCACACAGCCGTGCCTCACAGATCAATGTGTTGCGGTTAAATGCTGTCATTTTATACGCCCCTGTTCCCTTTCCATTTTACGAATCCATATTGCTATGCTACTGACTTATGATCTATTCATTTTTTTTCTAGGTATTCAATCATACTGGAAAGAGTAATCAAGAACGGTACATATGTACAAAAAAATCGCAAAGAAACAAAAAGACCTGTTTAATGTGTATATTGCAAGTTCTCTCAAAAAACGGAGTAAAATATATGTCATTGGCCCTGTCAGGATCGAGAGAACGTACTTCAATCTTACGTAATAACATTAGCCAAATGGTAATGATCAGTTTTTTCCTGCATTTGCTATTTGGCTCATGTTATTACGTAGGATTGAAGTACTTCATTGGGATTTAGACAACTATAAAATCGATAGACTGGCGCTTGAAAGACAAAGCAAGTCAACGGTAATAAATATATGGCGAGAAACTGCAATCGGCTCATGTTTTTCGAAATCTTGAGCATGTATAAGCAATACTTTGTACGAGAAAGACGCGTTGAATTACCCATGCCTAAAAATCAAATCTTTTGCTGTCCTCCTTGCCAGCTGTACTTTTTTGGTGCCAGGCTAATATTGATCTTGCCGAGTGAATTCTTTCTTCACATTTGAAAAAGCTGTACTCTGTTACTTTCATAGTATGTTTGTCATACACTATATAGCTGATATTCTGCTATAAAATCGCTAGTTACTTTTAATAAGAACTTCAAATGCGTTTTATTTTATTTTTTTGAAATGGACAACGCCTTCATATGCCTTGTTTTTGGCTAAACACTTAGTCTTCTAATATTTTTTTTAAAAAAACGAGATACAATAGTAACCTATCAGTTGTCTCCATCAGACAGTTTTCTTTGTCTTCTTCGCATTGTCCAAGCTGGCCTTCATTCATATCTAGGTGCCCATTTTCTCGTTCCATTCCTGATCAAAGACAGAGAATTTTAGTGACAGAAATTCACATTCTTTTTCGTATAATTTGACACCCAGGGTCAACGCTGTTTAAGAAACTTTCATCATGAAATTTCTTGGGATGGATGACTTAAAAATGTTTATCTCAATTGATTAATATGATCGTCTGAAAGTGTAAGGATAATTTAATGAATATTAATTAAATAAAAAAATTATATTCTTTTTTTTTTGAAAAAACAGATGTATAAAAAGGGCATGTGTATAAATAAAAGGGCATAAGAAGGGTTCTAAATCTAATTCATATGTTATCTAAAGGTTTGGGCATATATAAGGTTTTCTTGTTTTTTTTTTGGTTTTGCTTTTTTTGGTTTTCGGGGGGGTTTTTTTTTTCTTTCTTTCTACATAGGCTTTTTAGCTATCCAGCAATTGAATCGAGAGAAACCATTGTATTCTTCAAATTCAGTCATAACTTCTTGTACTGCTAAATCATAATCTTCGGGTGTAATTCCCCATTTTGACACATAAAAGTTTTTTCGGTTTCGAAGAAATGCTTTTTGGATTTCTTTATTGATAAATCCAAACTGCTTGAGTTCTAAAAATGTGTTAGCCTCCATTTTTTTAAAATAAATAAATAAATACAAGTGTAACAAGACACTCACCAGAATCTTGGGGCCATTCGCCAATGGGTATATCAAGCGTACGATGATCCAATTCACCAAAACCAATTGAGAAAAGGTCCTTTTCAATTACTTCAGTAAACGCAAAATCAAGCCCTGATTCCGTACATTGATTCTGATAAAATTCATCAAATGCTCTCTGAACAGGTCCAGGATTATGATGCCATAAGTCTGCCTCTAATAACTCAATGGTGCCTCCAGGTTTAAGCACACGGAGCATCTCTCCCAACACATGACTCCATTGACTCTTCTGAATACTACCGCCCATGGCACGCTGGAATATACTATATAAAAAAATTAGTTTCTGTAAAACTAATTTGCCCCCATTGTCATTACTTTACTAATCAACGGATCCGGATTCTAATGGCCATGTTTCAGTAATATCGGCCTCAAGGTAATTGAGATTTTTAGGCTTGCCTTGCTGTTCTGCGGGTGGACGCAAATCCAGGCCAATGATTTTACAATGCGTTTGTTCTGAGGCCATTTCCAGTGCCCAGATACCATTCCCTGTACCCACATCCACAATTGTCATACCTTCTTCAATCTCACCCCAAGCGTTTGATTTACGTGCACTTTTCAAGAGATAATGCTAGATTACCCTTTTTTTTTTAGCTCTTCTTTTCATTGTTCTTTTTTTCCATTGTGAAAAAATTATTACCTGTCTTTGGAGCCGATCGTATTCTCGAAAGTCTTCTTGGACAAGACTCTTTTTACGACCGGAGAAGAATTCGGTGATGGATTGTCTTCTTGATTTGGGTTGTGAGTGTGGCGGTGTAGGCAAAGCAGCAGCAGCAGCAGCTACGGCAGCGGCTTGGTTTTTTTCGTCGATCCAGTCGTAATTCGCTTGCATGCTTTTGGTGGCTGCCATGACAAGAGAGGAATGAGATCGACCGCCTAAAGTAATGGTGCTTCTTCTGCGATTACTTTTGGATCGTCGTTCTTTTCTCTCTTTTGTCTTTTCAATAACTTTACTTGCTTGATTCCCCATGTTTAGTAAAGTTTTTTTTTTTTTTTGTACGTTGTGTGTGGTGTGTGTGAAAAGATAAAAAAAAAAATCTTTTTTTTTTGTAGTTTTATCCCCTTTCTAATTGATTAAATTGTAGTTTTTTATGTCTTTTTTATATTATCAGAATAAAAAAAAAAAAAGAAAAAAAAGAATAATAAAAAAGGCTTTATATATTATCGGAATAAACCAATCCGGATAATGTTGCACAAAACGGGGGTTGTAATATTATTGATAATATTTGTTTTACCCGACCATTTGTTTCCATGGCAATGAGAAAGTGTTGGGTGGGGGGTGAGTTGGGTGAGGGGGCGTAACCATGCTTATGTAATTCAGGTACATCATGATCCCATTACTACTAACTTTTTTTTTTAGTTTAATAAGGTTATGACAACAATCTTGGTTTATACTTTTTCTTTTACAGATAAAATAACGAAAACAATTAAATCAGCTGCAGGTATAATTTTTTTTTTAAAAAAAATTTTTTTTTTACTACAATATCCATACATTCCAAACCGGTCCGAGAAAAGGAAATTCTCCACAAATAAGAGCCAACAAAGGCAATTAAAAAAGCTGATTACACAACGTGGCATTGAATGACCGACTTTTTCGTTCCATCCCAAAAAAAGATTTATTTTTTTAAATTATGAAGTTTTTTGATTGAATAAACTGACTAGAACATCCTTGTATTGTGCTTGCCACGTGTTGTCTTTATACTCTGAAATGACTTGACTGCGCAAAGTTATTAATTTTTCTGGATTTTTCACAAACAATTCCTAAAAAAAAAAAAATTTATAATATAATTAAAAAACGTGGTCAACAAAAGAAAACAAAATGTTTTGAATTACCATAAATTGTTCGGCTAAATCTTGACTGTTCTCGAAAATAAGGCCGTTTTGACCATCTAGCACCAACTCATCCAGGCTAAAAAAACATATTTTAAAAAAATATGGAACTATCCCTTTTCCCTTTTTTTTTTCTTACCATGAGAATTGAATGGCACAGACAGGCAGTCCACATCCAAACATGTCAACGATTTTCATTGGCAGATCCATGCCACTTGAACTGGTATGTAACGAAACACCTAGGTCTGCACTACCTAATAACATGGGATAATCTGCTGTTTCTAACCATGCTGTAATAATACGTGTCTTGACTAGCGTCATTTGCTTTATTTTCTCCTCATAAAACTTTTTCTGGGGTCCCTTTCCGGTAATCACAAACAAGAGACGAGGATCAGAAGGTTTGGCCTGTGCCTCATATAACTCGATCGCCTTCAAAAGCACACTAAAATCTTCATCTTCCGTCCAAGAGGTAGAAGACACAATTAATTTGGGTCGATCCTCTCTCCACATTAAAAATCCTTCGTCATCAGCGTCCGTTAAAAGTGTTCCTAATTTGGGATTATTGAATTTTCCCAGAAATTCCTTCCCATTGGGACTTTCCAAAACCGTCTTTTGGATCACGCCCAGCGAAAATGTAAATTGACGGTGAATTTGGTCCACAGTCAATCTCTTGAAATCCGACTGCGGCTTATCTTTGAGTGTCAAGATCTTGCCATTCACCTTCCAATTGTCTTTTAATTCCGCATGCATCTTGTCTGTGACCGTCAAATGCGCATATGCCTTCTGCCCATATTTCTGTTCGTACCATTTTGCAAGTCGTACCACCTTGTGGTCCATGCCCAATTTCATACCGAGAATGGAGTAGCCAAAATTGTGCCAGTCGATAATTACCCAGGCCTTGCGAATCACACCCACAATACGCGCAATCATGAGCGTAGGAATGGACGGTGGGTTCTACTCTTTAAGAATTAGCCAGGAACTTATTTTTAAGCATTTACACACACATACAAAAAAAACCACTTACTTGGACAATGATGAAATCAGGGCGCTGACTGATACATCCCATCAACCAGAACAATTGCAGTGATAAAAAGATAGCCTTGAACGGAGCCCACAATAAATAACATACTTTAGGGCTTCCTTCAGGTACAGACCAAGCTTGACGAATACGACGTACACGAATGTACCGATTTACATTAATTCTTGCACCAGGATTCGTTTCTTTAAGAGCATCATGTTAGCATGGTTTTTTTTTTTTTTTTTTTCCCATTGCAAACTTACCGGCGTAGCCAATGAGGTCAACAGTGCAGCCGGAATCAGCTAATGAAGTGGCATGGTATCGCATACGAGGTGAGCAGCCAATATCGCCCAAGACCACGACTTGCACCATAAGTCTTTTGCGAACACCATTGGCACCTGTGGTGTCAAAAACGTACATGCCCAACAATCGGCCAAATAACACATAAGAACATAACAAGGCCATTAACAACCCGGTAGCCGTCATGCCCATATTCTCCAGAGGTTCCCACATTTTTCTGAAATTGTAGAAGAGAGAGAAAGTGTGTGAAAATTAAAGCAACACGAAAATTTAATTGAAAAGTTTAAACTGGGCACGAAAAAACGTAGAAAAAAAAACTTCCTTTATTTTGAGAGGAGAGGACATAGAAAATAAAGAAGAGATTTCTTTAACAAAAAAAAAAAAAATTTGTAAAAAAAAGAGACAGAGAGCGAATTTTAAATGTAATTAGTTTGTGTTATAGAGAAGAGATGTGTGTGTGGGGGCATATAAAGGGAGGAGCAAATATAGAGAAACATAAATATGTGTAAGCATAATAATAAAAGTGTAAAGGGAAAAAGAAAAAAAGAAGGTTTAACATTCAGGCAAGACTTGGTTCAAGAAACGAGTCATGTCCCTGGGGTTAGAACAAGGTAAAAGATTCGATTGAATATGAGCCTCAATTTCCATGAGAGCATCACGAGCACTGGGTCTTGTTTCGGGTTCCTCGTCTAATAACCAAGCGACTAAACCTCTCATGTACATGGTAGGATAGCTGTATGTAAATGTAGGGCTGGGTTCAGTAGCAATGATATCAAATAACTCTTCTTCGTCCTTGATTGAGTAGTGAGGTGGCACACGATCCATCATTTCAATAATCGTAATACCAAGAGACCACATGTCAATCTTTTCACTGTAGTATTCTTCTCTAATTACCTCAGGAGCCATCCTATAATTACAGTCAGTTTTGTCTTTTTTTAAACATCATAAACAAGCTTACCATTTGGTGGTGCCGAGTCGCTCATGATTTGGACGGGCAATGCGTGCAGATAATCCAAAATCAGCTACCAAAAAATCCATGTTAGTTTGTTTAAGACTCGATATGATAGGTAAATAGATATTTACCTAATTTAACTTCTCCATGCCAGCCTAATAAAAGATTTTCACACTTGACATCACGATGCAAAATGCCTTGAGAATGCAAGTGGGACAGACCCTTCAAGGTTTCACAAGCCATATAGACAGTGTATTCTTCAGGGATACCGCGTTGACAAAGGACAGCAAAGACAGAGCATCGCATGAGGTCCATGGTCATCCAGATGTCGTCTTGACATAAAGTGACTTCGCGCAACTTGATCAGGTTGGCATGACCGGAAGCCATGATGCGTAATTCGCGAACAATGGCAGCACGGTATTCACGATCGGGATCGAGTCGACAGCGCTTAATGGCAACACGGACGTTGGGTCTTTTGCGGTAACTGGCTCTCACGACGGCTCCATTGACACCAGTGCCCACTTCCTTATAGTCAGTGTAACGAGAACTAGGATCACTGGATCGAATAGAAATCTTTTTGGGTAAAAGCTTTCTTAATTTGGCTTCGAATTTGTTTTGCGAGCGTTTAACGGGTGGAAGATTGGGGATTTGGTAATTGGGGCTGGGAGGATACCATGGGCGCTGTGAGTTTACTAAGGTAAGTCATTGACATTAAGATTATATGCTCTTTTTAAAAGGGTTACCTTGGACACTTGCTTGGCAATATCAGTAGGTCGCAAATCGAAAGAAACAGGTGGGCTTGGTTTCAAATAAGCGTTGCCTAAAATGTCAGGAATTTCACAATGGCCAGGAGGACGCCAAATCTATTTTTATTTTTAATTTTTTTTTAGTCAGAATGAGAAAAATATGTACCAGTTTTTTTTAATTATTTAGTATCATTGTTTACTTTGGTGGTGGTGGAGCGAGACATGCAAGTGGTTTGGCTCATGGACTGCTGATGAAGATTGCCGGTAGATTTACGTTTAGGAAAAATAGAAGCGTTGTATACGGCTGCGGTTTGACAATTGGGCTCAGATCTAGATTTTTGCATCAATGCCTATGAAAGATACATCAGTTCTTTGGTCTCAAAGTCAGGTTCATCTAAATTACCTTTTCCGAAGAACGCATACGAATGTTTGTCATGGTGGTGATTGTCATTCTTTAATATATTATTTTTTTTTATAAAATTCTATAAAAGAAAGAAAATGGATAGAGAAAAAATGTGATTTTTTTATGTATATAAATATATATATACAAAAAAAAAGGGGTGTTGTTATTGAATGAGTGTGAGTGAGAGTGTTGTTGTTGTTGGTATTTTGCAGTTTTATTTTTGCAAAAAGGAGAAGGAAATAAGGGGTGTCTTTTGTTGCTGAATTATAGTAAAGGAAAGTTTATAATACAACAAAAAAAAAGAAGGTATCAGTGAATGACTGTAATGGGCTAGTTTTTTAGTGATAAAAAATAAGAGAGAGAGAGTTGAAGAAAAAAGAGGGAAAAAATAAAAATAAAAACGCAATAAAAACGTTTGCTGATAGTCGTACAACGTTGATGAGGGAGTTCAAATGTTCAACTCCGCCTCATTTCTCTTTGAGTAACACTCATTGTTGACCTTTTTTCCTTCTTGCTTGGGGGGGAGGGAGTGTCAACTGATTGCCCACAAGAGTTAAAGGGGTCTTATTCTTCCCTTGTATTATCATTACTATTTAAAAAATCAAATGTAAACGCACATACATTCCCTGGTATTGGGACGTGTTTGCTAAATACTAAGTGGCCACCCTAGCATAAAATCCCTTTTATCAGTAACAAGATCCTCCTTTTTCATTCTCACAGCAGCATTCTTGTGCGTTTTTCTCGCAAATTAGTAAAAAAAAAAAAAAAATTCAACGCTATTTAAAAGTCCACATTCTAATGGACTGTACACGATGTAATCGAAAACGAGTTGCTCAGGAAAACATGTCTATTTTCTATTTATTTACTTATTCTTTATTCAATGCAATAAGAAAAAATATTCCTAGTATCCGGGAAATGACAAAAGAACAACCAAAATCATCCCGTTACCTTGGATCTTTTTATGGGATTGGGTGGTACGTGCATGGTGAATAGTTTGGTGTAAATACAAAATTTATAAGCCTATCCGAGTGGATGTGGTACAAAATATGACCTCAAATGCAGGTGTTACCGCTGCAAAAGAAAAAAAGTGATTAGATGAGAGCCACATGGCGAAGAAAATATGATAAAACCGTTACACGCCTTAATTAATCCCATCCTCCATCGTCCTTCTTTTTTTGTATAGAATGAGCAAGGACCATCTGACAAAAAGGAGAAACGTGGATCGACATCATTTTCTTTGTGTTTGATTAACGTGCGTTTCATGTAACACCATCCCAATACCCCCCTGCTGCGACTTTACTCACTAGTATCTAGCCAAAAAAAGGTTCTATCAAACTCGTGGCTCTTTTGATAACTAATTCACCATATTTCCCTTGTTTAAATCCCAGATGGAAGGGTAAAGAAAAATAAAACAGTGAGTGATTTCAGTCCAAACTATTTTACTTAGCCTCGAGCTAAAATAATTTAGGCTTATAAAATCATGAATTATCCCCCGATTCTAATCGAACAAACATGTTTACATGTGTAAAATCACTCTATTTTAAGAGTAAGAGGCAGAATATAATATATGTCATTACATATTTATATACATTATATATCTTTGCACCAATCGTATCATAGTATTCGATCTGCTTCTATCATGACAAAAACATAATAGCATTCACTTTATTTAATTGTACACTTATCCAATTATTACCCGGAATGAGATATAATCTCTTTTTTCAATACATCCACTGGCCTCATTACATAGTCATCACTTTTATTTTGTTACAAAAATAGAGAGAGAGAGAGCTGTTCGTTTATCCTAAATATAAAACAAATGTCTAGGGAGAGAGCGGGGAGAGATCATATAAAAATTGACTATTTGACTACAGTTGGGTCATTTAATATACGTACCGTGTAGGGTTATATGACAGCTGGTTGACACGACAACGCATCAATGTTCATTATTTTCCCAGTATGCATAGATCGCTTATTTTAAGGGATTGAAAGCCCAAGACAGTCTTTTTTAAATAATCTAGACTGTTTTTCTCTCTCTCGCACATACAATGTGTGCGTGTGCGCGTTTTCCAGGAACTCAAAAGGGTGGGGAAGGAAGTTTAACATTCAGCGAAAAAAAAAAAAAAAAAAAAAAAACTTTAAATCTACCAATGGATCTCCAATAGCAACCTTAAGTCTATTTGGATAACTTTCTTTCTGTTAAAGTTTTTATATCCATCATGTATGGCAAAAATACATTACTGCTTTGTAATATCATCGATTTTCAAGTGCAAGTTACTTTTCCTTCACATTAAAATGACCTTCAAAATTCATGCACAAGCAGAAAAAAAAATAGGGATCTAAGAACTTAATAAAGGAGTGGCCCCATTTTGTCCAAAGGAGAGAAGCGTTACCGGTACTGAAAAAAAAAGAAACAAAATATGTTTTTATTTACAACATGATAGTAGATGTTATAACAAGCAATTAAATGTCTCCAGTCGCATTTACTGTAGTACGTCTATGACTTGAACAACTTGTAGGATCTTTTTAGCTACAGCATCCTACTGTTTAAAATTTCTACCAAAGAGACTCAATTCGGAATTTTTTTTTTGCTGAAAACAATGAAATGTTTATTAATTTGAGAAAGAAAAAAATTAATCAGGGCCGATTATTATTGCTTATATAAAAACACAAGCTCGCGCCTCCAAATATTTTTTTTTTCTGTGCGGATGTAAAGGGAACAATTCCTGTGAGCTTAATTATAAACAAGGGGGGCCCCGTTTTCTTTTATAACGAAATTTCTTTTATTTTGTGGTTCATACAATGAAAAGAAATAGATGTAGGAGTGATAATAAAAAAAGGGAGAACAGTAATAATGAAATGTGTATTAGGAATCCACATTTCAAGGTGTACATGTGTCTTTACTTGATCATGTAAATAATCATGATATGGGGCTGGACGTATCGAACCAGAGAAGCCAGCCCCATATCATCGTTGTAAGTAAAAGGTCTTACAATTTGTGAGCCACCTCGTTCTGTTTACACGAATCCTTGGTGACAGCCTTTTTTTCTTTTCCTCAACACTCTAGAGCGTTGAGGTTTATGAATGGAAGAGAGTTCTCGCCACAAAAAAGAGAAGCTGCAGAAAACAGTCAACATTTCTTCCCTTCATATAACTTCTTGCCCCGTTAACCAAGAGTCTAACAAAAAGCTTTTTTATTTTTCATGTGCCCACAGAGGATACAGGCTCATTGGGCTCTTGCAGAGAGCAAGTGCACTATTTTAATTAGAAATGATTTGAAAACACCGTTATGGATGCGAGCAGAAGACAAAAGAGGGGACAAAAATACATAAAACGGCATTCAAATCTTTTAAAAAAAATGCGATTAAATACTCTTAAAACCAATCGCCAATGTGACTAGGATGGTAATGATAGATGACCTCACAAATTCTCCAAGTTTGGCTACTATTAAAAACATTTTTCACAACAGGTAAACACAGACTTTATTTTAATAGCGACTGGCATAACCCATTGTTGCGGTCAAATAAAATAAAGTATGGTTTGGTGTTACACACGATGCTTGTTAGACTTTGACTGCACAAGAACTACTCCAAATTTGTTTGGGCAGGTAATTTCAATGTTGCATTACTAGAAGCCAAATTGCATAACACTTTACCAATTCCCAAAGACACCTATATTGGTCGCTCTCTATATATCATCGTATGTCTTCATATGATACCAAACACGATCCAAATGCTTGAGGAGAAGCTAATTTACAAGTAATGTCGGCACTTATCAATACTATCAAAAGTAATCTGACCGATCAAGAAATGTATTGATGGTATAGGAAGTACTTTGATTATAACTGTCATGTCGATATTTATATAAAAAACCAAGCATAATATCACTGTTTTTTCCCTTTATAAAATTGTAATTCACTATCACATAAATCAAAACGGTTGCATACTCCCTTCATGAGAAAAAGCAACGTCTGCTGCAACATATATAGCAAACAGGGTGAACAGATTAATCCATGATTAACTTTTATATCACTATCCATAACTTCAGTTTTTTCTTGACTAAAAATCAAGTTCATAAATAATCTGTATTTGACTCCTCACTGTGTTTCCCTCAACTTCTACCTTCTTGTTTATCTTCATTTCTTAAATTCTCATATGGCAATCAGTTAGAGTGTATATTTTATATTCGACTCGAATCTCATTGTCATTAAACTATTCATAAGATATCGTTTGGAACAACCGCAATTACTTTGCTTTTCAATATTTGCTGTTACTATATATTTATATACTGTCAATGCTCTCTCAAAATCATTGCTGATTATCTCTTTATTTCCTGACCTTTATAAGATTGCTTAAGTTGGCTACTTCCAGTCTGGTGCTCACTTTCATACTACTTTCTTATTTTAACGTTTCCGTTAATAATCATATTTTACTCATAACCTTTAAGAACTATTATTACTAGCGTCTTAACACCATTATTTACAAAAAGGAAAGAATACAACTATAAAAAGTATGAGTAAACGTCAGAAAGTTCTGCGGCATATGGACTTCACACGCAAGGAATATTTTATGCAATGATGAGTCAAAACACATCGCATAGACCCTTCTTGGCGCAATTGAACAATTGTTATTTTGATCCGTGATGCTGAACTACGTAATATCTGTTGGAGAAGTACGAATACAAACGAGATCAGGAAAATGTAGGCCTACGATTACAAAATTGAAGTAAATGATATCTGGCTCGTATTTTTTTCTTAGGCAGATAACTTTGAAGGAGATAAGACTGAAGTCCTTATATTGATAACTATTTGCCTGGTATTATCACTTAGTGTCCATAATGACCAAAGGGAGTTGTTAATCCATGACAGACAATCTTTATCATGCAACTTTCTTATAGAAATGGTAACAATGTGCGTGAAGAGGATAGTCCTTCCTTCAAAATAAATGTACCCTCACTCTCACTGACGGGATTAGCGTAGCTTTTTCTTGTCGAATCAAAACAACTCAATCTATGACAGTGTATATAAGAATCTGTCCCAGTCAATTTTGTCTTTTTTTTTTCTTTTTAAAAAAACCACGCATAAAACAACCGCGATGAGTTCACAACATTTCATACCACCTGTCGTAAAGTATGATAAAATTTTGAGCACTGGAAAACATAATTGACACGATTGATAGAACTTTGGCATGATTGAAGAAGATTTATATCGTTCAGGTCAACCCAATGAACTGAATTTTCCCTTCTTGGAAAAACTAGGCTTAAAAACAATTGCATGGCTTGCACCCGAAGAACCCAATCAACGATTGTAAAGTTAATAATCCATAGAAAATACTTCTGTGTTTTTAATTGAAAATTCTATAGCTTAGACTTTATTGACGATCAAGAAATTCAGTTACATCATTTAGGCGTCGTGTCGTCTGTGAATGCTTGGGATCCCATTACAGAAGAGGCAGTTCTACAAGCTTTAGACTTGGTACTGAACCCAACCAACTATCCAGTGATGATCATGTGTAATTTAGGAAGACATCGAACAGGTAAAAGAAGGAAAATAGAGCATGTCATTAACACATTCTTAACCTATACTCGATATTGTCAATAGGAACCATTGTTGGGTGTATGAGAAAATTACAACGTTGGAATTTGACATCGATTTTCGAAGAGTACCGTAGATATGCAGGACCCAAAGTTAGATTGCTAAACGAGCAGTTTATAGAGTTGTTTGATACAGATCTTGTCGGCATTCCCACTAATAAACCAAAATGGGGAGTTTAATCTCTCGATAATTGGAAATTATACCAGTAAATTATGAGAACGTGGGACGTAGATTATACTCTGTGGTTTTGGGTAGTGTTTTTGTGTATCATTTGTATGCATCACTTGGTATGGCATCGAAGGATTGAAAATTTTAATGATCGGCATACTTTATAAATATTACTTGTGTGAATTGGAGAGATCTAAAAACTTGGATGTGGCTAGACAGAAATGGCAAGATCTAGCAAATATTTATGATCTGAGGGTCGATACTTAAAATCTGTGCTATATTAATTTTAAATCGTAACGTGTATTATTTTGTGTTCATATTGACCTGTCAGTCATGCCACGCCTATACATAGTCGGAAGAACTTTGGGTTATGCAATGTATACTGGAGTACTTTATAAGAGTAAGAACAAGATACAAAAGTCTCGTTTAAAGCCGTTCATAATTACGAAACATGTTAACAATTCGAAACCGGTGTAAACTACGCTTGGATTATAAGATTTAAGTGAAAAGGGTAAACGTAATTTTAAGATTATCACGCTTTTTAAAAGTACCCGTCTCGTTTAGTTCCAATTTTTATTTAAAAACAAAAACTAAGCCTGTACAATAACAAATAAAAAGCTCTGGCGCTTCATTTTATTTTTCTCTTTTTACCTGGAACTGAACAAAATCCAATATGTCGAGTATGCCTAATAGTAAGTGCTAAACGCGTAAAGGTAAAAATATGATGCTTAATAACTGGCTTGTTATATTATGTAGAGTTGTATACCATTGAAACAAAACATAATCTTGAAAAAGATAAAACACCTTTGAAGTTTTTTCATTTGGATGATACAAAAGATACTAAAAAAACGCCCACCAAATTTTTCCATGTGGAAGATACAAGTGTTGCCGACGCAAAAGAAAAAAATGCAGTCTTTTTCCACGTAGAAGATAGTAGCGAACTTTGAAGAAATAATCTAACTGCACCATTATATTATAAATAACGGGGCTGGCTGTACACCAGTTTGATTTAATTTAATCATCAATAAATCATATCTACCACACGCACTTCAATCTAATTATGTTGGTTCCAAAACTATAACAGCGCCACATTTCTATAAAAAATTGTTTAAAGCAAACATCTTTAAGTGCCATTACTGTATTCTATCACAATGTAATATGATTAGATCTTAGGACTACTCCTACATCGGTTTAAAAGACAACTGTCGATACCAACTTGTGATAATAATGCAAATCTCTTAATCACTCCATAATGAGTGTATTATTAAAGACGCTATGTTGACAATAATGAGGACATAGCCATCAATTCTACTCTAGACTACATAAACGAGTGGCGAATATAAATTAGGCAGTGACGGCTGGTTTAGTATAGGACTTATACAATCTTTGTACTTTAAATTTAGACAATGTTAGTTGCATTGCTTGCTTCTCTCAGATGAATACCCGCTTCCATCACAAGATTTACAGGATATACAAGGAGGATGGAATTGCGTACCCATTTTGCTGCGCTTTTGTCGTGTTTTTCTTCTACGGTATCCTTCCGCTTTATACTTTGTAAAAGCTTGAGTTTGTTTGTTTCATTATTTATACATATTTCATATTGGGCTTTTTTCTTTAGCTTGACCTCTTAAAGTATAGTGTGATGCTGTCGATTCTTTTCCTTGCTGCTGTAGCTTTTCGTGTAAGTGTTACTTTTTTTTTTAGCTTTATGAAGACTTCAGTATCTGGATAAATTAGGATATGCATAAAGAATATAATATACGGGAATAAATGAGAATCTTATCACAAAATTGTTATTGAATTGATAAAAGCTGTGGATTTAGAAGATTGATAAATTTAGTAGAAAATGATTTATTAGGGGTTATTCAATCATGAAAATAAATAAAAAAGGGTCCGATTTCAAGAAGATGCTAAAATACTCCGTTTATAATTAAATATCTCTGTATTGTTTTTATAAAAAAAAGATATGAATGCTAATACTATTATGTAGCTCTGCCATAAATTTGATGAACTACACAGGAAACATGCTGCTTATGCTGAAAAATAAAAAAAGATAATTGAACCTCCGACATTCCCTTTTTTGGAGACTTTTTTTTTTTTTTGAAGGGACGGGGGAAATGAGATAATGTTCGGGGCGTGGATGGCGAAAGGGCAAGTTCCCTCCTTTTCAATCCATATACAAATAATCTATCATGGTGAGTGAAAGGGATAAAGGAAGGAGGATAGACTAGATTCGAAACGAATGGATTGAGGATGGATGGATGTCACAATAGAAGAGAAGATATGCGACAATTTTTTTTTTTTTTTTTTTTTTTTTTGATACGAGCATGTCGAAACCATGATGAACAATGCACCAATTCATGAACTGTAGATCTCGCTTACAATGAGCAATCAGCACTAAGCAATAAAACACGCCCTGTATAAACCGAACGACATCCATTCATTCGACTATCCTCCTGTTGTGACATTGTAAGAATACAAGATGCTTACAATTTTTTTTTTTAAAAAATAGGATTCTTCTTCTTCAAAGACTCCCGTCAAGCTCGCTAGAGTCACAAAGGTTCTCGGTCGTACTGGTTCTCGTGGTGGTGTCACTCAAGTCCGTGTTGAATTCATGGATGATACCAACCGTTCCATTATCCGTAACGTCAAGGGTCCCGTTCGTGAAAACGATATCCTCTGTCTCTTGGAATCCGAACGTGAAGCCCGTCGTCTCCGTTAAAGACTTTCTCTGTTTCCCAGCAACCCCTTTTTCTTTTTCTTTTCTCTCTTTAATAAACCTTTTTATTTTGAATTAGAATCTATTACATGTTCTTTTCTGTTGTTATAATGGTAGGTTGTGGGGGATATTCTTTATTTTTTAAGGAAAGAGGTCATGTCAAATTCAGATTGTCCATTCTTCAAGACAACACCTTGTTCAGTCACAATAGCAGAGATTAAACTAGCAGGAGTCACATCAAAACTAGGGTTCCAAACACCAATGTCGGCAGCAGCAATACGAATACAAGTAGGTTCATCGTCTTGAACACGTACACCCGAAACAGTAACAAGCTCTTCAGAGGGACGTTGCTCAATCACAATATCATCACCGGACTTTGTGTTTAAATCAATAGAGGTAGAAGGAGCAGCAACGATAAACATGATACCGTGGTATTTGGCAGCAATAGCTAATTGATAGGTACCAATCTTGTTGGCAGTATCTCCATTAGCAGCCACACGATCAGCACCCACGACAATGGCTTGTACACTAGGGTTTTGCTTTAATAAAGCAGAAGCCATATTATCACAGATCAAGGTAGCAGGAATCTCCTCATACACGAGTTCATAAGCGGTTAAACGAGAGCCTTGGTTATAAGGTCTAGTTTCGGTACAATAAGCATGTTGGAGTTTACCATTAGCGTTTAAATCACGAATGATACCTAAAGCAGTACCCCAACCAGCAGTAGCAAGAGAACCAGTGTTACAATGGGTCAAGACACTAATGTTTTCCTTATCCTTTGCGTTCTCGAGAATATACTGAGCACCAAATTTACCAATATTCTTATTGTCCTTGACATCATCTACCAACATTTGTTCAGCAGCTTCAATATAGGCATTGACAACAGCGGCGGGTTCTTTGGCTTCGGCAGCAGTTGCTTGAATCAATGTCCAGAGTTTACCAGCAGCATCGAATAAGTTGACAGCGGTAGGACGAGAGGTCTTGAGGTATTCGAGAGACTCGTACAAGAATTGGACAACTTGGTCGACTGTGGTGAACTCCTCGTCTTGTTGACGTGCATAGACATCTACAGCTAAAGATAAGGCAGCAACAATAGCAATAGCAGGTGCACCACGAGTCTTCATGGTCTTGATGGCAGCATGACCATTTTGAACGTTCAAGACAGTTTCGAAGAGAGTTTCGTGAGGTAAAACGAGTTGGTTGAGGATACTCAAGTTTCCTCTTGTATATTTGATGGCTTCTAAAGTTTTGGCTACGCTAATGTTACTTTTCCACTTGTATTAAACAAAGAGCTGTGGCACTTACTGTTATTGCTCATTTTTAGTTTAGAAAGATAAAGGGACCCGCCAATACATCAAAAAAAAAAAGATCGTCATAGCCCATCTCAATGTGACGGTTGAAAGAGTTTTTTTTTTTTTTTTTTTTTTGTTATGATTTGGAGGGGAGACTGTAAAGGGAAAGGAAATAGAAAATTCTCACCTTCTTCTCTTAATTAAACACAACGGAAGAAAAAAAAACAAGAAATGGATATTCACAACATTGACGAATATCTTGACCTGCAAGATCAGAATCAAATGAATTTACTTGCGACGGAGGAATTAAGCAAGCAACCAGAAGAAGAGTCTGAATGGCATTCGGCCACGGCCGCAGCACTTGGCCTGTTAGAAACAGATAACCCATACCTGTATAACGTGGATAATAATACTAATAATAATAATAATGAATGGGGTTTGTTACAAAACAGACTTACTGAGGGGCTAAAGTTAACTCAAATTGTTGGAAATGGTTTAGTTTCCAATCAAGATTCTTTCATCACACCTGACTCTTTATTAAAGCAACCAACAACAGCGCCAGCAGCGGTGTCCATAACACCCGTGCCTGTCGTGGAGGAAAAACGTGTGACGCGTTCAAGAAATGCACCTTCGTCCGTCGTCGTGCCCAAAAAGAAAAAGAAGGCTGCCAGACAGAAAAAGTTGTACTGTATCTGTCAACAGCCTTACAGTGGTAAACCCATGGTTCAATGTGACACCTGTGAAGAATGGTAAAGAAGCTTTAAAAAAATATTAATTTTGATATAGTACTCATATTTATGAACGTGATTTTTTTTTTATATATATGTAGGTTTCATTGTACGTGTGTAGGCTTTGATCCAGATGAACAAGAGGATGAGGATATTGATTGGGTTTGTCAGAACTGTTTACAAGGTAAGTTCTTTTGTTTTCTTTTTTTACACACACACACACACACGCACGCACACACACACACACATGGATCACGAACGAGAGAAAGAGAAAAAGTGAGAGAGAAAAGAGAAAGTCAATAAAAGATGATTCTGTTTTAAATTTTCCAACCCATAAACTCCACAACGCAATATTTCTACATACATTAAAAAGCAGATGTTCATTTTCTATATATTTTTTCATTATTATTATTTCTTTATATATATCTTGTTATAATAGCAATCACACATAATGGAATACTTCAAAAAGCTTGTTTCCTTTCATCCCCTCCTTTTTATCCCTTTAAAAAACACACACATAAACACATGCGAACGAAATGGGTGACATGGCGAACATGTAAAGACAAACTGTCTGTGTGTCTGTGTCTGTGTGTTCTGTGTACACCTTAAAAAAGCACTCCTAACTAACTTTTTTCTATCTTGATTTAGTAGCCACCAAACCAGAGCCTGTGATTAAATCTCCTACTCCCAAAGTTACCATCACCATTCCTTCCCCCTCTGCACGTCAAACAAGAGGAGCCAACCGAACCCAATCCCAGTGTCTTTCTGAAGGCTGTCATAACCGTACTCGTGCCGACTCTTACTGCAGTGATGTATGTGCTCGTAAAAAGCATGATGTGGTAAAGAAGCAGGAAAAGGAACCTGTAAAAGAAAAAGCTGCTGCTGTGGAAGGAGCTACTGTAGAAGAAGCTGATGTAGAAGAAGCTGATGTAGAAGAAGCTACTGTTGTAGAAGAGCAAGCCTTAAAAGAAGTAGCTGATGTAAAAGATGCCGTCGAAGAAAAGAAAAAAGGTACAAAAGAGGATGCTGTGAAAGAAGTCAAGGAGAAAACATCCTCTCCTGCTACCCCTCAACGTGTCACTCGTTTATCTCGTATGCGTACTGCTTCCATGTCTGCAAGTGCTGAACCAGCAAATGTTGTCAAACCAAAGAGACGTAGTAGTGCACCTGTGGTTGCCAAGAAGAAGGAAGTGGAGGTGGATAATAAGCCAGCTTTGGATGGTGTGCAAGAAGAGGCAGAGGAAGAAGAAGAGGAGGAGGAGGAGGAAGAAGATGAAGAGATGGCGACACCTGATACACCCATGTCACCTAGTCAAATGACGGAGCAAGAAAACCCAGTACGCCGTAATGTGATTAAGAATATGTCTGGTATCTTGAAGAGAATTTTGGACACGGCAATTGAAGAGAACCCGCAATTACTGGCAGAAGGAGAGACGAGTAGTAGTACAGCCGAAAGTTTAGCCAAACGTATCGAGAACACCATGTTAGAAGAATTAGGTGATGTGGGTAAGACACAAAACACTTGTGGAGAACGTTACAAGAGCAAATTCAGATCTCTTTTGTACAACCTCAAGGATAAACAAAATCAAGTATTTCAGATGCGTGTTATTACAGGTGATTTGGATCCAATGCAGTTAGTCAAGATGTCCTCTGAGGATATGGCTAACCCCGAGTTAAAGAGTATGTCTGAAGTGATGCGTAAAGCAGGATTGAAGAATTCGGTGATGAAGGTCGATAATACTCCCATTATTAAAAAGACACATAAAGGAGATATTATTATGGTCCCTAATAAGGATAACGATACCAATCAAAACATGTATTCTGAACAGGTTGAACATTTAATGCGAGATACGCCTACCATCAATCCTTTACAAGAAGAGACCAAACCTACTATATCCAGTTTTAGTCCAACCTCAAACGGTTCCAAACTAGATCCATTGGACGATATTTTAGCTCGTATTGGAATTCCTGCTCATGATGATAATAATAAAAGATCTCTCTCCTCATCAGATTCTGGTGTTATGGATTATCCTAAAAAGAGAAGGGTCACATTAGATATGGAGGAACTTTTAGGCGAAGAAGAAGATACTCCCTTCACAGTCGAGGAAGTCGAATTGGAAGTAGATCATCAACCGACTGATTCTATGGATGCAGAACAAGAAGAAGAGCAAGTTCCAGCCAAAGAAAAACTCCCCTCTATTTGGCATGGACGAGTCAATATGCCAGCTGTTGCTGAATTTGAAGCATCCGCACGTCAGATTGGCGGAAGAATTCTGACGGAAGAAGAATGGGCCGAAGTATTATCTCCCACCATGTGGATCGAAGGTCGTATTCCCGCTGAACGTGTGACAGGCTATGTCACTCAAAGCCAATACTCCAACAGTCGAGAGATTGTTCTTTTAGAGATTGAACCAGATTCAAGGACAGAAGATGCCACTAACTCACAAACCTTATTAAAATATCTGGATTCACGACAACGTTATGCCGTTGTGGGTCACAATAAGACCAAAGTCAAAGACTTTTACCTCATACCTTTATATAAAGTCCAACACATCCCCGATTGTCTTTATGTCGTGCGTGTGGAAGAGACTGAAAGAGAATGTGACTTATTCTTGGGTGTCTTGGTACTGACAAAGCAGATTCCTGTCGTTACTAAGCCGGCCATTTATTCTACGCCCATGGCTACTCCCATGTACTTGGCCCCTTCTCCACCACCCCCCATCACATCCCAATTTGAAACACCAAGCCAACCTTCTTATTACAATTCTCAGGAACAGCCAAAGTATGGATATGGTCATGCTGCACAAACAACACATTCACAGCCAGCTCGATCAACACAGCCAGCACCACAAGAAAGCTTTGTTCATCCATCACGACAACAACAACATAATTATGAAAGAGGTCAAGGCTATTATAATAACCAGCGACAAAGAAATCGTCCAGATGCTTATCGACCTTCTTATTAGTCATAATAAAAAAATATTTTTTTTTTTCACGGAAATTATGTTTCGAATAGTCTTGTCACACACTTAGTACACAGCCTTTTGTGACCTGAAAAAAAAAGTTATTTTTAAAATAATGCATGGTTTTTTATTACTTAATGGAGAAAGATCGTCATAAGTAAAAGAAAATGTGTACAGTGTAACCCATTGTCAATCGGACATCTTTCTAGACACATATGTTTCTAAACACATATATTTCTAGACCCATATCTTTTTAGACAAGATACATAGCCACTTATTAAATCTATCTACATTATATATTAGAGTGTATTATACAATGTTATGTAAAAAGTTTAAGAAATGGGAACAAGAAGAGCAAACGTCAAATCATAAATATATAGGCATACATTTTGCAGGAATAAACTAATACGCACTGCCGCTATTATCTCGACATTAATTTTAAGGTTTGTACTTAATTATCTTCTTCTTGTAAACAAGCAGTTCCTTCTCAAATGATTGAACATTGGTCTAAATCATTAATTATGCTGAACAGCTATAGTTGCTACCGTAATTTCTCTTTATTCTTTTTAAAAGACAAGATCATTATAAACAGTTACATGCTTTTAGAATCAGCACAAGAATGATAAAATGTTTGACGATGCATTAACTGCGTAAATTATTTCATACAAACCGCTATTCCTTCTTTTTTTTCATTTAGCTTAAGCGCAAAACGTATATGATTAATTATTTCATCCTGGCGTAAACTGGTTTCATCTTTCGTTTATTCAAAGGGAGGAAAAATCTCCCATATTCATTTTTTTTTTCTTCTTTGGCGCCATTTTTTGTCCATGTCTCTTACGAGAAGGTTAGTTAAACAGTGCGGGGAGTTTCATTCATATTACTGAGTGTATCATTATAGGCATGTTTTACTTTCAGAAAGCCTACACGCCCGTAAGTATTCAAAAGCGATTGTTGCTCCTTATAAAATAATTAAATTACTATGTGACATCTTTCAATAAATAAAAAAGCGCAAGCAGGCTCTCGTGGGACATTGGCTATGACAAGAAAACCCTGTAATCTTAATAGTTTTTTTAAGCGTGCAGCCTATTACAGTAGGACCAGCTTATAAAAAGGTATGTAGGCCATGCATTTTGATTACGTGCAATATTTTTTTAACATGCCTCTCTCATAGCTATATCCTCAATGCCGAGGATAGCAGCGCTTGCTAAAGCTAGGGCTCTGGAATGAACCTCCGTCAGGGTAATATGATCCCATTTTTTTTTTTTTTTTTTTTTTTTTTTTGAAAAATTATGCATTAACGTGACTTTTGGTTCGTTTGTAGACATTTGGCGCGTTCTGGTGAAGATCGCCGATAAAAAAACGGAGTCAAATGGTTTGGCTTCACCCTCAGAATGATGGGTAGTATTACCGCTGATGATGAGGTCTTAAGGTTGTACACCTCCATGAAACATGACATGATGTGGATGGCGTTGAACAGATGTTAGGTAGATTTGACAATAATTGCCTACCTGTATCTGATATCTGGTGTAATTCTGGATCATCATAGGCCACAAATGAGACTCACAGATTTTTTTTTGAGTCTGTATTTCAGCCTTACCGATGTTTCTGCTTGTCATTGGGCAATAAAGTGCTTGTTGGGGAGAGTCGAGATGTTCATGTCAGATTTCTTCAAATATGAAATTTGACTAAACGGGACCTTTTGAGTCTTGTTTATCGGTTGACCATACTTGCCTCTGACCAAGGCAGCTTACAGATAAGGGGGTAAGTTATTTTCTACTTTCTTTTCGATAGTATTGACTTACCTGATATTGTTTACAGAGAAGATGTATGGTACGACCAGCTTTTCGCAGTTACGTTAGCTAAGTCTCTTTAGATACCGCAAGAAAAGCTTTTCCTGACTTGTGGTAAACCATTTTAAAAATTGCATCAATATATTAATAAACACGAAAATGAAAGTTTCTGGTCTTGCACTCATGGAAAGAGCAGCAACAATCCAAGAGAGCAGGCCAATTGATCAAGTATGGAAATTATGAGCTTGGGATCGTTGAAGGTTCTAAAACCGACGACGAATACAGTAGTAAATATTTTCTTGATTGCATGTCTCGTTTGCCTTCCCCGAGATTCCATTTCTTTTCAGAGGTATGGGGAGAGGGGGCTTCATAAGCTAATAACGCTGCATATTAAGACTGGTTTTACTGGATAGAAAGCTAGCGGCACTGCATTAAAGTTTTCATAAATAAAAATTAAAATGTGCACCAATAATAAGAAATCACAGTTTCTATTTTCTATTTTATATTGAACAACCGATGCTTATTGGAATTGAACTTGGCAGTTATCAATTAGTTTAAATTGAGACGATGTATCCCAGCCAGCGATTTCATAAAGAGTGCTTGGCAGTGTGATATTCAACGTCTCTTTTGTAATTTCTTTTACATAAGTCTAACTATTAGAGATAAGTGGTTAATCGATTACTTTGGCAGCTGCTTGGTATTCATTGTACCACTTTTGTGCATGTGGTTTATATCTAGTTGTTTCGTGTTATTTTAGCTCTTCAAGGCAGATGACAAGACCTAAAAGAAATGGTGCCGTTTGGGAATGGGTTCTTTGTGGATTTTGGTGTCTAGATTTCTTGACATCTTTTTTAATAGGTTGTCGTGTGTTGTTGATGGGAGTCATTATGTTGAGAGGAACGATATTTGGATGATGTGCAGCTTTGTGAATTAGAGTAGATAAGAGAAGAAAAGGGAATGGATGTGTTTATTATAATGAGAAAAAAAGGAAATAAAAAGCAAAGGCTCGGATAGAGGTATCATGTATGACAATGCGATGTCGGTGGGGAAATTATTAAGGAACGACAAATTCGCAACTAAATGAAAAGAGAGTTTCACGGAAACGAAGTTTCAAATAGCCCTGTTACACAATCAGTACACAGCCTTGTAACGGGAGAATGACCGAAAAAGTTATTTTTAATTTGAATGCATGGTTAATTGGGAGGGGATCGTCAGGAGTAAGAGAGAAAAAAAAAGTTATTAAGGTCTCCTTTTTGCGTTTTGGGGACTGGGGCTGTCTTTTTCCCTTTTGATAATTTACCCACTCAGCACTAAACAAAAGAGTAACCACACTTTTTTTTTTTTAATTCTGTGTTCAGTTCATGATGATGGAGATCGGAAAAACTATAGATTTATGTCAGTACCCCCCCTCTCCCTTTAGTGATTAATTTATCGTAAAACGTAGGACAGACTTTCTTTTTTACTAACTAACACTCGATAATCACAGTAATCCCACATGAATATCGTCATGGTGATGACGATTGTGAGTTTGTATAAAATGAATGGTGTAAAGAAAGCACGCCATGATTGAATTCTGCACAAATTAAAGAATGCACTTGGAACAAACAATAAAGAAAAAAAAAGTATAAATAAATCTCTGGGTTCCAGTACAAAGTTCCCAGCCCAAATAAGTACGTTGTCAATAACACAATAAATTTTTTTTTTAGGGATGGACATATAAGGGCTTTTCATTTTAATGTTTTTTTTTTATTTCATTTCTTTTTTTCTTTTTTTCCTATTCATTTATTTTCATGTATATATACCCTTTTCTCTCTTTATAAATAAAATCAAAATGCATCGTTCTTCAGAAAACACATTAGACACCAGTCGAGGTAAGACAGCCACGACAGACAGACAGAATAAAAGAAAACTAACTGAAAAGGATAGGATTGTTTCCATGGCTACGAAGGAAGGAAAGCAGCTGGTCTCTTCGCTCCTTGTCGAAAATGACACGATTCAACTCGGTGTCGACTGTTTCGTTGCCACTTTCGGATACGGCGTCCAGTCTTTCATCGGCATCGACTATACAAGATGAAGAAATGAAACAAGAAGCACCCCCTAGTTATGATGATAAATCGCACCCGTGGACATTTCAGCTTCCAAAATCATTGTTAAATAGAACCATCTTACCACGCGAAGAAGAAGGAAAAGAATCATTACCAGATTATGAATGTACAGTACAAAGAATGTGTTATGTAAAAGTCAAGTGTGAGCTATCCAAGCCTGGAGTGAAATCAAGAAGCAGATCCTGGAGGTCAGATATAATATTTTTTTAATTAAAATTTATTTTCAAAATATTAACTTTTTTTTTTTTTAATAATTTTACAGATATTATTATATTCAGATCTACGGCACTAAAATAATGGCATTCACAAGCTGTCCCAACAGACGGAAATCCGTACCTGTCTGGTCACACTCGATGCAAGGTGCGGAAGCACTGGTGGCAACCGACTATTTAAAAGAACGCCATGTCATTCGTCTGCGAATACAAAACGGTCCTCAGTACCTGATTACAACTCAGTCTGAAAAGGACAAGACAGACTGGATCATTGCCATGGAATCCGCAATAAATATCAGTTCAGATTTGGATGTGAGATCTATGCCACAATTCATTACCTTGCTTACTCGTAGACGTCGTCGAGATTTAAACACTACTACACAATTACCGCCTTCAGATAACCCAGCGGATGCTCCACTACTGTAACACCTTCTATTTATATACCTTTCTTTTCTTTTTTCTCTTTTTATACATATACACAGAACTCTTTTATTCTAGCCAATCAAATCATTAAAAAAAGCCTACCCTTCATCCTCCCTCATATGAAAGTCTTTAAAAAACATGTCAAATGTACTTCTTTTTAGTCACGTGATTGGTTTTTTTTATTGTGGTCCTACCAAGATAAAGTCTAAGAGTATGATGGTATAGATTTCACCGTTTTCAATCATATGTAAACACTCAAATATACGGGTGACTTTTTCCATAATACAAATTATCAGTCAGTAAATTAAACTCGTTCTTTTCCCTCCTTTTTTTTTATGTCTATTCATATACACTATTTTCAGAAAATATTAATATGTATCGTGAAAAAGACTAGTGAAAAATGACCTATTTGTCTCTTTTAAAGGAAAAAAGATTCATTTTAATTATTACGGGATATTGGTGATACTTGCAGCTGCGGTTATAGAGCCTTTGATATACATATCTTCCATTATGATGTTAATTAAGTATATTTACAAAAGCTGCATATATGTATGTATATTTTTTCGACGCTCTTTTAGATGTAATTATGTCCAGATATTTGGTGAGCAAAAAACGTATGATAAAGGTTAATAGTTACATTGTGATGTAATTTGTAGGAACGCTCGAGAATAGCTACAAAGTGAGAACAATGAGCTTCTCGGCGGGGGGGGGGGTTTGCAGGACTACTCATAATGAACAGCTACGTTGTTATTGTAACACTTGCTAAAAGCTCACCGTGGGAGCAATTACAGCCTCGAAATTAAAATTTATACTGTAAATATAGCAAAGTTTAGTAATTACCAGGATAAAATCACGTCTTCCAAGCTCATCGTTCCAACGAGCAATTTTCGGTTATTTTGATAGATAAAGCCAGATATTTTGTTACTCTTAGGTATTGCATGGTATTTTTGATGATAGATATGACGGACACATCAACTGGTAGCCGATTATTGCAGCCCCCAGAAGAGCCATCACAATCTTCTCAAAGTAAGAATTGTACTTGTTTAAATTAAACACATCTCAAAATTATGAAAAAGTAGAAGCTGCTCAATAAAAACGACCATCGAAAATCCTTGCATCGTAGCCTATTCCGGTGATCAAGACGATAGCAACATATCCTAAAAGCAAATCTTCCGTTGAAACTGTATTCCTTTTCTTCAAGTGTAACAGCTCATTGAGATAATACTAGTACACCTCTCTGTGTTGCAACTAGCTCAGTGGCTTGAAACTCAAGAAGTAAGACTATCTGTTATGATTCCGAGAACTCCCTTTGGTCAAGACACTTTCTATAGGATTGAAGACGCTTTCCCTGTATTTAGTAGGTAGACACTTACGCTTCCAACTTTATATTAAACTGTGCCATTTTTCATACTAGTAGGTCATGGCCTTTAATGATAAGTAGCGCCAATTTGACATTGAAAGCAACAAGGAAAAAAGCTTATATTTTCTGTGGCGCACTTAGTCACCATCACGTGACCTACACGTCCTCCCCGCGGCCGTGTAACCATAGTTGGGCCATTTCATTAAAATATCATTTAATTCATCTGATTTTGCATTTAATTCATAAAAATTTGGGTGCCCTTGGGCACCCAAATTTTTGGATTTTAGAAGGGTTTACTTAATTTTTTACGTGTAAAGTTCCATTTGTTTTTTACGAGATTTATTGAAGTGATTTAAGGGAAATATCATGATTTATTTGTAATTAGGTATTAGTGATTTAAGTTTGTAGCCAATAATGACGGGTAGCAATTCCAGCATACATTATCAGCTACATTTATAAATTTAAACAAGGCAAAGGCTGCACAAAATCTTTCTTCCCAGTTTTTGGTTGTTTAACGTGTCTACCTGTACAACTTTCTTGTCTGCATCGTCCGCATTTGTTACTGCACAGAGAACCTTTGGAACTTCCAGGACAGTTATCTACCATGCATACCACACATAATCTTTTCCGTTTTCTGTTATTTGATAGATTGATTACTTCAGCTGTAACGTGGCGTGAAAGTGGTATTGTAAGAGGGGTGGCACCCGGGATATGTCTGGAGCGATATGCAGGGCGTATCATCTGTAATTGAGGTGATGGTGGGTTGATTGTACCAAGTGGAAAATGTTGCTCTATTGGGGGTATTGGTTTGGGTAATGCAGGTATTGATCTTATAAACCTGGATGGGGATTCAGCAAGTACTCGAACACTTTGTGATATTTCAATATTTTTGAGAACAGTATTTCCGTATTTTTTCCTGTCTTCTAAAATGTTAAAATATGATTTTAAATGCCCTGGTGTCTTGTAATAAATATTGGTATCATGTTGGCAATGTTTAGAGTTCCATGTTAAAGCGAAAAGCTCGAAATTCGGTTTTTCCGAATCAAAAGGTTGGTATATAGATGTACTCTCTTGGCCTTGGGTATTAATTAGAGTTTCAAAAAGACATACTTCTTCCTTTGTATGAACAGCAGTTACAGCATACAAGGTGCCTTGACAATTCGATAGATATTTGTATTTGAACTTGTTAGCGGAATAACCAATCTTCGGAAGCTCTACCACAGGCAAAGAAGCAAGTTCTGTCATCCGACCTTTTGTTATTTTAACTTTTTTTGGAGCAAGAGATTCAGTAGGCCTAATTCCAATTGAGTTGCCAAATGTTCTGGGTATATCGACGACACCAAAAGTTTCATTGGTTTGTTCAAAATTCAAGTAACTCCCATAGCGTTCACAGGTATAATTCATAACGGTATCGTGACCTACTTCAGCTCTTAATAAATTTATAGCCAGTACAAGCCAAGGACTATAATGGCCTTGATGCTTTTTACCGTATCTGTTAATTGATCCAACCTATGATGATGTATAACTTTCAGTTTATGAAATACTTTTTAAATCATTTATTACTTACATTGAGGTTATGATATAACCGGTAGTCGGCTAAAATTGAGTCGGTCAATCTAACTGATGCATTGTAAGAAGCAAACCTTCGAACAATGTTCATATGGCATGCTCCTTCAACCGAGCTTGTTCCTCTGGAGCATTTATATGTCATGAGATTGTTTTTGTCCAAGCCTTTTTCGGTATATAATGGAGGCCCATTAACAACGTCTGAGACATGCCCTTGCTTCACCGAATCCAAAACATGCAGGGACATGGCAACAGCTGCGTCATTGAAGAGTTTAAGGCCGGAATGCTCACACCTGAGAGGACCGTAGCTTTCAAAAAGGAATTTCAAGGCGGGGTATAATTCTTCGGCTGGGGGTATATGCCTTCTTACACGTTCGAATATCCAAGCAGGGTTTGCCAACATCCGTGTCTTCCAGTCCGTACCAATACTTTCAAGATAACTTTCTACTAAAGCTTTATCCTCTTGGTCACATACATACATGATGTCACGGAAACGACGCATGAAGTCTTTTTGCATTCCATGAGACTTATTAATTTTGATCATGTCCATAATATGAAATCCATCTTTTAAAACACGGGAGTCGACAGAATTCTTATTGGTATTGATTGGTGAAGAAGTGGTATCGCTGCTAATGGGTGGTATTTGTATGATTGGGGTATTAGAAGTATCAGAAACTACATTATGTACTCTTTCTGAAGCTGTAAACAGATATTTGCATTTGATATAAACAGTGAAGGGTATATTATGGAAATCACCTAAGGTCAGACCTTCATTGTAACACTCCAAAGGGTATCCAGGAATAGTTATTTTCACAACTTTTACAATAAGTGCACTGTTGGTATGAAGTGCTTCATGGGTATTATTTGTAGGAGGGGTATCATCATTGCATATATAGCCGTATCCAGCAACAGAGGACGAGGCAGATTTGTCCAAATGAATTGCAATAAAAGAACCGGCTGTTGTGTTGACAGTTACTTTCTGATGAACTGTGGGCATATGTTTGTATCTGGTATAAATTTCGTATGACACCCAAGCGTCCAAAGCTGCATAATTTATTTGCTCTTCTGAAAGGATTGGGGCTTCCCAATTGCCACAACGAACAAAATTTGTCTTGGGTAACTGCACCTTCAGAACAAGCCCACATATATCGGCCAAAGATGTATTTCTTCTTTCAATGAGATCCTTATCTTTGCAAAAGGTACCAAGTTCCAGTTGACCAGGGCATTGTTGGAGACCAAAATAGCGAAATCTTGTAAGATCACCGCTGACGTTTTTTCCGATTTTGGCTATTTTAGTATCAGTGAGGATCTTGATCAAATTTTCAGGTAGATTGTCTGAGGCGAATGAGTGTATTCTCATCAAGTAGACAGAATTACCGTAAGCGATTTGCACCAAAGCAACAGGAACGAACTTCAAACCAGACTGCTCACTGATGGAAATTGCTGATCTTTTACCTCTTACAGCCCATTCGCAGTCAAATCCAATGGCAATTGTACCCTGCTGTAAACATTCGTCAAGAAGTTTTTGGCATGATTGATTAATGTCGATAGTAGTACTTAAAATTGATACCGTTATGTTATCTGGCAATCTGGCTACGGGGTAATTTTTGAATGGGCTGTTCAAATCGACTTGTTCTGTTATAGTTGGATTTTTATGAATAACGTCTTTCAGGAGAGAAGGTATTGTCGATTCCAAGAACAACCGATCACCAAGAACATTGTCCGTGTAGAAAAGCTCTGGCATTTTAAAACCATACTTTTTATAGCTCTCCATCATGTTATTAAAAGATGGAGCCAAGTGTTCCAATGACTTTGTAGGCGCAAGTACTTGTAGGCGAATTTCTTCGTATTCGTTCAAGAGGGTATACAGACATGAAAATGTTGACACCCCATTGATTTTGGCCATATGTTTTATAATCTAAAAAAAAATTAATTGCTGGCCTGTGTTGTTTGGATATGAATTCTGATGTGTGCATACCTTAAAAGAATGGTCTCCTTTTAAAACAATTCCATCCAAAAGTGACGTGTGATGATTCATATAAGGCCTGAGTTCATCTATAATTGAGCAATAAACATAACTTATGTAATTGGCTGAAGGTACATATCCGTTGTATCCGTTTCTATCATTAAACGTCGAGAACTCTGGGTATGTTGTAGCCGTAGAAACATTTCCTACCAGCTTCTTAGCCATCTTTTGTTCATCAAGCTTATCTTTTAAAGCATCATAGTACTGGAATTGAATGGAATCGAATTTTTCTGTATGATTTGTTCGTAAAATTTGGTGCATTCTATGAGGGCCGGCAGCATTTTGAAATTGTGTGCGTAGGAGCCTTACTAATTGCTTTGAAAAACCAGAACGATGGGTAAGCACAGCAGGGAAATCAGCCTGAACCCTTGGTGGTAATTGTCTAATAATTGAAGATGCATATCCCATAAATGTATGAACGGTTGATTTATTTGTACATTTAAGTCGAACACTCAAAAGATAGAAACAGCTGAAATGTTTATAGTTAGTATGCATTCTATAGTCTCAAACCAATTATGTAACTTACTCATCCAGATCAATTATTCTTCGAGCCTTTGTTTTTTGGACCCACTCTTTTGCTAGCAGTGGTTTTGCGCATGTTGGACAGTGCAAAGGAGTCTTTGTCAAAAACTGAGGGAGCCATACAAATACTCTTGGGCGGTAAAGCAGCTCGGGATTGATTTTTTGCTTTAAAGAAAAAGAAACGCTTGGAGGGTTGATCCAAAATGTGCCATTGATATATTGACTTGGTACATTTCCACCTTTGAGATTGTCCTGTATGCCTCCAAGATAATTATCAAGACATCCATTTTCAGGAATATTGGAAATACTGTTTTCAAGAGCATTAAATTGCTCCTCTGTGAGCTCGTCAAGAAGTTGAGTTTCATCAATATCGTCACTATCTTCGGCATAATCGACATCAAGATCCACACCAGCAGCTTGATTAATGTTCTAAGTTACGTATAAAATCAGTATGCTAAATATTTTAAAAATTATTGATCTGGTAATACCTCGTCAGCAATATTTGAGCCAATGTTTCTGTTATCTTCACTCGTGGCAATGCTTTGAGATGATGTTGTACTAATATGCTTATTCAAGGATACGTGTAAGTCCCAAAAATTACAGCATTGTTTATATTAATTTTTTACCTCTTCATTGTTTTCTGCAATATCATCATTAGTATGTGTTGCTTGAGATTGTTGAATCACCAATGTATCTTGTAAAATTGATAAATTTTCTAATTCAGAATTACTGCTCTCCGCTTGTGTTGCAATAACATTTGAAAAGCTTAAACGGGATTGATTGACTAAATGAGCCGGTTTAGGACCAGGTGCTTTAGATCCAGGTTTACTTTTAGAGCCGGATGGACGCCCTTTTTTTTTGAGAGAAATATTTGACATCTATTTTGGAGTTAAGACTATTTGAAAGCAATGTGTCTATTGAACGACAATCAATTAATCAATAGATATTCCTTACTTAAAATTATATGATGTATGTATTCTGGTACAGATTAGATGCTTATTTTAAAAAACAGATAGTTAAACAAAGAGAAGAAACGGTGTTTTATGTGGAAATTTGATCAATTTATAAGTGTCAAAATTCACGAGGGGACAAACAAAAGGCACATAGAAAAAAGAAAAAAAAAAACTTTCAAACCCAGTTACACTATTTCGCGCACATTTATTGGCTCCTTACACTATTTCGAGCAATGTTATTGGCTCCTTACACTATTCCTAGCACTTTTATTGGCTAGATTTGGCCCGACTATAAGCGTACCGTCCTCCCCGCGCCCGTCCTTCTTTTTCTGCTTAGCCTATCAACTCCTTTGTTTCCCTCTCTATTTTTTCTTTCCCATTCTATTATACCCACTGTTATTGTCATTTTGATTTTCGCGTCTGTAAATAATAGTGTGAAATATCCAAGGAAAAAATCGACAAATCACACACGCAACACTTTTTTTTTTGTCGCTTTTAAATTTTTAAGTAAATAGAATACCATTATTTATTTATTTTTTAAACTCTTTTTTTCCTCTCTCTCTTCTCTCCTTTTTTTTTATTTTTTTTTTTTTTTTTTATTATTATTTCTAATTCTTTTTTTTTCACAAACACACACACTCTTTTATATATACTATCCATTGGAAAAGGAAAGAAAAAGGACATTAGTATATACAGAAACGAAAAAAAAAGAAACTCTTTTGAAATAAACAAAAACAAAAGAAAGAATAAAAAATATAAAAAAAGATGAATTCACAAAATCCCAATCTACAAACACCTAATGGGCAGCAACAAGGACAGCAACAGTTACAGCAACAACAACAAGTTAATCTAGGTCATCCTAGCGAAGTACCAAACGCTAGTTGGAGAAACGAAGTCGCTGTACCTGATAGAACTCGTTTTGTGAGTCAACTGTAAGAAAAAAAAAAAAGAATGAGAAAAAAAAAAAAAAACTTTTTTTTATATATACCTAATTGATTTGCGCGTCTTTTCCTTTTTGTGTGCTAATTATACATATCTATCGAAATTTGTAGAAGTTTAGCTTTAAAGCACTTGTCTCCAAATACATCGGAAAATGAAACGTATAACGTAGCTAGTAATTTTGAAGCTGGTCTTTATCAACGCTGCACAAGCAAAGTAAGTAAAAACTCATTCATTATTAATTTGTTGACTACTTATCAATAAATTAATTTTTTTTTTATTGTTGTAGAATCAATACATATTGGCTTATGCAAGGAAATTTCAACATATAAGAGATCAGATCAACCAAAGTAACAATCAAAATATGCTGGGAGGTAATAGTATGAATGGTTTGCCTATTCAACAACCCATGTCTCCTTTGGTCGGTCAATCCTCGTCTCCTCAAATCCAACAACAGCAGCAGCAACAGCAGCAACAGCAACACCAACAGCAGCAACGGAATTTCCAATCGCCTTTGAATAACAACCAAGCTGCAATGAATGGTCAAAATCAGATGCGTCCTAACTTCCATCAACAAGCCATGTTACAAGGTAGACCTCCTCAACAACAACAACAGCAGCAACACCAACAGCAGCAACAACAGCAACAACAACAGCAGCAACAACAACAACAGCAGCAACAACAACAACAACAGCAACAACAACAGCAATCGCCTGCCCAAGCACAGGCTCAAATGTATGCTTATCAACGTTCTGCTGCTGCGGCTGCTATGGCTGTGTCTAATACCCCAATGCAACCACCTTCCCAAAGACCTCCTCAACAACAGCAGCAACAACAGATGCCAATGAACGTACTTGGAAATATGAACGCGACGAATATCTCTCCCCAACAATTCCAAATGTATTTTGCACGTCAACTTGCTTTACAACAACAACAACAGCAATCCCAATCTTCTCCTCACTTGCAAAACCATCTTGTACAGCCACCACCCGCAGCACAACAATCTGCCGCTGCCGCTGCTGCCGCCGCCGCCGCTGCTGCTGCAAGTGGTGGTGCCATGGGAGGAGTGGGAGTGGGAGGAGGATTTGCAAACGCGAGTATGGTTCAACAACAACAACATATGTTGAATATGGCAAAGAATGGACCACAAGGTAATAGTTTTAGACCTCAATTTGGAGATGCGGTGACGACGGGTTTACCTGTCTCGAGTGGTATTGTGACAAGTGTGCCTACCAATAGTGGTTCTGTTTCTGGAGGCTCTCCCATGCAACAAAATGCCGTCATTGGCAATTATCCCATGTCGAATAATCCCGGATCGGCCTCATCTACTCCTGTGAGTGTGCCTGCCACACTAGCAGGTCCCAATTTTAACAATATGGTCAGACCTCCTCCTCCACAACAACAACAACAAGCGGCGTCACAACAAACACCATCACAGCAACAGCAGCAACAGCAACAGCAACAACAACAAATGAACCAGGAAATGTTGATGCAACGGTTGCAACAAGGTGGGGGTGGCCCAAGACCTCCTCAAACTCCGCAACACTTCGTACCACAGCAACAAGCTGTTCATGCACAACAACAACAAGGTAGACCGATGATGAACCCTCAGTTAGGAGGGGGTGGTGGTGGAGGTGTAATGGGTGCTTTAAAGCCCTTGACGTTTCAACAGAGAAATAATGCTGCTGGTATTGTTCGACAAATGGATGAAAATATACGACAAGGAAGAGGTAAAGTGTGGGGGGAGACAAAGAAAAAGTTTTTTTTTTTGTGCTATTGTTCTAAACACATTTCTATATGATCTAGTTCGTGGTTCGGTGATTGAGGATTTGTCAGAGGGAGATAAAAATGCAATTCGTGAACAAATCGCATTGATGAAGAGCATGTATGATAAAATCGACAACCTCTTGCCTGTGTTTTTAGCCATGACCAATAATTTGGAAGCGACACGAAGATTGATCCTGATGAAGTACATGTTTGAAGATCAATTGACCGTCCTCTCTCAGAATAAATTCATCATCAGCCTAGAAAACCTGCACAAATTAAAGGAACAATTCAGTGGCTATTTCACCTGGGTACGTAATGCCGTAGGTCAACAGCAACAGCAACAACAGCAAATGAGTGCCATGTCCGCCGCCGCCGCCGCTGCCGCCGCTGCTTCCTCCGCTTCCTCCTCCACAGGTCCTATCAATTCGCCTCAACAACAAATTGGATTAGGGTTAATGCCAATGCATCTGCAACAACAACACATGGCTCAGCAGGGAATGCAAGCTAATTACAACCAAATGGGTCAGCCCATGAATAACGGCATGGGAATGAATCAATCCCATCAAGCCATGGCTTTAATGAGACAACAGCAGGCTCAGCATCAACAGCAGCAGTTGCAAGCTCAACAACAAGCTCAGCAACAACAAGCTCAGCAACAACAGCAGCAACAACAGCAGCAAGCTCAGCAGCAGGCCCAACAGCAGCAGCAGCAGCAGCAGCAAGCTCAACAACATCCAGATTCTGTTCCCCCCACTGGAGGGCCTAAAAGCAATGAAAATACACCCGTGCTTAGTTCCGCCACACCTAATGCGGTTACGCCTACAGCCACACCTTCAAATGGCATCAAGCGTACAAGTATTGATTTGAAGCTTCCTCCCTCCAAGAAACAACGTGGTACAAGATCCTCTGCTGCATCTCAATCACCTACGCTCAGCCGAAAGAACCAAAAGTTACTTGATAAAGAAAAAGGGGGTACTCCTGCTTCTGCACCTGCTTCCTCCACCCTTGTTCAACAAAAGACGCCACAAGATATGCCATCTGCCTCTAATAGTCCTGCCATGATGAACAATGCCAATCTGTCTCAATCCATCAACCAAGTTCTTTCGACCACGTCCTCTGCTGCACCAACAACGGTCAATAATGGTAATGGAGCGATGGAAGGTAATTATAATCAGGGAAGTGGTATTCCTGTCAAGGGAGGTATGCCCTTGAGTCAGCATCAAGCTCAATCTCAAGCCTTTTTTATGGCCGCTGTCAGTAACGGTATTCCACCTCAAATCGTCAGTCTGTTACCTCACAAGGCGCTTCAATGCAATTGGTTGCTGCAACAAGCTGCTCAAAACAAAATGGTCTTGCAAGCCAGTCAACAACAGCAGATTCAAAATTTATTGAATGAACATATTGAAGCTGCTAAACATCAATTGACTCATCAATCCGAGCCCATGCATCAACAACAACAGCAGCAGCAGCAGCAGCAGCAGCAACAGCAGCAGCAACAGCAGCATGATCAACAGAGCTCTGCACCCGTTTCTTCTCATTTGACTTCCATGACACAATCGCCTCGACCTAATACCGACGCGTATATCAAAACGGAAGACGGTCAACATCAACAACAGTTCTCGTTGCAACAACAGGCTCAACAACATCATATGCAACAACAGCATATACAGCAACAGCATATGCAACAGATGCAACATCAAATGCTTCAACAGCATCATTTACAACAACAGCAGCAGCATCAACAACAACAACATCATCATCAACAGCAGCAGCAGCAGCAGCAACATCAGCAGCAGCAACAGCAGCAACATCATCAGCAGCAGCAACAGCAGCAGCAGCAACAACAGGCACATCAACAAGAACAGATACCCGGAACACCCAACAGTACCAATAATATGATTGTTCATCCATCCATGACACTTCATCAAAATGAAGAAATGTCTAATCTGTATTTTCAAAATGGAGGCGTGAAGGATATGTCAAGCATGCTTGGCGGCGGCAACAATGGTGGTGGCAATAATAATAATCATAATAATCATAATAATCCTAATAGTAATAATTCACCACAAATTCATATCCAAGCACCTTATAACTCACAATCCCCGCAACAACATCATCATCATCAACAACAACAACATCATCATCAACAACAACAACATCATCAACAACACCAACAACAACAGCAGCAACAGCAGCAACAACAGCAACAGCAACCTCTGCCTGTGGATGGTGGATATTCGTCTGCGTTAAAAGAAGGATATAAGGATGAAACATTCGGTACACCTGATCTTAGTTTATTGAAACGTGAAACTTTCAAGGAAGAAGAACCCGAATTACAATCCTCATGGTATGATTCATCGAATGGGGCTGATCTTGGATTAGATGTGTTTGATTGGGATAATAATGATTTCGTGACTTTGGATGATAATGAGGCACCTGTTGTGTCAACAACTACATCAGCGACAACACCGGCAGCAGCAGTGGCAGTGGCAGTAACAAGTACAAGTACACCGGCTGCTTCGGCTGTGACATCTTCCACTTCCGCTACTACAACCACAGCTGCTCCCACAAGCACTGCTTCAAGTTCGGAAAATGCAAAGAAATCAGACGATAAAAAATTAATAGATGAAAGTGGTAAATTGTGTGTGGTTAGTTTATAAAAAAAAAACTACGTTTACTACGTTCTATATCTCCTTCTTTCCACTTTCTATCTATATATTATCCCCCCCTCCCTTTTTTTTCCTCTCTATATTTGTATACACCCTTTTTATTTCAAGCAAAAAACCTTTTCCACCCACTTAACACTTTTATATGACACAATCAAATAAAACTTTATACTATACTTTTCTTTTTCAGTTAAGAGATTTACATTTTGTGTCGCATTGCTGTTGTCACGGTAAAATGTATTGGAATCACTACTAAAATCCAACATCTTTTGGATCTGACTGTATTCTAACTTCGTCTTTATCGCGGAATGTGAACCAAACACATCCTCTAATTGTTCAATAATAAAGATACTCGTCATACATGCCTGTTGTTTCATATTCGTCCATGTTTATTTTATTTCGGTGAATGTCATTGATTTATCGTTTCTCAAATCTCGCACATAGTTAACAGAGAAATAGAGTTTTCCCTGGAAGGGTCCAGTGTCAATTCTAACTTTGACATATGCTGTCATGCGGAGGAGTGGGGTGGGAAGTGTCTATAAAGGACATGCGTCATGTACGACATTCCCCTCACTTTTTTTTTGATAAAACTGGTCAAAGCGTTATTTTTCATGCACTGCTAAAAGAAATGCTTTGTAGCTCGGTTTTATTATTTGAACATTGATGTTACATTGGGTTTTCTTTTTTGTATATCTTGAATTGATTGCTAAATTGCACGTGAATGTAAATGTCTTGTCTGCACGTGTATGTGCATTCCATCTGACGTTGACGCGGTAGGTATAATCATAGGATAGAACTCGTTTTGCAGTCTGCTTGATTTACAAGCAAGTGGGTAAATAAAAGCTACAAGTGAATAACCCTTGTTGACTTTATCAGAAAAAAAAAAGTTGCATGATATAGAGAGAGCCTAGGAATGATCGAAGCAGAAAAAGCAGTAAAATTTTTTACTCGTTTAAGTTTGAATTTGAAGTGAATATTTTTGTTTATTCTTGATGTAAGCCATGGATTTCGAAATTGACAGTTTTAGCAGTAACTCGTCTCATCTTTTGTATCGAAAGTAAATGCCTTGGGCATAAACGACATTTGTTATGATTACTGTCTGCAGGTAAACCGAGGCTTTTTTTTTTATTCAAACATGAGCGAAAGATTTTATGGCAGGAGGGTGTTGCCTCCCTTGATCATGTATTACAAACACTGTCTAGACTCATGACAACAGCAATAAAGTTTAATGAATGTCTTTGATTGCGTACTTGCTGTTATTACATAATATACCACGAGCTGCACAAACCCCGTACTTACTCAGCGTAACACTGTCATCTTCAGTAGACCTTTTAGCCATGCTGATATTGAAACGAGATACCAATCTATGTAACACATTTATAGCGATTCCTGAAAACTTCAGCATAAAAGAGCTCTGCGAAAGCAAGGGGTTGTTTATACCTGCTATGATATGAACCTTAAGGCTTTACTAGTCAGCTTCCATTTTTCTTTTGAAACAGGCTCTCGCACTTTCTTTTTACTTTCTAGAGTTCATGTAACCTCACTTTGTAACTGGTATTGCCATTTTATATGTTATCATTTGCTAAATACTCGTACTCAGCATCTTGTAGATTTTAGTGACTGACAGGTAATATATCAAAGTAAAACACTGAACGCGAGTAAACATGTTCTGACCTCCCTTCATTGAACGAATCTACTGTTGTCACACATGCACATACCATAATATAAACTTTTAGTAAGCAAAAGAAGGCCTTTTAAATGGGAGGGTAATTTAACATCCTTTTTCCTGAGCTATAAATCTTTTTTAGCAGTGATATCATTTCCCAGTAGTTTAAAAATAACGGCCATGTTTTACCAAGGGCATGCAATGCCTGAGGTGTATATGGTTATCTTTTTTTTTAAAAAAAACAAGATAACTTCTCTTCAATGATTTAAATTTATAGCGCGTTGCTTTCATAAAAAGTAAAGAGGTGATGATGGAATGCTCAGACGAAGAAATAAGAGCGGGTTTTATAGACTGTACATGGTGTAAGTTTACCCAACCAATCAAAAGCTGTCCCTGATTTGTGTGAATCATCATCAGCTGGAAAATGCTTGTGTCGTGATTCCGTTGCTTCCATATGTGTATCTCTCCCATGGGGCGTGAACAGTAGCTCTACCCAGACGAATAAAATGTTAATTTTTCTGCTGAATAGAGCTATGGAAGAATGTGTGAGGTTTGTTTCATACTAAACAAAAATGACAATCACAGGAACAAGGGAAAAGAAACATGTCGGAAAAACTGGATGATTTTTATACATTTTGGATTATTTATTAATAAATAGCGGGAAGATCATATGTGTAATATGGAACGTTACACGCATGTTTCCATGGTTTTACATCAGGATGAGCTCGTCTATTAAAGATGATATCATTTAGTGAAGAAGATTATTTCAAAGAACACTTGAGTCCATATAAAAAAAAAAAAGAAGAGTCGATCAGGGCAAAGTGCCTGTTGAGGTTGCAACTGCCTGCATGTACAGAAGATGAAAGCACGACACCTTTTTCTCGATTAGGCAAATGGGAGTAGGTCCAGACACGACGGAAAAGGGCAATAACAGGCAATTTGGGTTGACAAGGGGTTAATGGATCACGTTGTTTTATCCAATTCGCACGCTATGTGATTGGATGATGGAATCAAATCTTCTGATTGCAATATCAGGCACCAATGAGATGCGAGGATCCATACGATGGTATAAAAACTGGAAAAAAAACAATAATAAAAAAGGGATTTTTTCTTATCTCTTCTCTAGTCCGTATTCTTCCATACAACTTTTTATTATCTATCTCAGGATGGTCTTTCATGCAAATCAAGCCTTCTTTAATAAGAAATGCGGGGTAAACGCATTGATGCGGTTACCCAATGAAGTGATTATCTCTATCCTTCAAAAACTCTCGATTCCCGATTTGCTTTTGACTTGTCAACTCCAAAACATTCGTTTTCACACCCTTGCCAAAAAAGTCTTGGTCCAAAAGCTCGTCAAGACCAAAGACTGTCACTTGCGCTTATGCTTTGATCAAGAAAACCATTGGCGATTCACGGTGGACTTCAAGTTCACCAAGGCTACCCAAACAAGACTTGCCTTCACACCAGTGAAGCCAGTGAGTGTTCGCATGTATAACTCTAAATTACTTCGTCGTCCCATTCTATACAAGGCATCACTGGTCGGTCCTGATTTTGTGGTGGAGAATCCACATCTCGTTCACAACCTGATTAGATCACCTCTCTCTCTCGACATTAAAGAAACAGGTTTACATCAGCATCATTATGCACAAGGTGCTTTTTTGGCGTATCAAATCACAAAGACACCGGAAAACATGGTCAAAGCAAGGGCTGGTGAAAGATGGGTAGAACCTTTGGGATTTGAATGTTCCTTTGATTTCTTGTCTCAAACGAAAAAGATGATGCAACGTGTCTTTGATACTTTACATAATAAACCAGTGCGACGACAAATCGATGGTGTCTCATTCACTGCCAGTGCCAGATTACCGCAAACCTCCAAGAGCTACGCAGTGGCTGAAATCGGTGGCCTCTGGCAAAAAAAATTTCATTATGGTACATCAGATAAAAATACCAACAACACATTACTACCCATTCTTGGTGGCCTCATCGCCCAATAGAAATATACCCCCCATCAACCCTTTTAATCACTTGTAAATAAAAATCTATTGGCTTATTAAATCAAAAAGATCACACGTTTTTTTAAAGTTGTCGTGTCACCCTCGCGTATATAAGAAGTGACTTTTTTGGCGCGTGTTTTAATTCGTGTGCCCACGCTGTACAACAACAATTTGTTGTTACGTGATGAATACTGATGTAATGTCTATCTATTTGATCATTTGACTGTGTACGGTCATGAAAGTCATTTTTGCACATATTTTATTTATTTTTTTACTGGTAAAGAGAAAGAAATGCTATGTAAGTGAGGAAGGCAGATCAACGGATGACGGGTATTTTTGGTGTGGCTTTCTTTTTGGGGATTTGGAATTCATTTTCTACCAACTCTGGCTCACCAGTATTCGTAAAGATTCTCCAGAATTTCAAGTTTTCGTCGGGTGAAGCGGTAGCTAATACTTGACCATCTGGGCTAAGGTGTGAATGTAAGATGCGAGCGTCATGGGCAGGAATTTCTTTGACCTTATCAAGTGAAGGATAATCCCAAACAGTGACATGATTTTGAGGGTGTCCGTGTGTAGAAACAAATTGGCGAAAATGCCTAGACCAATGGATGGATGTGATGGGAGAGTCGCATTGAATGGTTTGTGTACGTGTTTTGGTGTTAATTCTCCAGAAATTGATCTTCTTGTCGTCTTTACCACCACCCGTTGCCAATAAGTTGTGATTCCATGGACACCATGCTAAGGCCTTGACTGCACTGGTATGAGTATCAATAGTAAAGATAGACTTTGTCTTTCGATTGTCCCAGACATTCACAAGATTGTCAGCTCCACCACTTGCCAACATACGACCATCTGAGTTCCAGCTTAGACCACAGACAGGTCCTTTATGTCCATGAAGCTCTCGAACGGTAGGTTGTTTCAAACGCACATCACGATCAAAGACAGTCTTGTTGGCACCGGAAGAAAGGATGTGTTTGTGCCAAGACAATGCACCCACACCATCTTCTTGACCGACCATAGTACGAACCTTTTCATTTGCATTAATATCATAGAGTAATGTTTTGCCATCACCACTACCGACAGCAAGACATTCTCCGTCTTCAGACCAGGATAATGAATTGACCTGATCTTTGGCATCGTGCTTCAATACGGTAATGTCTTCATTATCAGCGTTCCAGAGATAGACGACGGTGTCCAGGCCGATGGCAACTACGTTCTTCTTGGACCAGGAAAGTAAATTGAGGTAGAAATCATCCTTCATCAATGGTGCATCCAACACATTCTCGGGCGACGAGTCGATATTTCTGTTCTTTAGCTTAGACATACGAGAGATGATCTTGGGGTCGATGATGTTGTTTTTAAGATCAGTATTGTGGAAGGCGGGTGTATCGTCTGATGTATAACATAACGTACGTTGATGTGGGTTGTAGCCACAGACATTAGCGAGAATGGCCTCACGGCTAACAGACTCTTCGGTGAAGGACGATGTCTTTAAGTTTTTAGTGCGAACCTTGAATCTGGTCGACTCCATGTCGTGAACTACTGGGATTTCCCGATTATACTAAAAGAAAGGTATAAGCTTTTCATGGATTCCATGTGAATAATAAAAAAAAGGGGGGGAGGGAGGGATGAGAACTTACCGCAAATGCTGGAAGTTCAACTCTTCGTGTTTTCTTTGTAAAACATTTGTTGAATTCATCATCAGTATCGAGACTATGAAGCCGTTTAGATGTTGGGTATCGCTTAGGGCGTGTTGCTGATAATGAGCCGCTGGTTATCAAGTCGGCAATGTGCTGTGTCTTTTCATGTACTACTTTAGTGGGTTTCGGCGACTTTTTTACACCATTGATTTCTGAAGGTTGTAAAGCTTTATCCGGTACTGTGGACATGGAGTAAATGAACGAATAAAGTAAGAATCAGCTTGAGAAAGAAATATGGAAAAAAAGAAATGACCACAAGATAATGCGTATGTTTTTATTATATTATTTTTTTTTTTTTTACTGTGGAAAAAAAAACAATGCCAGTCACAATCCACCATGCAAAAAAAATTATTATTACACACTGCGGGGCAAAAAACTCTTTTATTGAAAGAAAGGCAACATGAAGGGATGGTTAGAACAAGTAAGTAGCGAAATTGGTGGTTGCCATGAGCTGCTGCTACACATTGTACAAAAGATTAAAGTGGTACAAACAACTACTTCTTTGTCTGCATTACCACGTTCCAAGGGAATGTTACTCTATGGTAAACCTGGTACAGGAAAGACCGTTTTAGCTATTGCAGTTGCAAGTAAAGTTTCCAAATGTTTATTACAAGGAGATATACAAATTAATATTTTGTTTGTTTATAAAAGAGTACTCCAACCTGCCTTATTATGTATTAAATAGTCCCGATATATTCCAGACAGGTACATCGACAATGAAAAGATGATTTTTTTTTTGTTACCTGTTGCATTAATCACAGGCCTATGATAGAGGAAGGTGTGAGTGAAAGCAAATTAACCGACTTCTTTCAACAATCAAATCAGCATCCCATGTCTATTCTTGTTCTGGATGAATTTGACATGATTGCAGCTAAATTGACATCAAAGAAAGGCTCGTTGGATATGCGCATATCATCCATCTTGATGGCTTTGTTAGATCGATCCAAAAATGTCTTTGTTATTGGCCTGTCCAGCAGAATTCATGCTGTTGATCCTTCTTTCTTGAGGTCAGGCAGGTTGGATGATATACAGGAAATTGTCATTAAACTGCCAGAACAAAGATATGATATCTTGCGCATCATTACCAAAAGTAAGCTCCTTTTTTTTATTGTTTCCAGGCAACATTTAAGCTCATCTTTCTTTCTTTCCCTATACATGTAGACCTACCTTTCCAGTCTGACAAAGAAAGAGACGATATATTGATGCACGTATCTAAAATCACGCATGGCTTTGTACCAAGTGATTTACAAAGCCTTTCTTCCCAAGTCATCCTTTCATTGATCAAACAACAAGAAACACACGTCAAAAAGAGTCATTTCATCCAAGCATTGACCATCGTCAAACCTTCCAATCTCAATGAGTTTGCGAGCAAGATACCGGATATTTCGTTCTCTGACATCTATGGCATGGATGATATTATTGCAGAGATCAAGACCTCGGTGATTCAACCCTTTCAACACCCCGAGAACTACCTCGAACTAGGTATATCTCCACCCAAGGGTATTTTGATCCACGGTCCCACAGGTGTAGGTAAAACCATGCTTTGTTCCGCTTTGGCTGCTGAAGCAGGTGTCAATTTCATGTTGGTCGAGAGTTCTCAGATACGATCCAAGGTCATTGGTGAATCTGAAAAGGGTATTGCTAAACTATTTTCTCAAGCAAGAGCGAATTCTCCTTGCATCTTGTTTATTGATCAGGCAAGTTTTCTTTTTTGAATTGTCGCTGTGGATGAACGTTAATCTAATTTTTTTTACACATTAGATTGATATGCTTTTACCTAAAAGAGGCACCAGTCAATCATCCGAAAACACAAGTGATAGAATCGTTACTGGGTTCCTTACAGGTAAATTATTTAAGAGTTTTCAAAAACACACACACATTTTAACTCTTGGAATAGAAATGGATGGTTTATTGACAAAGAGTGCCAAGAAGAGTGCACAGATTGACTTGTTGGTGGTTGCTGCCACCAACCGAATCGATGCCATTGATCCCGCTGTGCTTCGTCCCGGTCGTTTCGATGAGCATGTGTATATACCTTTGCCAGATGAAAAACAACGAGAAGAGATTGTACGTGGTATCAGCGCTAAAATGCCAATCTCTCTGAATGATTTCGAACGCGGTGTGCTTGTGAAGAATACAAAGAATTGGTCAGGTACGTATTTATTGAATGTCCAAATCTATGATTATTTAACAAACACACACATATATTGGGGGACAGGTGCACAATTGGATAATTTGTTTAGAGAAGCAGCCATGGTAAGTCTCCGAGAGAATGTACATAATACCAAGGTAAACTGTTGTAATGGATTCTTCTACATTCTATCTATCGATTAAAAACCTTCCGTGTTTTATTTTACTCATAGATCGAAGCAGCACATATCAAAGAAGCATTCTCCCTTTAAAAGGCGGGAATCTCGGGAACAAATGGTAAGCAGCATATATAAAAAAAAAAGTCCGTGCTGTAAGAGAATAAAATCATTTGTGCACACACACCGAGTATTATGTTTGTTTCATTAAACATCATCTACTACATTGTACAAACTAAATGACATATATCCCACAATCCCCTTTTGATTATCATAAGCAAGACAATAAAATCATTATTGTTGTCTTGTACCCCCTTTAAAAATGTGCCTCGATTTTTTAGGTTACTAAAGTGACTCGCATAGTGATTCATGCAGTGTGTTGTAAAGAAAGAAAAAAGTGTATATTTATATATAAAAAAAATTAGAATAATAAATCATCAAAAGCAGAAGATTGCTTTGTTTGCTGAGGTTGAGGTTGAGCCGCAGGAGAAGGGTTAGCAGACGCCCAATTATTCCAACCGGCATTCACACTTGTGTTTTTTAAAGAGTTCATGGAAGGGCCTTGTGTAGGCTTAGCAGGAGCAGCATTTGAACCTAAAGAATCCAACATGACAAGGTTGGATGCTTGCGACCAAATACCACCAATAGCAGCCGGTTGTTGTGTCTTTGTTTGACTAACAGCTGGTGCTGCTGTGGGTGTCGATGCTCTTTGCACAGTGGAGGGTTGAATCACAGGTGAATAGTTCAATTGCGAGTTACCAGCCACAAGTGTTTCAAAAGTCATACCCTGTGATAACATCAAATTGGGCTTTTGATATTGTTGTTGTTGTTGTTGTTGCTGTTGTGGTTGGGGTGAAGGAGCAGATGTAAATGTACTGTCGTCACCCAAAAGGTCAAAAATATCGTTCTTTGGTGCGGTTTTTACAGCCGTCGGTGCTGAAGTGGGCTTGACAGCAGCAGGTGCACTTTGGAAATCATCAAAATCGTCTACAAAGCATTATTTAAGCAAACTATCCTTCTCTTTTCATAAACACACACATACCATTGGCATCACCATCGGCAAAATCTCCCCAATCATCATCATTATTATGCTTGCCTTTGTTATTGTTGTTGGAAGAAGAGCTTGTGGCGGGCTCATCAAAATCAAAAAGGTTCAACTCTTTAGCGGTCTTGGCTGGCTTAGCATTTGAAACACGACGAGGGGGTGCGGTTGAGTTGCTACTTTGAGACTTGTTGCTACCACGACGTTGACTTGAGGGAGAATCAAAATCGTCATAGCGACCAGGTTTCTCGTCATCAAAGAAATCGTTACTTCCAAATCCACCACTGGTTGAATAGTTGTTTCCGCTCGAACCACCGCCACCGCCGCCTGAGCTATAGTTGGATTCACTACCGAAACCTTCATAACGTCCACTACCACCCATACCATTACTGCCGCTGCTGCTTGCGAAACTCATTCCACCTTCGGACCCAACACCTGTGTACTTGTTGCGGTTCTTTTTGGCTTTTTTACGCTCCGCCTTGATGGCATCAACATCACCCAACAATTCAGCCAGTTCCTTGGCACGATTACGGACTATGGGAGGAAGGTAAGAGGGTTTTGAAGTACGCTAGAAATGAAATAGCTTACCGTTGATTCCTTGATCCTTGCCCTTTTCGTCAACATAGTGAAAATTCTTCATCATTTTAATCATGGATACATGAGATCTAGCATCATCCACTACTCTTTCTGAGCCATTCTTGACCAGATATTCTAAAAGCACAAGAGACTTTGTTTTGGGATAGTGAGGGATTAGAAATAAGAAATGTGTATGTCTTTTTTTTTATTACCTTATAAATTTGACGCCAGTATTTTGCCTCCTTTTCAGTAAAGCGCTTGTAAAGTGTTGGCATAATTTCGTTAAAGTATTGACTAAGATATGAAGAGTAAAATCAGAACTCTGTTTTTCTCTTTCTTTTTCTGTGGATGGGGGTAAGGACTCTTACTAGTTGAAAGTAGCTTGAGCAATTTCTTGCATTACAGTGCTGGAAGCACCCCATGCCTCATTGTTTGTGGCATCATGAACTTTGGCTTCCATCTCGGTGTAATTCAGAACGACATTTTTACTAGAGAATAACAAGTCAGTCAGAAGAAGAAGAAAAAAAAATGTCTGCCATCTTTCTAATCATCCTGTGAAACTTACACTTTATTTATGACATCCTACAGTTTTTTTAAAAAAAAAAAAGAAATAGATGAGTATGACAACATTATGTAGATACGCGTATTGTAATCAGCAACTCAACATACCCGCACCTCCCATAGGTCTGGGATAGCAAGATTTAAGTTAGAAAATGAATTCATTGTGCTTTGTTTGTTAAAAAAGAAAAAGGGATGCAAAAAAAGAGAGCCCGTCCTGCTTTAATATGTGAGCAATTGAAATCCAGACACATTCCATTCTTGAGGGCGAGAAAACAGTACTTATTTGGCTTATACGAAAAAGAAAACCCAAATGATGACAGCAACTTTTGGTGCTTAAATAAAAAGCGTGTGATTGTGATACCTCTCTTTTTTTAAAGTGTGAAAAAAATAAATTCCTCCCTGAAATAAAAAACTAATTATACAGGTACATATTGTTATTAGGGTGAAGATACATTAAGGGTTCTTTTAATATGTTGTCAGCATGTTTTAAAAGATATAGAAATTAATTTAATGAACTTACAGTAAGGGTTACTTCTTGGGATAGTCTTGAATTCTGTATATGAAAATTGAAGAAGGAATGAATAGCATGGAAGGCTTTTGATAGTTTATTTGTATCATTTATAAAATTTGGCTTACAACTGACCACATTTTTTTCTTATTGCTAGCTACCGTTATTTCTCCAGACTCAGGCCTCTGAATGATTATTATAATTACCTCTTTTCTCGTCTTTAGCTTCAGTATCTCGTTATGGGATAGGTAATCTAACTTACTCCAACGTCTCATCTTGTACAGCCACCAAACTTAGTTGTAGATCTAAAATAAACCAAAGGTGACAAAGAATTTGCCGTTCCATAAATAAAAAAGTGTTTTCAATCCACAGTTGGTGTTGTCAACGTGCTTTCAAAAAGGATAACTTTAATATAGTAAGAGAAATAATTGCAATGGGGAAGAAATGCCAGAGTATATTGTGTGAGTTGAATAATAGATTGAAATTGTATATAATATATAAGATAAAAAAAGGGGAGGGTTTAGAAGAGAAAATGAATGTATATAATCGAAAGGAATGGAGAAGTTGGGTAGTTTTTTAAGAAAGAAGGAAAGTCTATAGATAAAATGTGTATGTAATAAGTTGGATAATAATAATTAGTTAATATTAAAAAAAAAAAAAAAAAGGAAAGGAGGTTTTAAAAGCCTTCGTCAGATAAACTACGTGGATGTTCCATCATGGCTGAAGCTCTCCATCCACTGTTCTTGGCAATTGGTGCAGAGGTTTTTAATTGGGGTTCTTGTGTGGCATAATTTGCGTCTGCCCAGACTTTAATGGCATCTAGCATGGTAATAATTTTGGCTTCATTACCACCAAAAACATCTATCACCCCCACACTTTGTGTTTAGTATATGTCTCTTTTTTTCCCTAGTTCATGGATTATATAATCTTACCTTTGATTGTGTAGCGGCCATCCACTTCGACACCTTCGCGTCCCATAAATTTAAAGGCAGATACGATATTATCCAGCATAAGAACACTCATAGAGCCACCCTTTTGTGTAGGAGGGCGACGGACTTCTTTACCACTAATGGCTTCCAAAAGTTGAATCAATGTATCGCCATTACGGAAAGCACTTGTAAGATCAATGGCTTTTTTACCAGCGGGTAAGAAAGAATTGATCCAGTCAATATACTGAGCAATCGTCCATTCATCGCTTGTCGAACTGTTGGATAAGCTGGAAGTGATACTGAGCGAGCTGCTTAAAGGTAAACTACGATGCTGAGGATCAATCAGGTCTTCTTCTTCGTCACTTAATATCATTGGGTTTGAAGTAGGTACAGGATAGCGAGAGGGCAATTGAGGGATATCATGCTGCTGTTGTTGCTCAGCTGGGTGGATAGTGATGCCTGATTCACGAGTTTGGCGATATTGTGACACAAGCGTAGGGTGGACATGATGATGATCATCAATTGGTATATAATTCGATTCTTCTTCTTCTTCCAACATTGTCATTTTTTGGTCGGCGTTCATCATTTTAAGCTGCTTTTGGTTTTTGTACATGATGACAGAAGGAGGTCTGGGTCGCATACGGCGTGCTACATCCAGCGACACGGTAGCGATATGATTCGACGACATGACAGGTGCTAAAGTAGGTGTGAATACAATAAAGTACGCTTATGTTATATACAGGTATCTATATTTACCTCGAAAGTCGCGAGCAATGGTGGTCTTCATCAACATCTTGAGCCAGACACGCATCGACTCTTCCGTATCGGTGTAGAAAAAAAAGGTCCGCTCGCGATCATGTTGAGCCTTGAAACAGTATTTGCCGGCGTGGATGGCTTCATCCACAATGATTTTATAACCACGTAAGTTAATAATACCCTTCATACGCACATCCTATTTTTGTACACAAGACACATGTTTTTAATTATTTTTTTCTTTAGCACTGCAAACTAGTTTTTTTTTTTTTTTTCTGTTTACCTTGGGACTCTTGAAATAGAACAAATTAGTGCCCTTGAGGACAAACCATCTCTTGTTCCAGGTCTTGTATTTATCGCCTTGCTTATGTAACCAGCCTTCATGCTCAGGAGCTTGAAAGGCGTCTGAAGTGGAAGTACGAGCAGATGGCTCTTCAAACGAGGAAACCGATAATTTGTGAGCATTTGATATTTGCCTATAAAAAACCCGAGGTTAGTTTAGTTAGGTGATTGTTGTAAGACTCCTTACATTGGTTGTCTTGGTGTTGAAGTAGACGTGGTTGGTATATTACTCTCGTTCATGACGGGCCAATCACTTTTGCTGCTGTCTGTGGTACTCTGGCTCTTTTGAGATAATACTCTGCGTGGACTTTGGAAGCCCTTTGGATCGGGACTGAGTTCTCTGCTTTTTAAAGTACCACCGGATGAAACGGTATTAAATGTGTTTGATCGACTGATGGAAGAGTTTAGGCTTTGAGGGGAAATAGGTCTCATTAAATCGATTGGCTTTGTAGGCGGAGATAAATTAATACTAGGTGGTAGCGGAGCCTTTCTGGGAAACTGATAAAGAGAGGTGTCTTCAGCGGCAGTGGTGGTGGTGGTGGTGGTGGATAGTGTCTGTGAATTGGAGCGACGTAAACTGGTAGGGATGGATCGTCTACTGGTGGGACGTGAGATGGCACTAGTGGAAACGGATGTGTTTGGAGTCGGTTTTGTATCTCGTTCTTTTAATAAAGTAATGGCCTGCATAACCTTGTATCTTTTACCAAACGTATTGATACCCAACTCTTTTAATGTTTCTATATTGAGATCCAGCAAGATATCACCCGTGATTTCTTGGTCTGATATAATGGTAAGTAATCGAAATAAAAATAAGAAGCCGAGACTTACCAATAAAGTTTGCTGACACCGAATCTAACCCAACTGATTTCAACCAGTCTGATACTTGTTGCACATCCCAATGTTCCGTTGTATTGTTTGAAGTGACTTGTAATTGAGAAAGGGCCTGATCTATCTCGTCTTCTATTGTTGATCCAGATGAACGAGAAGATAAATGTGGACTGGGCATATAAGGTGTTGCTTCCTCTAAGATCGGTTTTTCTGGTGAAGTGTAATTCATGGGAAAGAGGCCCGTTTCGCCTCTCAAGTTTTTTCCCTGTTTATATACATTTATTATATTCTGTCCTTTCTCTCCTATAAATCCAACTTTTTTGTGTCTGATTTAAAAATAAAATTACCTGCCACCAACCGTCAAGGTATTTTTCGTCTTTTTCGAGTACGGTAATCGCTTCTCCAATTGAAAAGTTAATTTCATCCTCATTTTCAGCTTCGAAATTATGAACTGCATAGACAATAGCCTGAGAGCTCATATTTATTAAAAAAAAAAGGAGAGTATAAAAAAAAATATAAAAATGAGGGGGAGGGGGGAGGCGAAAAGGAAAGAAAAGGGATAAATAAAGAGAGAGGAAAAGAGAATATTATAATTTGGCGGAGACCTTTTTTTTTTTTTTGGTGTCACTTCTAATAAATCTTTTGTTATTTCATGTCGCACCGTATTCATTGATTCTTTTCTGACAACTTTTAACCGAAAACAGCTCTGTAGCTCTTTTACTGCTATCCTTTTGCATCGTTCGCCGTTTCAATTATAAAAAAAGGTCGCGTAGAAACAGCGTGGTAGAATCTATTGTGCTGTCTGATTAAAGTTGGCTTCTAATCTCGTGTTAAAGGCAACAAAAAGTTGCAGAATTTATTAATAACTGTTACGTATGACATAATTGCTCCCAGTGCTTATGGTTCCCATGTGAGATTCATCTGAATAACATGAATTCGCGCTGCAATCAAGCTATAACACCTGTAACAAGCTGGAATCCCACAAAAGTAAATTGAGGCTCCACACACTCCTCTGCATAAGTTGATCGCCCTTTTCCAATTAAAAAACACATATTTTTTCTTTCTAATACAGACATCAGATACAGTAAGTCATGCCAAAGTTTACCCATACTTCTGAAAAAAAAATCATATCACAAATAGTATATTTTGCCCGCTTACTGATAAACAGTATGTAAGTGTGTAGTATCATGCGCAATGAGATATTCTGATAGAATTGCTCTAAGTCAGTCAATAATATTTCAAAATATCATTTAAACCACCATCCTAAGAAGGGTGGTCTACTCGAAGCAAATTGCCAATTCTAGGCCAAATAAGATCTTACTAGATGCGATCTTTCTATTGACTTTAGTCATTAAAAAGTTGTCTGGAATTTTTGATATATCGTCAGGAGAAATCTAGGCATTTTTGCTGTGAGAAAGACGGGAATTGCTAAAGACAGGTTTTCAATAAGTCCTAGAATCCATAACTGTTGATCGTTCGATTTCTCATGCGATGACAAATTTTACAAGTCAATGATAGTTAGATTTTAATAAAGCAAACCTTAACGACAATAAAGAAATAATTATTCAACAACATTTAGCTTTAGAAATTAACGTTAAAATTTAAATTTCTTTAATTTAGATAGTTAGAGCTAAATTATAAAAATAGCTTGCCACATATTTCATCAAGCATATTGTTTATCTTATTGCCCATAAGTGTAGAGATAATCATCATAGTTATATCAATATAAATCAAGTTATTTATTAAATTAAAATTTAGACCCCAACTTCACCAGATTTGCTCATACTCGCTATCATCGTTCAAGGCTTCATACATGGTGGCAACAGGCTCAGGATTTACACCTCTTGAACGAGTTATATCAATGTATTCGACATCTGTAGAATAAGCTCTGGATCTGGTAATATGAGTAATTTCAACGCCTGGCCAAGGAGAGCCATTTCCTCTGGATCGAGTGACATCGGTGTAGTCACCGGATGGCCAAGATACGCTGAAATCTTCGTTAGCGGATTTTGTGATGTCGGTGACAACTGGCCAAGGAGGGCTTGAACCATGTCCTCTGGAACTGTCTGTAAAGTCAACGGCTGGCCAAGGGAAGGTCGAGCTGGCTTTGGGAGTAATTGTGATACTTGGATGACTAACACTTAAACTAGGGACAGGTTTAGATGCACTAGCAATAAGAGGCCAAGGATCAAGTAGGCTACGACTAGAGGTGAGGTGATCTAAATAAATTGACGCATTATTATATATTAGCAGGAGATGACGATTCCAATAGGATGGTAGTAACTTACGAAGATACTCTGTGCTATAATCTGTTTGTGTTTTGGTGTTTACATCAGTGACAGTGGTTGTACTTGTCGTTGTAAAGCTCTTTTCCTCGACAACGTGTACCAAACGTAAATTACTTATAGTTTCTGTGGTGGTTCCCCTTTTCTCTAAAGAGCTGCAACATATTTAGTCTCTCAGTGCCTCTTCACATTTTATACATACTTGAATCGGCCCCCAGGAACGGCAGAGACAACAGCAGCATATGTCGCAATTACGGATAGGGATATAAGCTTCATTTGAAGTTCGGAAAGGGGAAAAGCTACTTTCAAATAGTTTATAAAAAAAAAGCGTTATAAATAAAAAAATAAAAAATAAAAATGTCATTGTCATATTTTATGCATTCTCATTCAGACCAAATATTAAATGAAATCAGCCAAAAAGGTATGTTAAAATTTTAATTGAAGAGGAATTACTTTTGCTGGTGCAGAAATGTCTACAAGGAATAGATTCAAAGTAGTCAATCGACAGAAGCCGTGTGGAGATCAAGATGTATATCAAGCATACATTGTGCATTAAATAGTATGTACTTGTCAAGAATACTTGTTTTCTTCAATACGCGTCCTGAGCATTCCGACAATAACATACACATGGTCCGAAGCAATATTGTACATATTCTACATTGCTTCTTTTTTCTTTCTAAGAATAAAAAAAGTTGGCTTACTTGGTATCAAAACTCCCTCTCTCTCTCTCTTTTTTTTTAATATATATATAAACATGTTTTATTGTTGAGTAAACATTTGTAAGCCAAAGTATTTCTAAACAACCTGGTATCTACCAGCACCACCAGGTCCGCCACCTCTAGCTTCTGCTTCCATTTGTGCAGCGGTCGCTTCAATCAAGATTCGTTTAATTTCATTCTTTGCCTTTTCGACTACCATTTCTGAGTCACCTTCAATGAAAAGATATAATTTACGCTCATTGCCAGTAGGTTGTTTACCGGGAGGGAAGAAGGAACCACGCGTGGTAATAGCAGCACCTGATACTTCTGTGATTTGAGAAATTTGATCCTAAAGATAATAAAAAAAAAATTAATAAATACTTCCAAGTGAATTATATATGTACATATCTTCACTAACCTTATTAGTAACTCTCCATCTTGCTTTTTGTGGGTAATCATTAATCGTAATTTCTTCAGCATAAACAGGATGTGAATCACCGTCTTCAGCAGGTTGTATAATACCATTGAGATCGGGTTTCTTGCCGCCCAAAGCATTGATACGAGCGGCAACAGCGGCAGCGGCCTTTTTAGCAGCTAAAGCAGCAGTAGAGAGTTGATCCGACGATTTATGATCAACATCCATCGCATTTTTGACAGCAGAAGCAGCCGCAGAGGCAGCGGCAGCAGAAGCAGCAGCAGAAGCAGCAGCTGTGATTCCAGGAGTGACAACATTACTTTCGAGTTGAATCTCTTCGTCATCCGAATCTTCCTCGCCGCCATAAGCCTTCTTTTGGAATTTCTTAACAAGATCACGATCTTTGTCCAATCTTTCCAGACCTTTACCTCCAAAACCAGAGCCTGATACACGCTCTCTACCATCTTTCACCTTATTTTGGAAAGATTCTGCAAGAGTTTGAAGATCTGGGGGAATTTCTTGTCCACTAATTCTCAATGCTTTACAGATATCCATGGCATAACGATCTTGATCAGGTGTAATAAATGTGTAAGCTGTACCCTTGTTACCAGCGCGACCTGTACGGCCAACACGATGAACGTAATCTTCCATATGATTGGGACATTCATAATTGATCACAACCTTTAAGTTTTTAACGTCCAAACCACGAGCAGCGACAGAAGTAGCAATCAAGATATTTGTAACACCTGATTTGAAATCGGCAATCGTACTGTCTCTGTCTGCTTGGTCTTTACCACCATGCAATGATTGACATGGGTAACCTCTTCTCATAAGATCTCGTAGGAGGTTATCGGCAGCTTCGTGACGATCGACAAAGATCAATGCACTGGCGCCTTCTTCACCTTCATCGTTAAATAACTGACCCAAAATTTCGAGTAATCTCACAAATTTGGATTCTTCATCTCTGACCTCAATAATTTGATTGACATCGTCACATACTACACTTCTACCACCCACGGTGATTTCTAGGGGTTTTTTCAATACCTTACGAGCTAAAGCCTCCATTTGTCTGGGGAACGTTGCTGAGAATAAGACGGTTTGACGGCTAGGTCGAACATTATTTACAATTTTCATGACTTGAGGTTCAAAACCCATATCAAACATACGATCTGCTTCATCCATGACCATGTAAGTAACACGTTTCAAGTTAGTGACACGTCCAGAATTTGCACAAAGAAGATCAATCATACGACCAGGTGTACATACAATAATTTCACAGCCTCTTTTGAGATCGGCAATTTGATCTTTAATTGGACTACCACCATAAGCACAAACAGCCTAAGAATGAAAAATGGAGGGGTTAGTGTGTATAAAGATATGCAATAAAAAAGGGCTTGTCTTACCCTCAAATTCAGAATTTTCAAGAAGGGTTTACATTCTTTATGAATTTGCGTGGCCAATTCACGCGTAGGCGTCATGATAATAGCAATAGGACCTTCACCGGTCTCTAATGGCCTTTGATCTTTGATGTGACGGAACATGGGTAATAAAAATGCAATGGTTTTACCAGAACCAGTCTTTGCAACACCAATCACGTCACGACCGTTCATGATGGCAGGTATAGCCTGTGCTTGAATAGAAGTTGGCTTGTCATATTTCAATTTACGAATGACTTCTAAGCAACCTGCAGGAAGACCACAATGAGTCCATTTGGTGATGGGTTTAGGGCAGTTGACACCTCTAATCTTGATGCCGTCTAATTCGATTCTCAATAAGTCGACCTGATCAGGTGTCAAATCCTTCAACTCTGGTGGTTCGATATAGAAATCTTTGCGGAAGTATTCATATTCCACTTTATTGTGATCAACAGGTGCGATATCCTTTCTTTTAACTTTTTTGGCTGCCAAACTAGAAATAAAAAAAGAATTTGTTTAGTAAATAATAGCATTATGTGTAAATAAAAAAAAACACTTACGCAAGAATATCCTCTGGATCACTTCCGATGTCTTCTTCATTGTTCCCATTATTTGTATCATCAGGGATATCATCGTCATCGTCCAAAAGAGATCCACGTCTTTTGGAGGAAGGCTCCTTTAACTTATCCATTCTTATTTTATCCTCTTCGTTAATCTTCTTAGTTTCAGCATGAACATCGATCATATAAGCTTCCAATGGATCGATCTCCTCAGAGTCTTCCATAATGGTATCAACTGGTTCTTTTTCAGCAGGTGTAGCAGGCTTCACTTCGACTTCCTTTTTCTGGACAGGGGCAGTAGTCTTCTTCATGGTCATAGATTTTCCTAAACCAAAGCCCATACGCATAGTGTTCTTGGGTTTTGTAGAGAGGTTGGACATTAAGAATGATTTTTTAGGTTTAGCCAAAACCTCGTCGTCTTTTGATTCTTCATCATGGTCCATTCTTTGAAGTGGTTTAAAAGTTCTTTCAGCTTCGGCAGCAGCCTTATCAGCTTCATCCTGTGCTTCTTTCTTTTTAGCTTCGCTGCCATCAATGTCCATATCAACATCGTCATCATCATCGGATTCAGAATCGTCTTCCAAACTCCATTTTTTACCGTTTTCTTCCAATTGGGTTTGATGTGTGGTGATATCTTCCGTCGTGTCCATTTCATTCTGCTTTTCAGCCGCGTCTTGTTCTTCCTTGGCAGCAGCTTCAGCAGCAGCCTTTTTCATGGCAGCAAACTGTTGTAAAAGCTGGGGTTCCTCTTCTTGTTGCTTTTGAGCCTCTTCTGCTTCTTGTTGCTTTTTTAGTTCCAACTGCTGTTCTTGTTTTAATTTCAACTCTTCAGCTTCCTTTTCAGCAGCAGCAATGGCCAGCTTCTTTTTTGCTTCTTCTTCTGCTTGTTTCTTTTCTTTCCATAGACGTACACGTTCTTGCTTCTTTCGCATGGCTTCATCAGGATCAATGACTGCTGTGGTAGACACCGAAGGTGAATCCGGTGTTGTATGTGTACTTGTTCTCTAATAAATATTTGTTAATATAATGTTTTTGAAGGGAGTATAATTTAAAGATTACTTACCAAGCTTGAATCTTGAGTAGTGGCTGAAGGAGTACCTACAGCAGCATTATTTCTTGATGTTGGCTCACGTGAATGAGTTCTTTTATCATTTATACTTACATTATCGTAATGACTGCGTGAGGAAGATGGATAAGATCTATCTTCATAACGTGAAGAACGGTGTGAGGAACGATGGGTTGAAGATCGATGTCGATCTCTGCTTCGACTTCTTTCTCTGTATGAGTGTCGTGGTCTTTTACTACTAGTTGGGGAAGGTGATCTATGTCTACTTCCAGAGCGGTGGGAAGCCATTGTTTTATTTGTTTTGGTTTTTTTTTTTTTTGGTTTTGGCTTTTTCTTAACAGAAACAAAAAAAAAAGTGGAGAGGTGAGAAAAAAAGAAAAAAGATTTATAAACTAGCGTCCGCAGTTTTAAATTTATTTACAAGTGGATGTGTTTTTTCATAAATGGATGGTGCATCACCTCTTTTAATGAGAGTCTGTCATTTGCACTGTATTTTAAGAGCTACGATTGAAGATGAGCATATGGTTGGGAAACAATGAATATGTACTTACTTTTGTAATTAAATCAGCGGCATCTTTGCTGACATAACTTGGTATATGGATGTCGATTCCAAGAATACGACTATAGGTCAAATCTTCATTTCCCTCAGACTCAAACGGAGGGCTTCCACAGATTAATTCGTACAAGAGAATACCCAGCGACCACAAATCAACATTTTTGTCATGCACTCTACCTTCCACCATCTCCGGGGGTAGATAATCCAATGTGCCGCATAAAGTGCTTCTTCGATTACTATAAATCTTGTAAGCACTCATACCAAATCAACGTCCAACAAAATTACGCACTTACTCTGATACACCAGTTTTGACAGACCATCCGAAATCCCCAATCTTTAATTCCCCATTTAATCCCAACATCAAGTTTTCGGGTTTGATATCACGATGAATCACCCGTTTACCATGAAGATACGTTAATGCATTCACCATTTGTGCTACGTACTATATATTCTCCTAAATGTTAATGATCATCTCCTTTTACTTCTCCTTCCTTTTTTTTTTTTTTTTTTTTTTTTTTACCTTGGCTGCCTCTGCCTCTGAAAATCGTTTATGTTTTTGTAATTCGGCAAATAATTCTCCTTTGGCTGCAAATTCAAGTATCAAGAAGATTCTATCTGCGTCGTGAAAGAAACCATATAAACGTAATATATTTGGATGTCTATTTCCATATATCGACTTTAAGTATAGAAATAGAGTCTGTAGTTCTGATCTTTTTACTTACTTTAATTGACTTTGGATATTGATTTCTCGCTTCAATTGGTTTTCGATATTGCTCATGACTAATTCTTCTTTGTAGAGCATTTTAAGTGCTACGATAAATCCGCTGGCTTTCTCTCTTGCAAGAAAGGCTTGTCCAAAGTTTCCCTTTCCCAAAGGCTTTCCGATTTCGAAATCTTTTAAACACCATTGCTTAATAGGGACCCTATTTTTACATGTACAAAAAAAAAGATTGATAAATACTTTGCCCTCAAACAAAAGATAGGTTCCATGGTTGGAGCATTACTTTGGTTCGATTGATCGTTTCCTTCTCGCTGTCTCTGGAATCTTGCCTTGTGTTGTTTGTTTCAATGGATTCGATCTGAAAGCTCGATTACCCAAGTTACCGACCTTGTTGTCAAGTAACTTTAGTGGCAACGCTTTATTGCTGTTGGTGATTTTGGTAATATGTCCACTTGAAGCGGTCCTGTCCACTGATGACTTTTTAAAATGTGTAATTAATATTTTTGATTCATTCCATTTTTTTTTTTTTATTATTAAATGACTTTACTTTTGCTTTCATTTTATCAATTCTAAACATACGCTTTGTAAAAAAAAAGAAAAAAAAAAGATTACAAAAAAAGAAAGGTCAACAGTGGCTATTTGAATTTTTGTGA